CGTGAGCTATAATTTCCACTTTGCTCATTACAATTTTGACCTATTCTTACATTTGGTCATACTATTCGTCTATTTACTGACCGCTGAAGAAAAAAATCCCACTCCACTCCTGCTAAAAACGTTATGAATGCTTTTCATAAAAATTTCACAATTGACAAGTGTGCTTTCAGCCATTATGCCCCCAAACTGTGGAACTCCCTGACTCAATCTCTTTGCCTTGCCCTCCTTGCTTGCCTTCATATTACACCTGAAGACCTTCCCTTTGACCTTGCCTACAGTCACCACCCCTCTCTCCCCAGCTCATTGTTAAGTTCCGCCACTATACAGCGCTCCGAGATGCTGCCCTGTTGAAGGACGCTATATAAATGCAAGTTGTTGTATTGTCAAAAGCCGTCTAACATGCAATATTTGAAAATCAAATTTGTTGCGTTAATTATTTTGTAATGCAATACTATATTGTATTAATATGTATTATATATATTAAGCTATAGTTAATATAAGATCCCCACACTTGTGTTCAAATCTCTTCACTCCCTGGCATCTCCCTATCTCTCCGACCTCCTCACTCCCCAATCTACCACCCGGCGCCTCGGCTCGATTGGAACCGGCCTCCACACCCTCCGTCCCACCATCGAAGTTCACACTTTCAGCCACTGTGCCCCGAAACTCTGGAATACTCTCCCTCAATCCCTCCGCCTTGCCGCCTCTCTCCCCTTTTTCAAGTCCCACCTGAAAACCTTCCTCTTCCACCATGCTTACGGTCACCTCTGGCCCTCCCTGGCTTGGAGTCAGGCTCCACCACTGTTAAGTACTCTGAGACGCTACCCTGTGTGGAGGGTGCTATATAAGTGCAAGTTGTTGTTGTAATAATAATCCTTGCATTTGATATAGCGCCTTATTATGTCTTCGAGACGTCACAAAGCGTTTCAGAATATAGTGTAAAGTGAATTGACTGTATACTTTGTGGGTGAAACGCGGCAGCTAATTACTTACTGCTAGGTAAACAGAAGTGTGTGGAGTAAAGAAACTTGCCTAAGGTTTTACTGCCCTGGAATCAAACCCAGGTCCTCTCGCTTGCGAGGTGAATGCTCTAACCGCTAAGCTACAGGACTTAAAGCAGAAAGCGTCACCATATTTTAGAGGAAATAATGCAGACATAAGAGAAATGAGAATAGGGAGGTGTGGAAGAGGGGATTAGGAGGAGTGGAGGCTTGTGTGGAGTATAAACACCAGCAGTTGAGTTGACCTGTTTGGCCTGTTTCCGTGTACTCCGGGACACTCCCCTGTGTGAAGGACGCTATATAAATACAAGTAGTTGTTGTTGTTATTGAAAATTCCAAACCCCTCTCCACCCCACCATCAATGGAACAAGCGCTATGGGACGTCCTCCCGACGTGAAAAGCGCTATATCAAATGCAAGGATTATTATAAGGATTATTATGTGCTTTCAGCCACTATGTCCCAAATCTTTGCCTCAATCCCTCCTCCTCTCTTCATCTATCTTTAACAATCCAACTCCCCCTTTCCCTTGTTCGGTGCCCAACCCTGCCATCTAAGATGCAATCCTGCAATCCTCCAAGGGTGCCACATAAATGCAGGTAGCTGTTATAATTCTGTATGACCTGGATTCCCCAGCAACTTGTCTCTCTGGTTGATGTGGTGCACACATTTGACAGTCTCCAACACTCTTCCTACTTGTTTTGGCAGAATATTGCCATTCAGAACTTAAGTGAGTGGAAAAAAATATTGAGACATTATCCAGTTCTCTGTCAATTCCTCCTAAGTGAGACCCTGAAAAAGATGCCTTGATTGAAGTTTCCTCTCCTAAAGGATATGAGGAAAGAGCTGAAAAGTAGGTTTAATAAGGGCAATTTAAAAGAACTTGAAAAGTAATAATAATTTAAAAGAGTAATAATCATAATAATAATCTTTACACTTAGAACAAAATGATGAGTTGAATGGCCTCCATCTGTGCTGAAAAATTTCCATTTCTTTCTCTCAAATTGTACTGTTGTAGACAAGTAGACTATTGTTTGTGGCAATAGGGGAGGGCTGAGACAAAATAAAATGGGAGGCCAGTTTGATAAGACACCTGGAGGAATCTTTCATACTTTGGAGCTGATTCTCACACTTCTAGAAGCAGCAATACCACCTTGTGCTGCTGCCAGTTAGATATAACACAAAATGACAGTAAAACCCATTTGTAATAGATTAGCTTAGCACTGTAATCACAGCATAAAAATTCCTAGCACAAGTGGGCTGAATAAGGAAGGTACACAATGCAATTTGAGAAATCTGGAAATGCAGCTACAATACTTTCAAAAAATAAAACAACATAAATTGCAGTTACAAAATGAAAAAAACAAAGTGAAAACTTCAGAAACTACAAACACATCTGTCTCTGGATCTCTTGTGTGAATACAATACCGGCAGATGTAAAGTTGGAAGTTTGACATAAGTTTTCATTGCGATCTTGCCAAAACCTGCCACTATGCAGTGTTCCGAGATGTTATCCTCTGCGAAGGGCAGTAAGTAAATGCAAGTTAGAACCATGGAAATTTATGGTACAGAAGGCCATTGTGTCTGCCTTTGTTCCTGTAAGAGCAACCCTCTCACTCACATTCACCTGGCCTTTCCTTAAATCTCTCTAGTTTACTCATTTCAAGGTATTTTAAGCTGTTTGTGAAAAACAAAATGGATTGGTCCTCAACCATCGCTCCCAGCAGGGCATTCCATATCCTCCTGACTCAGTGCATAAAAAGTTATTGCTGTTAAATAATAATTTTTAGAAACATAATCCTTAGTTGGCATAGTGCCCTGGCGGCATCAATTTTTTCACTGGATTTACTGTAAAGTGCAGTAACTGTGTTTGTAGGCAAAATTGTTGACTGAAGGAAGCGAAACATCTCTGCGCAGGTGGGTCGGAGTTAAGTGCAGTAAATAAGGTGAACTGGAGGAGTGGGTTTAAACTCGGGTCATCAGTGAGAGTACACCAGTGACAAAAGTTTCTCTGCTCCTATCCTCCCTCCCAGATCCCACCCAGTGCAGTGAGAGCAGCCAGTGAGCACTGCCTGCCTTTACCCGCCAAACACAGGGATGCGCCTTCCCCCTCCACCATCTTCTATATACTAATAAAGATAAAATGTCTGTTTGTCTGTCTGTTTCCCAAGAACGCAATAACCAGTTGATGTAGAGACATGATTTATACCTCATCAGAAAGGTCTTGCATGGGGGAGTGTCATGGGCATATGTTTTCTCCAGGATCTCCTATCGTTGATGAGCTATATTTAAAAAATGCTTTAATTAAGCCCCAAAATATGAGGTTTGCATGGTATTTTGCAACAAAGTAGCAACAGAGGAAATCACACACCCTTCTAGAGAGATTATATTAATATATTAGTATATAAATATAGATATATGTGAGAAAAGCTGTATCCTAAACAAGCTCAACACACAGGTATGCACTTAAACAAGGAGACCTCCCAACAGGAGTCCTGTCACATGAGTCCTCCCAAGCAACAGTCTTCCCACAGAAGTCCTCCCACAGGAGTCCTCCCAGATGAATGTAGATAAAGACGAAATGTCGGTCTGTGTCAATCTACATCCCATATTGGATCCTTTGGTTGCAAGCGAAGCTGCGACGTTATATATATATATATGCACAAGGGGAAAGAGAATTTGTGGGGGGGTGGAGATTCACCAGATAAGCACAGTCCAGCGACCCTGAGTGTTGCACTGAGCTGACAATCTGCACAAACCAAAATACACTCTGTCGCCCAAAGTCCATCAATCACGAGCCCCAAATAGCCCAATATCATGAGCTGCCCCAGTGGGAGGATCAGCAGATTAACCGATTTAGGGTTCGGTGCTTTAGAAACTCGTAAGAAAAGATCTTCCAGTGGTGGTGGGGGGGGGGGGGGGGGGGGGGGGGGGGGGGGAGGGAGGTGCAGCTTTCATTTTTTTTTGAATGATGCACCCGCCCCCACCTGCTTTTTTCTTCCCCGCACAGCAACACCAAAAGAAACCGCCCAACTGGGCGTGAGAGCAGCATTGCAGGGGTTTAAATCCCATGTGTGTGTGTGTTTTTTTTTTAAAAAATGAGGCGCCCGCCCCAAAAGCGGGTGTTTATCCCACCCACCACGGACACCAGAGAGAGAGAGAGAGAGAGAGAAAATAAAAGCCCGACACAAAATGGGGCGCGCGAGAGAGAGAGCGCGAGAGAGAGAGAGAGAGAGAAGAAAAAAAGTTCGGGCGTTTCATTCAACTTAAAACGCTGTAATTTCAACTCGAACTCAAAAAAAAAACAGCCCAATTGGGCGTGAAAAACGCCCAAACTTGGCCGCACTGAGGGGACGGGGGGACGGGGGGGAGTGGACACGTGTAGCGCGGGGGCGGCGCGCGGCGCCACCCGACCCCTCCCCACTCCCGGGATTGGAACGCTCGCCATTGTCCCCGGGAAGTTCCATTCCATCTCCTGCCCTCGTTACTGCCGCGCGAGACTCGGGCAGTCAGTCAGTGAGTCAGTGAGTCAGTCAGTGAGTGAGTGACCCAATTCCCGGGACATTTAAGCTGCAGCGATGGAGCCGGTGAGTGAGAGCTGCAGCTTTGACTCTCTGCATTGTCTTTATATCTATCTATATATATATATGTGTGTGTGTGTGTGTGCAATTTTTTTTAAATCTCTCTCAAAGACTTTTCTGCTTCTTCACCAGCAGCTTCTCCCCTCCTCCTCCCTCCCTCCCTCCCCCCGTGTTATGTACACAGACGGCGCCTCTCCCCTCTCCCCGGGGCTCGGGGGGGGGGCTGCTCGTTGCTTTGGCGCCAAACCTCGCACACCGCGCTCAGCGGCCGCCGCGAACACTCCTCCTGGTGTTTCGCTCTCGGGTTCGCCTTTCCGTCCCTCCCCACTCCCACTCCTCCCCTTCCCGCTTTTGCACGACCCGAGCGCGAAGGCTGCGACGCGTTGAACGCGCTGGAGAGGCGTTTTTTTTTTGGGGTGGGTGGGTGGGTGGGGGGTGAAAAACACGGTGAGGGTGCAATCCTCGCATCACTTCTTTTGAAAAGAAAAAACTCCTGTGTTTTGCTGCTGTTCCCTGAGGTTCCCGAACCCGACGTTTTGATTCGAAAAGGGGTCACATTTCCACCGACCCTTTTGCTGCTCACGTTTGTGTTGCACCACTTGAGCGATGCCCTTTAAAAAGGCCCTAATTTAATGGTAAACTTCCACCCGCACCGCACCACCGCACCGCACCGCACGGCTGTCGGGGATGGTTTCGCAGATGTAAACAAAACTTTTGCGGTCAACGCGTAAACATTTATCACCTGACAATCGCACACGTGCCCCCAAACACCCACACTATCTGCAGCTCTCACTCACTGTGTTCATCCTGTACATGTGTGCGTTATACACTCCCAACAACTGAACCAGTCAGGAGTGGTTTCAAAGGGCGCCATTTAAAGTACCTTTTATTTGCTTACAAAGTACTCTCTGATGCAGCTCACCTTTTGCTTTCAAATCTGCATGTTTTAGGGGTACTTTTACAGTGCCTTCACATTTTAAACATTGCTCTTCTCTAAGGTGTGTTCACAGCTGTCGGGCGGAGTTAAAAATGCAATGGACATATTGTGCAGTTCAGTTTGCTCAAACCCACAAGGCAGTCTGGAGATCATTTGGTATATTTTCATTTCTCCTTCAATTCTACCCACTGCTCCGCCTTCTCCGAAGGTAGTGGCTTTATGCTGTATAGCTCCATGGGTGCGGGGTACCCCCAACCACTTTGTCACACTGTTCTAATGGTGGTGTGGGGAAGAGGGACCATCATAAGTTGTGCACAGCTTATTTTTTGTAAAATCTTATTTTACAGATGCTAAAAATAGTGGCAGATGTTTTTAATACACCAAGTGATGATGAGTTCATGGGTTTTGAAGAGGCAGATTTTGGCGAAAGATGTGACCATGTTGACTCTAAGAAATCAAGCCAGAATGTAAGTAACCCCATATGGAGAAAATATCTTCAAAAAATGGTTTTGCAGAGGAAGCTAATTGAGGTTTTTAAAATTCTGAATTGACTTTGATAGAGTATGTAGAGAGACTATTACTACTTTAACTCTCCAGGGCATTATTTGAGGATTATCACCAGAAACAACAACTTGCATTTATATGATGCCCATCATGCGGGGTAAAACATCCCGAAGCATTAGAATGTAGTTTGACGTGGAGCCCGGGAGAAAGGGTAGGCGACCATAGGTACGGTCGAAGAAGAAAGTCTTCTGAAGAAAATGGGGAAGTTAAAGCAAAAAATTCAAGTGTATTCTTACAAGTGGAACACGAATATCTGTTGAAGCCAAGTTTATAAACATTATCTATAGGGCAATTTAAACAAATGCTTGGAAAATATTTGATGTGAGGAACGAGTAAGCAGATAGAACAATAATACTCATTTGATACAGCACCTTTCATGTTGGGAGCTCAAAGTGCTTAACGTTTTTTTAAGTTAGTGCCAGCGTTGTGAACACGGCAGCTAATTTGTGAACAAAGAGCAATGAAGTGGACGACCAATTTTACCTGGGGGATTGTCAGACAGGGCACCGGAAAACTTCTTTCGAGTAGATCAATCGGGTCTTTATCAACCACTTGGACAGGCAGACCGGATCTTGGTTTAACATCTCAACCAAAAGGTGGCACGTTCAACAATGCAGCACACTCCCAGCACTGCATCGGAGTGTCAGACTATGAGTAGAACCAAGTAACTCCAAATAACAACAATAATTACATTTGTATACCACCTTGCATGTCAGGAGGACATCCTAAGGTGCTGGATTGTCTGGGATTTGGACCCAAGCTGGGGGTTGGGATCAGGAGGGGTGGAGGGCAGGGAGGGTAGGGGTAGGAGGATGAATAAGAATAGATAGTTCCAGTGGGAGAACGAGAACAAGTGGCAGTTCAGGCTGAATGCGAGGTTTAATGCCTTGCTGCCTGTTTGACTGAGATCAGCAATGGACCATGTGTTGAACTGTCTGTTTCATACTGGGCAGTGACTGATCTTTAGAAAAACTAGTTGATTGTTGTATTTAAACATATTGGAACTGTTCAGTTCAGTCCAGTCACTGTGCTGCTTTCTTCCTCAGATTCCAAAATTGTTCGCAGATATCTTCAGTGCACAGAGTGATGAAGAGTTTATGGGTTTCGAAGAGGCTGATTTTAGAGAAGAATGTTTTGCCAAACTTGTAAGTAGTCCAGAAAATGCACTTTTCATAAGAATGTGTTTTTGTTTAATTAGCATAATATTTTGAAAAATATTGTGTGGAAATATTCTTCAATATTCTCAATCCCTATCCTAAATATATAGAATTTTGTATCTTTGCTTCCTATTTTCTTATGGTCCATTCTTGAGTTTGAAAATGTGGTCATCTATGTTTGCTCTGTATTGCTCTTGGTTATGCCAGAATCTGCGAGGTGGCATAAACTGGGAAGACCTTGTCTATAATAGCAGTTATATTGCCACGTGAATAGAGTTAGGACGAATATGCTCTTCTCTATGTGTTTTCAACTCACAAAGAAAATTGTTTTGGAACCAAAGTAGGTTGTGATGTCTATCTTTGTATACTCATAACTTGGTTTAACAAATTTATAACTAAGATTTAGTGTTTTTCACTTGTATTTTTTGGGAGGAATGTCAGAGGCTATGTTGACTGCACAAACCACATAGTTTGCAAAGTCTTTTGGTAAGTGTTTAGTGCTCAAAGCAGACCTGAAATCTAATCACATAGTTTATTTCATTTGAATTTCAAAGAAATGGTTCAATTTTTAAAACAAAAACTTGTTTTTTTATGCTCCGAAACATGACAGTGCATCATTTGTGATAATACAGTGGCAAAGGACAAAGGAAAAAGAGACTTGTGGGTGTGATCTTTTGAACAGAATATTAGATATTTTGAGATAAATCCAAAATAGTATGTTGGGGTGTGATAAAATTGGGGGGTGAGGGAGAGAATATAAAGGTTTGTTTTTGTTTCAAAACAAAAGTCAAACCAGCATCTTCTCCTGTTGCCAGATTTCTAAAACCCATCATCGTAAATGCACCTTAATATTGTGTGGTATTGCTGTGTGTACATGGTTGCTTAACCAGGTGTCAATGTTCTAGACTTGTGCAAATGTCAGGGAGAGCAATTTAGAGGAGAAGGTGAAAAAATAGAGATGTTCAGTGTTTCACACTTTCTCATTTTATTAACTCGGGTTGGGTTATAGATTAACAGACAGTGGGTCTGCCACTTGCCTAGGATTTGTAAAGTCTCTGTGGCTAAGTAGTAATAATAATAATCCTTGCATTTGATATAGCGCCTTATCACTTCTTCGACATGTCTCAAAGCGATTCACAGAATAGACTGTAAAGTGAATTGACTGAATATTTTGTGGGCGGAACAGCATTGTTACACACAATGCATTTACTATGAGGGATCTTGCGGTTCTATAGAAATGTGGGGGATTAAATACAGAAATGATGATGTACTGAATGTTTGCATGCAATAATTAATTGTTTTGTGAAGGTAAACATCTAAACAGCTATTTCATGACTTTTAATGGAGGGGTTCAGGAATATGTTATATTGTTGGTAACGTTTGCTCATTTTTAACAGACTCCAAAATTGTTAGTGGATGTCTTCAATACACCAAGTGATGATGAGTTCATGGGCTTTGAAGAGATGGATTATGGAGAAAAATGGGACCACGTTGACTCTAAGAAATCAAGCCATGTAAGTAAACCCATGTTGAGAAAAATATTATTTTTGCTAATTTTTCCATTTCCCTGAAAAGTGCTGACGCTTTCTGGGATATGGTTCCAAGAGTACTGTTAGCCTTCCAGTGCTGTAATTCTTTGCAATTGGGTTTAAACAGGAGTGTTAGTAGGCTATTCAATTCTGGAGGGTGTCGCAGGTGGGCCAGATTCTGTTCCTGCCTGATGTCCATACAGGCATTACTGAACAAATTCCAGGATAGCAATCAGGAACACTAAGGTCAATATATAGTGGCCGGAGAACTTCTCAACTTAGATCAGCAGAGAGCGGGAATTGACTTTCTTATCTGTGTGGCTTAATGCTGTGTTGGGAGATTTGCTGTGTTACCCACTAGGCTTTTGGGGTGCCTTGGGAAAAAAAAAGCCTGTTCTCCTGAACCTGATGGCATACCTATCTTATTGTTGGTTAGGAATTCCCGATAAACTCTTTCTCGTTTATATGCATGTCACAAACCTGCTAAAACCCATATTCTTATCAACTCTCAGGTTCCCTCTTACCAATCCAAGTATATTACAGAAGAACTTATTGATCTTTTCACTGACGATAATGACTCGGCTGAAAGTGTTTTTGAAGGGTTCGCTGAATGGGATGTTGAACGTAACAATGAGATGGAGTGCAGGGTAAGTACTAGGATTCGACTCAACCTTTACTTTTTTTCGTCATAACTAAGATGAATAGAACTCGGATACATAGAAATGTTAAGCAAAGTGAAACATTTAGGGCATGGTGTTTGTGCTACATCTGGTGTTTAGCTTGTACCTTTGTACCATCACGGCCTCGCTCCCTCCTACCTCTCTGACCTACTATCCCCCTACCTACCTGCCCGTACCCTCCATTCCTCTGGCTCCGGTCTGCTTCACATCCCCCGCCCCAACCGCCCTACCATTGGTGGCCGGGCCTTCAGCCTCTCAGCCCCGAGGCTCTGGAACTCCATCCCCCAGTGCCTTCGCTGCCTCCTCCCTTTCCTCCTTCAAGGCCGGTCTCAAGACCTTTCTCTTTGACCATGCCTTCAGCTCCCTTCTCGACTCTCTACCCCCTCCTCGCTCCCTCCCTTCCCTCCCCTCACCCTGACCATTTCCCTCCTGCCCGGGTCCTGACCCAACTGTCCAGCACCTCGGGACGTCCTCCCGACGTGAAAGGCGCTCTATAAATGAAATGTTGTTGTTGTCTTGTTGTTGTACATCTTTGCATCCCTTTCCTACCTACAGTCTTAATACCGAATGCAAACCTTTAAAATCGTAAAACAATTTTTACACTTATTTGTAAGTGCGATGTTATCAACAGGATGACTTGCTTGGTACAGATGGAGGCAGCTGGCATTTCATTCACATCCAATTGATAGTAATCGTATCTAATGATCACATTTCTGATTTAATGAGAAATAGGTCGCAGTATGAGGCAGCAAGCAGAAGCGCTTTGATAGATGGAGAAGATCAAGCAGACAAAAGGACTTGGGAAACCCATTTCCATTTTAAGTGCTAATACATTAGAATCCTGTTTACAGTATCGTATTTGGGGTCCTTAAAATCCCAACTTGCCTCAAAACGGGTGTGATTACGTATCAACACTTTGTATGCATGCAGTAAGTTGGCAGGCTTCCCGTGTTTAATAATGACTGACTTCTAAGTTGTTGCCATCACTTCCTATTAGCATAAGTAAGTTGGTTGTGTATTGTGAGGTTAGCGGGTTTCTGTGCATATGTGGGAAGTGATGTTTGTTCTGATGCCATGAAAGTTTTAGGATCTGAGAAGCTGGCCGGAGTTTTGCCAGCGCCTTGCGATATTCTCCTGGTGTGAAAGGCGTTACACAAATGAAATTTGTTGTTGTTTTGAGTAGGCTGGCTGACTTTCTGAACACACATTAGATTTTTTGTATTTAGTAATTGGTAGGATACACACGGTTATGTGAACCCACTTTATAATGAAGCGTGTTATACAAGGGTTCTACTGTAGGAAAAAGCCTTTTACAGTGTATCCGTGGAGCGTTAGTTTCCTGCTTTCTGTGCAGGAAGTAACATCAGTGGCACCCGATGAGCAGGAAGTTGGCCATCTTTCAGCGTGCAGTCATAGTGATGTAATTGGCACCGTGATCGGTAATACAGTACAAAATTACATTTATATAGTACCTTTCATGTCGGGAGGACGTCCCAAGGTGATGTCACGATGCGGAAGGGCTGATCATGCCTCATTGTAGATTTGGGTTGGGATATTTTTGTATTCTAACCACTGCTTTATAACGGGGGCTGCACTGCATCAGGTCATGGGACCATTTCTAAAAAGCTATCTGAGCTGGTATGAGTATGAAAATGGCTACATCTAGCATTCTGCTGAGCCCCATATTTGAGAGTAAGCGTCATCGCCATGATCTCTGCATAGAGGTGCTCAACATGAAATTTTAACACAGTTTCCAAGGATGAAAGGACAATGTGTTAATCTGCAAAATACAATGAAAGGAAATAAATGCAGTTGAAACAGAATTTGTTTTCTCATTGACTTTACAAACGTTTCTTTTGGATGCTGGAAAACAATATGCTCATGACGCTCCCGCGTGCAAGAACTTTCCGATGAGGTATAAATCATGTCTTTATGTCAATTGGTTATTGCGTTCTTGGCGGATACACACGGACATTTCGTTTTTATTAGTATAGAAGAAGAGATAGAAGATAATGTCTGTTTACTTTTGTTTCTTTGCATGTTTGTTTCTTCCAGTCTACTCAGTCTGAGATGGAGGATGAAGGCTTCACAGAAGACGATGATGGTGATGATGAAACTGATTATGAAATCGAGTTTTCCTCAGACAGTGAGATGGATGCGATACCAAAGAAAAGTCATTTTGGACTCCGCGTGGCATTCAAATTTCCTACAAAGAGGCCGGTGAAAGCAAGGGAGCCAGAACCTTCGGAGTCTGACTCGGATGAAGATTCTGGGTCAGAAAAGAAAACCTCCAATGTCCTGCTGAAGAGGGCACTGAACATTAAAGAAAACAAAGAAATGGTAAGACTGCTTTCAACATTGTTAGGTCACATGTAATTAACAATGTGACAGTGCTGCTTTACACGTCACCTTTCATAGAAATTACGACACAGAAGGAGGCCATTCAGACCTTCGAACTTAGCTCATTCACTGGGGCTAACTACTTTCAACTCCCTGCTCTTTCCTTCTACTCTCATATTCTTGCTTTTCAATTGTTCATCTGATTCCCTTTTAAATGTTGTTGTGGTCTTAGGTTCAGTGAACAAAGCATTCTGTGTTCCATTAAGTGTATGGGTGAAGCGTTTTCTTTTAGCATTAATACTCTCAAGACTATTCAAAGGAAATGTACAAGTTATAAAACCATGGTGTACAACATTATTGCAGTCAAACTGTTTGGATAAGTTTTGGAGTTGCCTTAGTACACATAAACAGAATTTTGCATCTTGTTCTCAGTAAGTGAGAAGCTAGGAAATTCAGAAGATTTTTTTCGTGTCTTAGACACTTTTCTCAAGCTGCTGGGGAGCAGGTTGACAAATGAACAACAATTTGTATCCAATGAGAATACTGGGAGAAACAATCTCAGTATTGTAGAATTTTTTAAATCCACCTAAACAGGCAGACTGGGCTGGTTTTAATTTCCCATCCAAAAAACAGCACTTCCCTCCTGCGCTGACTGTCAGCTTTGATTTGATGTGGGCCTTGAATCCAGAACCTTCTGATTCAAACTCAGCACTGGAGGGAATTGTGGATTTGAACCAGAGACATAAGTACGATGTAGTATATTGGCTTCCTTCCTGCCCTCAATAAAACTGGGTGACGGTCAGGACCAACTCAGGCAGGCTGGAGAGAGAGTGAAGCGTGGCCTTGGTTTTCTCAAGACTATTCAAACCAAATATGGAAGTTAGAAAACCAAGGTGTACAAAACTGCTGAAAGTGAGGTTAAGAAATTCAGAAGAATTTTCCATGTCTTAAACATTTTTCTCAAGCTACTTGGGAGCAGGTTGGATAATTCCTAATTGGAGTGAATGGGGTGGTGCTCCTTGAAATAATAATACTTTTACATTTGCCACTACGGAACATAAGATGTTTGTGCTGTTTTATTTTCTTGTTTTATGCATTCATAAGCTAGTGCTCCAAGACTGGTGGCCAATCAAAGTCAAGAGGTGTTTGGGACAAGTGACAAATATTATTCTAGTTTTTAGTTGATGCGAAATCTTTTTTTTAAAAAAGACAGTTACTTGATTATACTTTTGTGTTTTGAGTAACTGGATTTAAAATGAACCTGTGGCTGCATTATTTATCAATGGGGACAAACTAATGGTTGATTTGTAGCTGTTTCAAATCATAATTTTGGTTGAGTTCATGACATAACGTACTGTTTTTTCTTCTCCAGAATATTTCTTCTCTCTTTTTACTTTGCAGATTCCTAAAACCTAGATCTTCTGGGGCCTTTAGGAACATAAACTAATCTGTTTTTGATTATCTTCCAGCTTGCCAAGCTCATGGCAGAGCTGAAAACTATGCCCGGACTATTTCCAGTGAAAGTGAGCAGTACATCGCCTTCAGTAAGTATTGATGTTGTGGCCAGAGCCCTGGGGTGAGAACGGTGATGTGTGATTTATTTATGAATCAGTTTGGTTTGTATTCTTTACAGTGAGACTGAAAGATGGTGTTGTGCAGAGGTGTAGACTGCCTTCATGTCAGACCATTGTTCTGATCTTGATATGGGGTGGGGAGAGAGACATTCACTCTCAAACCTGTTGATGTTGGAAAGGTCAGTTTGGATTGTACCTTTTGGCAATCTGATAATTGACATTGGCCATAACTGTCATTTGTTTACATTTACATTACAGGACTCGTGGAGTCCTGTAGCTCAGTGGTTAGAGCACTCGCTTTGCAAGCGAGAGACCTGAGTTCAATTCCAGGCAGGTCAGGGCGAAACCTTGGGCAAGTTTCCTTACTCCACACAGAGCCTAATAATAATCCCTCCAAAAAACAAAAACAATAATAAATTGGTCATTTTCAATCTACGACTGTTTGTGGGACATTGCTGTGCGCAATTGGCTGCCGCGTTCGCCCACAAATATACAGTCAATTCACTTTACAGTGTGTTCTGTGAAGCGCTTTGGGACGTCCTCCCGACGTGAAAAGCGCTATATCAAATGCAAGGATTATTATTATTATTATTATTTTTCACTCCCCTTTTACTTTTCTTGGTTGCACTTCCAAAAACCCAAAACAGAAAAGCAGCTGACTCCCAACATGAAGCATTTCTAACTTTGCTGTCATCTGCGTACAAAGTGCAATTTAAACTTGTCCATTATTTTATCTTAGACACAAATAAAACAAAGGCACTAATAGTGCAGAGGTTTTAGTAAACGTGCAAGCTTTTGAGGCATGATAAAATCCTACAATTCAGCGCATGGTATCGTATGGTTTGTTTGGTAGCATGAATGAGCCAAGTCTCATTGTATGGTGCTTGTGGTAAAATTGGTTTATATCAGGAGTCCTGCCAAACCACAATTTACAATTATTTTTGATTAGGGTGCAGTGGAAGGGGGGGGGTGAAAGTTACAGTAGAGTTATCAAAACCTTTTGAAGAAGCTGGTACCTGAATGAGACAGCTGAGGCTGGGAAGGAGGAAGTGAAACCTGGAGCTTAATCAAAGTCCAGTCTTCCCCTTCAGCTTAATAAGAAAGCCAAAATAAAGTTTGAAACTTCTTTGGCGATTGTAGAAAATATCTATTAAGGAACAGACCCCAAGTCTTCCATTCTCACCTCTTGAAAACTTTGACTCCTAGCATATGGTATTTGTTAAATAATTTTCATAGTTCCTTGTCTCAAATCAGAAATCTTCTGTTTCGTTGCTTTATTTCTTTTACCTTTTTACTACTTGTATATCCTGTAAAGTGTTTTTTTATGGAATGGATGAGTAACACATTTTAAAATTGTTGAAAACCTTTAAATTGCTCTCACAGTCTTTTCTGGGTAGGCCAACCAGTACATTTTCAGTTACGCACCCTGAATGAAATCCTAATATTAGTCGCAAAGCTGCTCTGCCAGAAGGGTAGCTTGATTGCAATATTAAACATAAGCTGCAAAAATATATAGTTACACAATTTTAACTGCCCGTGTTTATGTTCTTTTCTTCCCCCTCCCCCATTTCTTCCTTATTTTCTCTGTTGTGATGCTACCACGCTTATTTTGACTTCCATTTTTAATTAATTTTAACCATTTCTGGCTATTTCTAGCCTTCCAATCTGTTCAAATCTGACATTTCTTCCAGCTCCCACAGTCCCATTTTGGATGGTGGGAGAAAACATTTTGTTGTGTGAAGACTGGCCAATGAAGATCGACATATCAATGAGGCTAGAATGAATGAAGGCATCTGTAGCATTTTAATTTTAAGCGTTAAGCTCTTGAATTAAAGCCATATATAGGCATGTTAGTGTAGATCTCTGGCCTATTTCTCACTTACTGTAAAATAATTACATTTTATTTCAGAAACAAAGGCGAACCCCAAAGAGGACCTTTTCCGAGGGAAAGATTGAACGTCGAGTGAATCCTACCAGGAGTGCACGGCCTCCCCAGGGGTTCTCCGTAGAATGCTTTGCAATTTCTCCAACCAAACTTATGGATCAAGTGAAAAACTTTAATCTGAGAACCAACTTTTCCAATCATTTTGTTGAGGTAGGTTGCAATTTCGAAGCGTTTTTACTGATTCTATTTTTTTTACACAAAGGAATGCCCTTCAAGATGGATGTTCAAATAATTAGCATTATTTGAACTTGCCAAGGGGGAAGATGAAGGAGATCTCGGGGTGTTAGTTGACTTCTTACTCACTGTGGCAAAACCGTGTGAGGAAGCATTAATCAAGGCAAACAGGATAATAAACTCTATTCATAAATCAATTGAGTTTAGATTCCCAAACATTTTCAAGCTGTACAGTGCTCTGGTCAGATTGTACCTTTAATACTGCATACTGGTCACCGTTGCATAAGGAGATTGCCCAGGTCCTAGAGGCAATGCAGAACAACAAGAATGATCCCCAGTGTTAGAGAAATCAGCTATAAGTAATGACTAGACAAGCTCAGATTCTTGAGAGAAGACAACCTAGAGGAGACCTCATAGACTGAAGGGCGTTCTTTATTTAATAAACAATCTTGTGATCTATAGATATGTAGAGGTGTAAAATGTCCCCAAGAATATTTTGAAGTAGCCTGGGTAGTATCAAGCTTTGCAATGGCTCAGATGTTTTAATCGTTACTTGATTATTTATTGACGTTTGTTATGTACATAAACCCTTGTTTCCCTTGTTCAAAGCGTGTTTTAAGACTTGTCTATTTGGCCGTACCTTCGATCATCTTCTCCCTTCCCACCCTCTTCGATTCCCACCCCCAGCTCGGATGCTCATCCGGGATTATTGAGCACTTTTAAGACTTGCTTTCACCATGAAAGGCTCCATTAATTGTAAATTGTATTGTGGAGTCGTGTAGCTCAGTGGTTAGAGCACTCGCTTTGCAAGCAAGAGATCTGGGTTTGATTCCCTTCGGGGCAAAACCTTGGGCAAGTTTCCTTACTCCACACGCCTGATAATAATCCCTCAAGAAAAAAAACAATAATAAGTTGGTCACTTCAATCCATGGCTTTTTGTGGGACACTGCTGTGCACAATTGGCTGCCGCATTTTGCCCACAAATATACAGTCATTTCCCTTTACAGTTTATTCTGTGAAGCGCTTTGAGACATCTAGAAGATGTGAAAAGCGCTATATCAAATGCAAGTATTATTATTATTTCAGCCACCGTTGGTATTCTTAACCATGTGTGAACTTGCTTTCCTGTTGTGATTTTCCTTTGCTGGTGTGACTGCACCATTACAACCCTTAAAATGCTATGTATTTGACAGGGTGCGGGAATAAGTAAGAGGAGGCGACGATCTTCTAAATATGCACCACGGCCGGCTGATGATATCACTGATGAGGACTTGGATAATGTTGCAATCACTGTTCGAGACAAAATCTACGATCGTGTTATGGTTAGTGTCAACCTGTGTCCAACAGCACGTTTTGGTGGTACTCATTCTTATTATTCCTTCATCCTTTTTCTTTAAATAGATGTCCGATCGGAGAGTCTGAAATAAATTGAGCTGTATTATGAGCCACATGTAAACACAGCTGTATTTTGAGCCACATGTAAACATGTACCAAGAGAATTACAGGTTCCCGTAATTATGGAAATAACAAGTGATTTATTAATTATGTATTTAATAACCAGTCCGTTTCATTTGTGTTAATTGTATAATTAAGGGTACCAGCCATTTTCTCTATACATGGGTGTTACACATGGTGCATAATACAATTGTTGTGTTCCATGTGCAAAATGTGAAGCCTTGTTTAATTGTTTGCACCTTGCTGTCCAAATTGACCTTTTAGAGTTGATGTTTTCAACGCTGAGTAAGTGGAATTAAACATAGTTTAAAGCTCATTATTCATAGTAGTCGGGGTGGCACTGCCCTGTTATGGAGATGAAAACTGCAGATATCAGGGTTATGTTTGCTTCTGCATTGCTCTCTCTCCCTCTCTCTCTGCCTCTATAACTGTCTGGTTTGTTTGTGTTTCTATAATGCTGTCCTTACCTGGTTTGATTCTTTCTCTACCTCATGTTACTCGAGAAAATTCTGACCTTGGGTAACATCGCACGCATATAAAACATTTGCCAACATTGCTGCCGACTTCACTTTGATATGTGGATAAACAACATGCGTTTAGAGTGTTCTACTCTCTAAGCCTCTAGCAGATAATGTAATAATCATCAATGTTAGCAGTCTGGAATGGCAATCTTCTAATTGATTCAATGTCTTCTAATTTTCGGGTGCACAGCAGTATTTTTAATTCTTGCAGTTAGTATCATCTGTCACCATCTTTAACTCTGTCCCGTATTTAAATATTTTTATTTTGTTTCTATAAGCAAACTTTCTAAGTAAATTTAACTATAAATTTCCCAGAAAATCTTTATGCTGTCTTGTGTGTATACTGCTGAAACTAATCCACAGCAGGGGTAAAATGCACTTTCTTTTCTGATATCTAAATGCAGCGTCTTGCGCATTAATTTCCCTGTCTGTCAATGCTAAATTCAGTCATTTTGATGTTGCCTTCTTCACTTTTCAAGATGAAGTAATCCTTTTATTGGGGCTTGTACCGAAAGGTAAAATGTGTGTGTGTACTTTTGCGTTTTTAGGGCAACACCTGCCATCAATGTCGACAAAAAACCATAGATACAAAAACGATTTGTCGAAATGAAGGTTGTTATGGTGTGAGAGGTCAGTTCTGTGGGCCGTGTCTGCGTAATCGATATGGTGAAGATGTCAGAACAGCACTTCTGGACGCTGTGAGTATATTTTATTTTGTGAAGGAATGGTTTGATTTTTCTCGCTAGTTTTTTTTGTTTCCCAATTTTCCACTTTTATTAATTTCTCAATCAGTGGACTCGTATCCCCATTAGTCGGACAGCAGAACAATTGACATCACTCCCATTTGAAATTGAAGTATTTTTACTGCTTAACCTTTGTAAGAGCTTGTGTTTTCGGTTGTCTATGATAATACAGGCTCGGATCAAGCCTTTTACACGAATGACATTGCAGGATGCGATCCTAACACTAAGACATTGTGGGTATGATTCAGTAAATTTATCAATCAGTGGAGAATCGGGCCCAGCATGATGACTGTAATTATTGGTAGTTGGAGTCTGTTTCATGTGCCAATGTTTAGCCTGCAAGTAGCTAAATCATGGGTATGTGTACAGTCAAACATGTGGGTGGTGCAGGTTTGCTTTGAAACTATCTAGGATACTAAAGTCTGTCATCCCAACTATTGACTATTCTCCTTTGTGGCGGGGGGAGATAAGTGGGGTCATCCTGAAGCTGAACTGGCTCCAAGGTGACATGCTTGGCAACAGAATGTCGGAATTAAGCCAGCCATCTGTTGTGTTCATGGTAGTCTGGTTCCTGAGCCAGACCTGTTCGCAGGGAACTGCTGATGACAGCACAGCCAACCTGTCTCATTGGTAGGGCTTGGAGTTGTGACCGGCAATCTTTTCTGCAGCTTGTCCCAATGACCAGAGAGTTCTTTCAATGGCAAAATATGTGGTACCCCAATGCACACTCTGGGGGGTATCCAAGTCTTGGTTCTTGCCAGTCTGTGCTCAATGTTCTCAGGAATTGGGAAAGCAGGATACATCCCTCCAAGGAGAGAGTGCACACTCCATTCCAATATTCAAGAATTTCCATGTGTAGGTGGGATGTGAAACTCAGCTTGGTTTGGATACTCTTAAGTGTGATGATGGGTTTCTGCATCTGTCAGACACCCGGCTGCCTGACCAAAGATCTTTGCCGTAAAGTAGTTACCCAGTTTATGTCTGGGCTCCACAGTGTTTACATGAACTGTGTTTAGCGTTATCATGTTCCTTTAAAGTATCTGCATGTTTATTCAGTGTTATGTGAAGGTAATCGGAGGTTGAGTGCTGTTAATTTTAGAGATGTAATATCGGCTGTTTTATCTTGTGCAGGACTGGGTATGTCCTCCTTGCAGAGGGATCTGTAACTGTAGCTTCTGCCGCCGTCGGGATGGGCGCTGTGCTACAGGCATTCTTGTCCATTTGGCAAAGTTTTATGGATACGATAATGTTCAAGCCTATCTAGAAAGGTAAGCTGGGGAGTGTGTGGATTTGGGCAGTGTAAAAGTGGTGAAAACTGTCCATGAAAATTAGCTTTTGCTGTTAATTTATGGTTTAAAATTAAATTTTGCTCTGCTCCTAGTCTTCTGCTTCAGCTTTTTCTTCTTGAGGGTATCTTCCACATTGTGTATATATGATACAAATTTATATTTATACACTGCCTTTTATCCTGACTTGGGATTTGAGTGGGGGTGGGAAGGGAAAGATGATTCAAAGCACAGTCAGAGAGCCAGGTATTGAGATGCACTTTGACCATGGTAAGAGAGGAAGCAAGTCGGAGGAATTCTGGGATGGCTTTCCAAAGGGGGTATATAGACTGAAAGCCCGACTGCTGTTGGTGGGTTGGTAGAGTGCAGAACATGAAGCAGGCTGAATGATGGGAGTGGTAGGGTTGCTATGGATTGAGGAGGACACCGATAGTGTGGGGCACGACAAGAGGGATGTAAAGGGAGGATGAAGATCTTGGAGAATCCACTGAGAGATGGCGGAGCCAGATGAGGATGTGGGTGATCGACTTGTAGAACTTAGTGCAGAAAAGGACACTGGGTACAATGTTCTGGATAGTCTGCAACTTGTGTAGGGAGGTGTTGGGTAGTTCATTGATCAGTGGGTGATAAATTCATGGATTAGGGTCTTGGAGCCCTGAGGGGAGAGATGGTGAAGGAGGTTGAGGACAGCTCAGTGGGTCAGAGCATGGATGTGTGGTTTAAAGGACATTTGGGAATAAAAAAACACTAGTTTTCTACTGGCACTGCGAGGTAGTGTGCATCCATACAGGTTGATATATATTGTACATACCCCAATCTCATTCTGCCTATAATTCCACATTGAGGTAATCTTGAGTTTACTCAGTCCTTCAATTGTTAAAGGCTGATAAAATGAGTACTGTACAGGGTCTGTAATTATTCTTTCAGGGAGGCAGGTCAGAAAGATCTCTCCTGGATCTGCATTAATGCAAGGCAGACTCTGACCTCAGCGAGCCAAAGCCCTAACTGAAAGGGTGCTGGACAGTTGTGTGCAGAGTGGTTACCTTTTATCCTCAATATCACTGCCTTTGGATTCCAAAAATATAAAATAATCCTTGCATTTGATATAACTTTTCATGTCCGGAGTCTGTCTCAATGTGCTTTACAGAATTCATGCAAAGTGTAGTGACTATGTTTTTGTAGTTAATCACAGCAGCCAACTTGCACATACCAATGCCCCGGACCCACAATCAATCATGAAATGAGTGACTAGTTTTATTTGAGGGTTGTTTAATTAGTAATTTTGCATTTGGTATAGTGCCTTAGCACGTTGAAACTTCTCAAAGCGCTATCCACATCCAAAGTGTAGTGTCTGTATTTGTACCAGGGGCACAATCCAAGACCTTATTGTCAATGAAAACATTGACATCCTCGCCGAAACCTGGGTTACTCCAGGCGACACCTTGCCCCTGACAGAGGCCACATCACCCAGCTACACCTTCCATCATACCCCACGACCTAACCGCCGTGGTGGTGGTGTTGCTCTCATCTCCCAGTCCCCACTCAGCCTATCCCCATGCTCCTCTGGAACCTTCCCTTCCTTTGAGCAACTTACTCTTTGTCACCCCTCCAACCTTTCCCTCAAAATTCTCCTTATTTATTGCCCTCCCCCACCTTCCTCCCTGACATTTCCACCCTCCTATCTTCCCTCTCCTCTGCTCCAACTACCTCCTCATCCTAAGCAACTTCAACCTCCACTTCATCCCCTCTTGCTCTACCTCTGCTGACCTCCTCCCTCAACTTCTCCCTCCACATCCACTCCGCCACCCACGTTCATGGTCACCTCAACCTGGTGATCACTCGGTCCTGACTGTCTCGGTCCTCACCATCATAGAACATTGCACCCAGTGTCCTTTTCTGCACTAAGTTCCATCTCGGACCTCACCCGGACCATCACTTAATCTCCCTTAACACCGCCATATCCTTTCCACTTCTGCCTCTGAAAAAATAAACTCCTCCCACTCCCTCTCCGCTGTCCTGGAGTCATGCGAACTCCTGCCCCTCTGGCCCTCCTCGATGTCTTCTCCACAACTCCTTCTCCTCCATTCTTGTCTCCTTTGCCCCTCACATCCCCCGAACCGCCTCATATTCCTGTAAAACTTCCTGGTACACCATCCATCTCTGATCCCTCAAAGAACACATTCGAGCCACCGAATGCACTTGGACCAAATCAAACCTAATGGTGCATCGACAGATCTGGCTTGACCACACTAAGACTCCCGCTCCGCCCTCACTTTTGTCAAATAATCCTTTGACTCTTAAGATAATATTGGTATCCAGGGACAATCCCAGTATCCTCTTCTCCACCACTAACCCATCCCTAATCTCCAGTTACTGCCCATCTCCAACCACCCATTCCTCTCCAATGCCCCTGGAACAAGTCGTCGCATCCCAGCTTCGCTCTTTCCTCTCCTGCTATTCCCTGTTCTGAACCCCTCCAATCAGGTATCCGCGCTGCCCACAGCATGGAAACAGCCCTGGTCAAAGGCATTCACGACATTCTGAACATCTGCGACAAGGACTCTGTCTCCTTGTCCTCCTCGACCACTCCTGCCTTTGATACTGTCGACCACTCTATCCTACACCACCTCTCCTCAGCTCAACCTTCACAGACCTTGCCTGGTTCGAATCCTACCTCTCCCACCATCTCCACTTTGTCGCCACTAACATCTTCTCCTCCAGCCCCCACACCGTCATGTGTGGCATTCCTCAGGGCTCTGTCCTTGCTCCCCTCCTTTTCAATATCTGTATGCTCACTCTTGGTGACATCGTCCACAGACATGAGGTCAATTTCCACATGTATGCGGATGACACCCATCTCTTTCTTCCTCCACCCTTGACTCGAGGACCACTGCTGTCCTCACAGGCAGCCTGTCAGACATCAAGTCCTTGATGAAGGCTTACTTCCTGCAGTTGAATGTCAACAAGACCAAGGCCTTCCTGCTTGGCTCTCGTCAGCGCTTCCATACTTCAGGCGCTGACAGCATCTCCTTCCATGGAGCCAATACGGAACCTCGGCATCCTGTTTGACCCTCAACTATCCTTCATATCCCACATCCGTGCCATGACCCGCTATGCCTTTCCCACCTCCACAACATTGCTCGGCTCTGCTCTGTTTCATACCGCAGGCCGCCAAGACCCTCATATACACATTCATAACATCCAGGCTCGACTAAGCTAACTCCTGCTTGTCAGCCTCCCCAATTCCTCCCTCTACAGGCTGCAGATCATCCAGAACTCTGCAACCAATGTCCTCCCACACCATGCTCTGTGACCCTATCTTCCCCCATCCTCGCCCGACTCCACTGGCTTCCCATCACACAAAGGATACAGTTCAAGATCCTGGTCCTCACCTTCAAAGCCCTCCATGGCCTTGCTCCCCCCGCTACCTCTGCGACCTCCTAACCACTTACCAACCTGTCCGCTCCCTCCGCTCAGCGGGTTCCGGCCTGCTTCACGTCCCCCGCCTTGCCCACCAGGCAAACAACACTGGATTCTCTCCAAAAAATGAACACTTTGTGTGATCTTAACTTCTCATGTGAACTTTAATAAGGAAACCTAAGATCTGTTTTAAATGTGACAATGCCTTTTTAATGAGATTGCAAAGTATGGTTGTTGAACGTTCATCATCAATGCCCTTAACATTACATCAGTGACCTGAATCACCCAACCTGTTTCAGTAATCAGGTCACCTCACTAAGTAGGTCACTTTTGTCCAGTCCCTTGAGTAGTGAGGTCCTACTGTACTTTCAATTTATTATTACCTACATACATACTTAATGGAGTCGTGTATCTTAGTGATTAGAGCACTTGCCTCCCAAGCGAGAGCCTTGGGTTCGATTCCCAGGCAGGGCAAAACGTTAGGCAAGTTTCCTTATTCCACATACCTCTGTACCTAGCAGTAAGTAGTAACCCGGGTGTTAGTCGATTGGCTGATCGCTTTTCCGGGGGTAATGATCCCTTTTTAAAAAAATGATAATTTGGTGACTCAATCCACGACTGTGGGACATTGCTGTGCGCAATTGACTTCACTGGTTATACTGTATTTTGTGGGAATACTCTGAATGCTACAGCTTTAACTAATCAATTGTTTTCATGTAAAAAAAATTTTTCTTAGTTTACAGAAACAACTGACCGATGACTGAAATGCCAGCCATGATCAATTGGATACAATACAAGTGGAGGTTAAATACTCAAGGAAACAGTTTATTACAGCTGCTTTCTGCCTTTATTTTCTATGAACCAGAATTTTTGCATAAAAAAGTAGTCTTTAATTTACAAATGTTATTACTAGAACTTGAAAATAACTAGAAAATCTGTTGTAAAGGATTTTCTCCTAAGCAGCTACCTGTTACTGTAAAAGTTAATTCACACTGAGCCATGCATACAAATGAGTGAATTTGTGTAAATTGCAAATTGTTTTTTGTTTTATTGAAGAGTATACTTTTATAATGCAAAGCAGCCCGAGTTTACGTGGAATGCAATAATGCTACTGAAAAGCTGTATTATTTGAGTAAATAAGGTACTTATGATCTGGGAAAAACAATCTTGTGTTAAAAGTGCATTACCTGACACCATTGAACATCCATCCTGCTTCCATTGTGTTGTATGCAACATATTTTTGTTATGTAAAAACAGATACTGTAACTGGAAATCTAGTAGATGTTAATGCAAAAATTCATGTTCTGAGTGTCATCCCTTGCCTTTTTGTGTTAACGTTTCATCTTCCTACCAATCTGCAGTTAGTCATCTGCTGTTAGGAAAAGTTTAATTTTGGGAAAAAAAAGTTTGGGTTTTAAATAATTGTTGATTGTTTTAAATTAGAGCTTCCATTTATAAACGATTTTCTTTCAGAATATGTACAAAATTGTTGCAGTTTTATGTTAATGTTTACAGGTGTTTCAAAAATTGTTGCACTGAATGACCTTTACCTAGACTTGCATTGTTATTTTCAGTCTGTAACCATTTTCATGTCATAATAAATGATTTAAAAGTTGATGGCTGGTCTGCTATAGTGTTCGTTCTCAATCACCTCAAGCACATTTATGTTGAAATAAACTCAAGCTGTCTGTAAAAGAATAAAGACTTCCAGTTTTAAACATCAGTACAAGAACCCAAAACACAATCTAAACCTGCAGTTTTCAGTAACTTATAGATCATTATAATTATCTGTTATACCCCTATAGGAATCCACTGCAGGTGATATTTGTTCACCTAGACAAATAACAGAAGTGCCACTCCAGCAAGGATCCATTTGGCAGGCTTCTCTCTGGTCTTCAGATTAAAAGTCCAGACATATGTAGGTCCTCTGATTTTGGTCTTGTAAACTGGACATTCATAAATGTTCTTCATCTCCTGCCGGTCTACTGGAATGGCCCTGACATAGATGACTGGCATAGTGGGAGTCAGGTCTTTCAGACGTGCTTCTGCAATGATACCAGTCTGGATATCCCACCTTGCGCCTAAATTTCAGCAAATAAAAAGCAGTTTTAGTTGCATTAAATGCTGCAAACACTTAACAAGTTAATTTTAATTTGTTCATCATGCCTTAGTGTTGACCCAGCAGAGCTCTGTTTTTTTAATGTGTAAAATTATCCTTTTTGTTTTCTCCCTTTAGTCCATGACAAGGAAGTTATGGGCCTGGAATACGTCTAGAGGCTTGCCCAAGTCACATTCACTTATAATACTTCACTTTACATTTACATTTACACACATACAATAATAATCCTTGCATTTGATATAGCGCTTTTCATGTCTAGATGTCTCAAAGAACTTCACAGAATATACTGTAAAATGAATTGACTATTTGTGGGCTGAGTGACCAAATTATTATTTTTTTTTGGAAGGATTATTATTCCCGGAAACATGATCCACCAATCGACTAACAACAAGGTTACTACTTACTGCTAGGTAAACAGGCATGTGGAGTAAGGAAACTTGCCCAACATTTCACCCTGCCGGGAATATAACCCAGGTCTCTCGCAAGGTGAGTGCTCTAACCACTGAACTACTGGATTGAATGGCAGAATTACTGGATAGTAATAACTACCTGTTGGTTTTGTGCTAGGACTAAGTCAGCACAAACCAGGGATTAAGTTTAAGTGGTAGGCTAATATATTATATAAAGACCTGAATGCAAATTGCATTTAAGTTTTGAGGTGGTTCATGTTGGGAACTCTTGTCCATTGAAAATTGCATTAACATCCCATGAACTAAATAGCATCTTCAATAAAGAAAATATCTCTCGGTTAGACGATGAAAAATCAATAAGAGAAAAGTGCACTTTCTTCCCAATGCTTTATCCAGAATCATTGGAAAATCATTTTATGTGTTAATTTTGCCCAGTTGGAAATGTGCAGAAATGTGTTTTCACCTTCCACGAAGAGTCCATGAATGTAGGCTCCTTCTCTGGGTGGGTGGCTGTAATCTTCTTTGGTTTTCTTTGTGACATCCACAGTCAGACACATCTTATCCAAAGGCCATTCATTCTTGCGTGCCATGCTCTGCATGATTGCTGAAGAATGCCAGCATGTCAGTTCATACAGTCATTTTTATACACTTGGGATTTTACTCCCCCAAAGCCCACATTTTTGAAAGAGACCACTTGGATTTTTTTAATTATGCACAAAGCATTTCATGTTTAATTACTGTCAGTGCAACAAATTTTGCAGGCAATGCAACAGCCATTTTGTGCCTACAAATAGCCATAAAGCTTGAATAGAAAACACACATAGTTTTACAGGGCACAAAAATAGTTAAGTCGACCCAACTAGCCTGTGCTGGTGTTTATACTCTACACAAACCGCCAACCCTCCTATTCCTCTCACCTATACCCCTCTTAATTCCCTTCTCCATGTACGTTTCAAGTTTACTCAAATACATTGATGAATAACCAGTTAATCTGGAGGACTATCGGATGGAAGAACAGATCGATTGAACCTTGGTTTAATATCTCATCGAAGGCTAGTACCTGCAATAATACAGTGGTCCTCCAACACTGCACTGGAGTGTCAGCCTTAGCCTTAGATCCAGCTCAGCCATGGGGTTTGAACCTGCAGATTTCTGACTCAAACATGAGAAAGCTACTAATGGAAGGTTGAGTGTCAATTCCTGGTCTGTGTGGAACCATCTATCTCAGCCAGTGATCCGATCAACGCTACTTCAGTTTCTTCTTCATTGTTGCTTCAGTGTTTTGACTAGTAGCAAAGGTAGCTATTGGATCTGGAGTTTGGTTTCAGGTTCAGGAATAGCAGCAACCAAATCTCGATGCAGCAATCTAGGTATGACCTGATACCTGGCATGATATAAGTGCTCTGGGACCCTTCCCTGCATGAGGGGCGCTAAATAAGTGCAAGTTGTTGTTGTATTCAGCTTGAGTGTGAGTTCTGGGGATATGAATTGAATTGATTTGACAATGTAGCCCAGCGTACTGAACACCTTGTTTCTTGCTGTCTCACACTGTTTTGATACGGAAAGCAATGAGTCCCACACTCACATGAGTCAATTAAGATAAGATCCTATTCTGCTTTCTTACCTGTCATAACGGTGAATCTCCCAGTTTCAGACGGATATATCTTAACTAAAGCTAAGTGCACTTTTTGGATACATTTTGTGACTTACCAGTAAGAAAAGACTGAGGATTAAAAAATCCAGAAAGCCAGACAACAGCAGGAAGGCCAAGATCATGAGTCCAAGTGTCAAGTTCACGACAACGCAAAAGAACATCACAGAACCTGTGAAACAAAGAAAAATACAGTAAGATGCAACGAAAACACATACTTGAATGTGCGCAATTAAGTCACTATAATCATTTGGATTGGAATAAACTCAACATGCCTTAATTTGTCTATCCTTTTCAAATATTACTAAAATCGGTCATTAACTTCATGGCTGTTTGTCGGACACTGTTTGCACAAACTGGATGCCACATTTGCTTACAAATGCCCAATCAATATCCTTTATATTTTGAATTGCATGAAGTACTTTGAGGCGTTTTAACGATGTGATAAGGTGCAATATCAAATGCAAGATTGGTGTCAGCCATGCTCACTTTTGCTTCTGAGTCAGATGTTTGTGGGTTCAAGTTCCATGTTAGGACTTTTACTTCACAATCTAGGCATTTCGCCCACTAAATATATAGTCAATTCACTTTACACTATATTCTGTGAAGCACTTTGAGACGTCGTAAAGACGTGATAAGGCGCTAAATCAAATGCAAAGATTATTATTTTATGGCTGACATTCCAATCTATTGCTGAGGGTGTGCTGCATTGTCAGAGGTGCCATCCTTCAGACGAGATGTTAAACCGAGGCCTCGTCTGCCTGTTTTGGTTGAAGATCTGGTGGCAATATTCAAAAAGAGAAGGGAGTTTCCCCCAGTTCTGAACCAACAATCCCTGTAATAAAATTGGTCACTCACTTCATGGCTGTTTGTCAGACACAGTTACCACATTGTGCAGTAAAATCCTGTGAAGGCGTTGAGACGTCTCAATGACATGTACATCAAATGCAAGGATTTTATATACATTATATATTATATAAGCATTATTATTATTATTATCCTGCTCCTCTGAGGACGCAATACAATTTACATTTAAAAGAGCACCTGTCACATCAGCAGAATGTCTCAAAGCACTTCACAGAATGAAGAACAAATTGGAAGTTCTCTCCCTGGTTACTTTTCTAGCACTTTTGGTCGTTATCTCAAAGAAGAGATAAACGTAGGAGAAATAAAATTAAAACTCAATCAGATACTTTGTGTATCTAACCTGGGATCTTCCTTCTCTGTACTGCTGTATGGCAACATCTTTACCAACTGAACCTTAGCAGACCCGATTGTGAAGTTATAAATGAAATTTTCACAGCAGTTCAATTATCTATTTAAAAAACACTACATTAATATCTCTTACCACTGTGCCAAGCCACAGGAGGATGGATACGCCAGGCGAGTCCAGATCTCTGGGACTTTGTCATAGTACAGTGCTGACTGCAAATCTTCCATTTCAGCTGAGACAGTCAGTTCACCCTGCAAAGAATATAAACAAGAATAAATATGATAGGAAAGGGAAAAAAACAGCCAGGTCATCCAAGCTTTCTGAACTTGATTTACACAGACAACTGTATCCTGCTTTAGTTACATGTCTGTATCCTTCTACTCCCTCGCCTGTCAGGATCCTGTCTGTTTCTGCTGACTGTTTTGGCTATTTTAAAACATCTACAAAGGCTCCTTCTGCTCCTTAAGGTGTCAATCTGGCTCAGTTGGTAGCACTCTCCCCTCTGGGTCACAAGGTTGCGAGTTCAAGCCGCACGTTAGGAATTGGAACTCATATCATCTAAGATGACACTCCAATGAAGTGCTGGGGGAGTGCTGCATTGTTAGTGGTATCATCCTTCAGATGAGACATTAAACCGAGGTCCTGTCTGCCTGTTCAAGTAGATGTTAAAGATCCAATGATTGAAGAGAAAGATGTTTCTCCCTGTGTCCTGGCCAACAATTCTTCAAAATAAAAAAAAGTAGCCATTCACTTCACCGCTGTTTGTGGGGCACTGATGTGTACAAGTTAGTTGCTTTGTTCACCCAGAAAATACAGTCACTACACTTAAGTTTACAGTATTTCCTGTAAAGTGCTTTCAGATATCCTCCTGACTTGAAAGGTGCTTTACCAAAAGTAACTTATTTTTATTATTATTATCTAATAGTTTAGGGTGACTTTTTTCACGCAGAGGGTAGTGAGAATGTGGAACTCAATGCTGAACATAGTATTTGAAGCAAAAAGCATCAATCTATTCAAGAGGAAACTTGAGGCATACATGAGCAAGAGGGGAATTTAGCCGTATAAGAGAGGGGAATAAGAGGGTGGAGGCTCATGTGCAGTATAAACACGAGCATGGACTGGTTGGGTTGAGTGGACTGTTTCCATGTTGTATCCCACTATTTAATGGGACTTGAGATCATCGTTCAGGCTGACACCTCGTGACAGTGCTGGGGGAGTGCTGTATTGTTTGGAGGTGCCATTTTTTGAATAAGACTTTAACTCAAGTACCTGTTCTTCAGGTGAATGTTAAAGATCCTATTCAAACTTTTCAGAACTGTATTTCAGGCCTCCAGTACATATAACATTGTTTTACCTTCAGACCAAGATCCAATTCCTTAAGTGATCTCCGAATCTCTCGTGTAAGTATGTTCATGCGTTCACACTCTTGGAAACAAACAAGAACATAAGGAGTGCGCTCGGCTGTCTTAGCCATAATTTCTACCATGTTAAATTCTTCTGGAAGTTTCTCTACAATATCATCCAGAATAGTCTTCACCTAAAAAAAAAAACAGGTTAGTGTATCCGTAAAATTTTGGCCCAAACCAGAAACATATAAATGACTGAAATCTATACGTTAAATTACACGTTTCGAAGACTATAAAGCATCTAAAATTAGACTACATGAACACGCTTTTTTAAGTTGCAAGTAAATCAGATTCAAAAACGAAATGGTGCAATATACCATAGAGCCATCAATATTTTTGCAGCACAGAAAGAAGCTATTCAGCCCTTCATGTCTGTGCTGGAACTCTGAAAGAGACATCCATTTAAGCCCATCTCCTGTATTTTCCCCACACCCTTTAGACTGAAATCCGTACTGTTTAACCCTAACTCTGCCCAGGAATCAAATTCAGGTCCTCTCGCTTACGAGGTGAGTGCTCTAACCACTAAGCTACAGGTCTCCACCAAATGAAAGCCATCATCAGGCTTACGACTATCCAAATCAGACTTGAGAGTTCCATGCATTCCCCTTACACGTGGGAATTGCTGTGTACTGGAATAGAATTCACATTATCTCCCTGACAAGAACCAAGATTTGGGGACTCATCGGAGTCCATTGTGGGACTGCTGGGGTTTAATCTGCTAATACTGCGTAGCTTGCCAATTATTGAAAGCACTGTCTTTTTTGTGCTGCTTATCCAGCTAGGACAACACTATTTGTTAGGGCTTTGGCTCGCAGGGTTAACATGAGCTGGGTGGGAAGAATCTCAGTTTCTACATTGTTTCTGCTCCCAGTCACTATCATGGCCTACCAAATCAACCAGGCTGGCTGGTCTGTCTAATTCTTCTAACCTTTCCTATCTCCAAGCTATGATACTTATAATAATAATAATAATCCTTGCATTTGATATAGCGCTTTTCACTTCGGGAGGACTTCCCAAAGCGCTTCACAGAACACACTGTAAAGTGAATTGACTGTATATTTGTGGGCGAACGCGGCAGCCAATTGCGCACAGCAATGTCCCACAAACAGTCATATGGATTGAAAATGACCAATTTATTATTGTTTTTGGTTTTGGAGGGATTATTATTAGGTGTGTGGAGTAAGGAAACTTGGCCAAGGTTTCGCCCTCTGCCTGGAATTGAACTCAGGTCTCTCACTTGCAAAGTGAGTGCTCTAACCACTGAGCTACAGGACTCCACAAAAGAAAGACTTAGCATCTTTCTCTCACATACAAACATTTCAGTCACATCTGCCAATGTACACATACAATGGGGATTATTCTGTGTCTTGGTACATTTATGAGCAACCTGGAGCGAAGATCAGTAACTTTACTGACAAGCAGAAAGCAATCCTCAAAGAATCTGATTTTCCTGAAAGAATCACGTAGCTTGATTCCCTTGACAACTTATTGCTAAAAAAGGGGGCCTAAATGCACACAATTGCAGTGTGTTGCACTTGTATCAATCTCCTGTGACGTATAACACCACACACTCTAGTGCTGTACAGGGTGAACAATGACTGATGTTTAATGAGTAATTAAGATTAAAAAACATAAAATTAAAGCAGAGTGAAAATAGAGAAATCACACTTTGTTCTTGCTATTGTCATTATGTAGGGCACTCTGTTCTTCTGGACTTATTCCAAATGACTGATCACTGTGGCAATTTTGCTAATGATTTTATGCTCAGAGACATTACGCGATACCGATTGCTAATCTGTGCCCGTCCATCAGACAGTTAGGTGCTACAGTGGGTGCTAACGGCCATCATCAACACTCATCAGGAACCTGACGGCATCAATGGATCGAAGGATTGCAACTGTTCCCAGAGCAGTACAGAATTCGAATGTCTGGTGGCACATCCGATTAGGCTCCTCTAAGCAGCTGCATCTATATTTATGTTCAAAAACCATAGGCGACATAGGCAAATATTGTCAATAAACAGATTCCCCCAAAGATCACTGGTAATGATCGGCTGAGTGAGAATTAACTGAAAGAAACTGGTTCTTTTAACATGACTCATAGGAACAGGAGGAGGCCATTCAGCCCTTCAAGCCTCTTTTGCCATTTAATTAGATTATGGCTGATCTGTACCTCAACTAATTTTCAATTCCAATTTCCCACTTTCTCCCCATATCCCTGATATCCTGACCTACCAAAAATCTATCAACCTCACTCTTGAAGGTGTGGATGGATCCAGCACCATTGGCCTTTTTGGGGAGAGAATTCCAGATTTCTACCACCCTTTGAGTGAAAAAATGCTTCCTGATTTCACTCTCAAATGGGCTTGTGTCTGCCTGGCTCAGTTGGTAGCACTGTTGCCTCTGACTCAGAAAGATGTTGGCTCAAGCTCCATGTCGGGACTTTGAACTCATTGTCTACGTTGACACTAGTGCAGTGCTGTGCATTGTGGATTGTTAGAGGTGCCGTTCTTTGGACATGACATTAAACCATTGTCCCTTCTGCCTGTTCAGATGGACATTAAAGATCCCATTTTACGACTCAAAAAAAAGGGAGTTCTCCTGGCCAACAATACCCCAGATAAAGCTGGTCATTCACTTCATGGCTATTTATGGAACATTGCTCTGCACAAATTAGCTTCCCTGTTTCAGTCGCAAAATTCACAGGCACAGCACTTGACGGTATATCCTGGGAGGCACTTTGAGTTTCACAGACACGAAGGCGCTATATCAAATGTAAGGATTATTATTATTATAATAACTTTGGAGTCACATATGTTTTGTCAATTAACATAGTGTACTGATTCTAAATTAATACATAAAGTGAGATCAATCCTCCACCGCGAGGGAAATTTAATCACAAGATTGGTTTGGATGGAGAAGGTCCGTTGGTCCATATAATCTTATCCTTCCAGAAAGCCCACCCTATCGTTCCCCATTCCATCACAACATCAAGTTGATTTTTAATGAGTCTAGTGTCCTGGTACAGTCATCCTGACCTTCTCCTCTGTTGTTTGCGCAGATCCCTCTCCGACAGATGAATCTCTCGGCTGCAAATCCAGAAGTGTTCGAAAGAGTTGATCTGAAGTCACCGTGAGGAATTCAATTTCAGCATTAGAATGCAGGCCATAAAGAACAGGACTCTCTGGAGGAAGGATTTCATCAATGTATCTATGGTAGCCAACATAGTCCATGTTGGGAGGAGCTGTAAAACCTGGTGCCAGTGTAAGCTCTCCTTCAAACTACATAACAACAAAAATCAAATATATTTGTACCCAACCAGCAGTTTGATGAACAATAGATACGTTATACATTAATTCCAGGATTACTTGGAAGGCTGAAAATCAGTGGTGCATGAAATGTGAATAGTACTGTTCATCAGCCAAACTGGACATTCATTGCGAATGAAATATTATTTTGTATCATTTAATAAGCATCACGCTCAAAGAAGATGATTTACATCTCGAGTAAGCTGCTTTGACGTATATAAATGAAAACAATTGAAGGGATAATGTTTTACTCAAATCATTTAATCAATATTAGGTGTTTGAATAATGCAATTACATTTTGTTAAATTAGTGATATTAATGTAACATATTCTAAAAATAAATCTTTCAAATTAAAAACATGTTTGGGGATAACTTTCAGGGATTTTATGCCATGAATTGAAAATTTGAGGTCCAGCTAGATGGACAGAACCAGTGATATGTGGAAGATACGACTCCTGCAACCAACTCTCAGTCTGTGCCACACCTACAAATCATTAAACCAAGTAATCTAGTAACACAAACACCAAGTAATCTAGTAACACAAACATATTTTAAACAACTGTGATGCATTTCTTCAGATTTCTCAGTAGAGGGCACCAAAAGCCCTATAAATTCTGGTCTGGAGCCTGAAGGTCGTTCATCACACTAAACCGGTGATATTAAAAATTAGTTTAGATCATATCAGATCAGAAATTCTATCTCCATTTCCACAAGTAGAAATATTTTCCAAGTGGTCAGCTATCATCAGTTAACAGTCCTTTCCTATCAGTGCTTTAAATAGGGTTTACTCTTTTCTCTGAATAAGGTTAGACTATTTTGCCCAGTAACATTCCACATAAAATACCAGAAATACAAAGATGGTGCAGATCTCTTCAGAAATCATTATTAGTCACCTGGGCTTAAATCCAAGGCTTGCACTGCTGAATACCATTGCAACTTTTCTTTTTACAATTGAAAGAATGAAAGAGACGAAAACAATAATGGACATGCAAGAGAATCAGTCAGCTTGTGAATTAAGAAAGGGCTTGATTGAAGAACAACAGGTTGAATCTTTCAAGCAAGCTACAGCTTGCTACCAGCTGTCTGTTCATTATTACTGTACACGCCATAATGTAATAGAGAGAACACAGGGTTGTCAACATTCCTAAATAATACTGAAGGTGATGATTATTTTTATTGTTAAAAACGGAGAGGGGGGGAGACGTGTGCACATACACATTTGAATTTCTCACTGCTTCTTTTCTCCCCTCTACTCCCGTGTAGAGGCACATTTTTTTGGTCAGTCAGGCGTCTGACACATGCGGAAACCCATCACCAGGCTTAAGAGTATTGAGATTTTCATGCATCCCACCTACACGTGGAAATCGCAGCGGTAGATTGTTGGAATGGAATGCGCACTCTCTCCCTGGAGGGATGCAACCTGCTCACCTAATTCCGGAAAGTATTAGGCGCAGGTTGGCAAGAGCCAAGGTTTGGGGACCTCAAAATGTGCATTGGGAGCACTGCTGGAGTCTAACCAGCCAAAGCCACATAACTTGCCATTGATATTTCTGTCTGGTAAACTTTCCAGCTGCTTGTTGAACTAAGACCACCCTATCCATTAGGGCTTTGGCTTGCAGGGTTAATTCCTTGCCCCCGTGACTGGTCTGTCCTTCCTGGTCCTGCCACTGGCCTTTTGAGGAGGAGTTCTTGCTGGGTGGCTGTCACTAGACTGTAAGTGTTACAAAAGAAAAAGCCCTAATATGTAACTGAGATTGCTGCAGGCCCAAGAGGAGACTGGGCATCTACAATAGGTAAACTGCAATAGATATAAAGTTTCTCCTGGACTCTGGCATTACAAACAGAAGCACTGATCTAGAAGCAAGCTGTACAGCCAGTCAAAAAGGAATAAGATGTGCAAGTCTGGGAGGCTATGAACAGAGAGAGAGAGAGAAGAGGGTGGATATATGCATGCCCTCAGACAAAAAGTATGGTTAAGAAACATTTAAACAAATTAGAATACATTAGAATATATAGCACAGAAACATTAGGCCCATTGGTCTATGCCGGTGTTTATGCTCCACATGAGCCTCCTCCTGCCCTTCTTCAAATAAGCCTTCAAGCATAACCTTCTATTCGTTTCTCCCTCATGTACCTATCTAGCTTTCCCTTAAATACATCTAGTACTTAGATATACAAATTATAGAAATATAAGTTATAGTACTTACCATGTCTGGATGCATGAATTCTTCTAAGTAGCTACGGCATAGCCTCCTGTCCCAGTCATCAGTAATGTGTCCCCCATACATGATCTCCCCAAAGAGATAACGCAGGTCCTCCCAAGGCACCTAGAGCAATAAGAAAATACTTGGATCATCTCAATTCTCAAAAGAATGTGACTTGTGACTTTTCTTCATTAAATATCAATAGGGTAAATTATGAGGGATGATGATTTCCACAAATATTAAAGATTATCAATAAGTGTAGGCTGTCTCCTTAAAGGCAAGTTCAGCACCTCTATAAGCTTTCTTTATTGATTTCTATCAGACTAAAATTTATTCTAAAGGTTCCTTCATACACTTTTTTTAAATTAATATTTTCAGCAGCTCTTGTTTCTGCATCAAGTTTTTTGTTTGAATGTATGTTAATTTGAGTTACCAAGATTACCACTGAGATAAAGGTTATCGGGTGAGGTACTTGTGTATCTGCCTGGCTCTGTTGGTAGCACTCTTGCCTCTAAGTCAGAAGGTTCTGGTCCCATGTTAAGACTTTTTGAAATCACAACTTGCCTGAGGCCAAGTCCAGTGCTGGGGGAGTGCTATACTGTCAGAGATGCTGTCATTCAGATAAAATGTTAAATTAAGGTCCTGTCTGCCTGTCCAGGTAGGTGCCTGTGAAAGCTCCATGGCACTATTGCAAAACAGAAGGGAGTTTCTCTAGGTGTCCTAGCCAATAATACCTCAGATAAAATTGGTCATTCACCAATTTTGCGACATTGTTGTGTGCAAATTGTCTGCAGCATTTCCCTACAAAATATAGTCACTCCACTTTGAGATTAAGCTGCTTTGGAGCATAGTCTGTAACATGTAGGCACCTCTCAGAATGTGCTATGAGTGACTTAAAAGGTAGGTTTTGGTATCTCTGTGACACAGCTTTGTGACTTAGTGATGAAAGTGCTCTGAGACGTTATATTGCAATGGAGAGCGCTATATAAGTGCATGTTGTTGTTGTTGAAATAAGATTTAATCGGCAATCAAAGCTAAATTCATCTTATCTATAATTCCTTTGCATACTGTCACTCTTAATTCTATCAACGTAAAAGAACTTTTCAAGATAATCAAACATGGTCTTCTCCGCATATCCATCATTACCGAATAGAACAGATGTTTTACCCTAAACTCAATCTAGCGGTTATTGTGTCCTGCACAATTTGGTTGCACTGATAATAATAATGCTTATATTTTGTGTAGCAACTCTCACATCGGGAGGACATCCCAAAACGCTTCAAAGGACTGTGACTGTTTTGTGGGAAAATGTGGCAGCCAATTTGTGCGCAGCAATGTCGTACAACTGGCCATGATCAACTTTATTTTACACCAGGAGAAGCTTCCTTCTTTTCTTAATAGAGCCATGGGATCTATAATAGCCACCAAAACGAGCAGACAGAACCCTGGTTAAGTCTCATCGGAAGTACAGGACCTCCAAAAGTACACACTACATATATTCATCTTAGACTAAATAAGTTCAAATTCCTGATGTAGAGTGGAGAAACCCTCATTGGTGTGAAATGACTCAATGACAAATTATCAATCTGCATTCATGTTTGGTTGCAATTATTGATAGAGAAAAGAAACGCCCGACATCACCAGCACCGGCTAAGGCTTCGGTGATTAACCTAAAAAGATTTAGAAATACTCATCATATTATACACCCTCTGCATGCAATTCAAAAAATAATTTTATTTAATTTAATCTAATTCTAGAGGATGCTAGCAGGAAAGAAAGAAGAGGGAAAGGGGGGTGAGGCATTAGCATTTTCTTTTTTTGTCCAACAAATGTCTGACAAATGTGGAAATCACTATGCTTATGAGTATCCAAACCAAACATTTCCACATCTGTGTGCTACCAACATATGGAAATTTTGCTGTGTCTGAAATAGAATGTGGACCATGCTTACCTAATTCCAGAGAGTATTAGGTGCAAGAGGTTGGCAAGAGCCCATAGTTTATGTTGGGGTACTGCTCGAGGTTAACCAGCTAAACTGCATAGCTTGTCATTGAGAGCACTGCCTGGTAAGCTTCCTGCCACTTGTCCAGCTAGGACTATCCTATCTGTTAAGGCTTTAGCTTGCAGAATTAACAGGAGCTGAATGGGAAACTTGCCCATATTATAGTGCCCTGGAGTAGTGTGGCCTATCCTGGCTTAGGAACTGGGGTAACAAGATCGCCACAGTGGGTTGAATTGATCTGATATTCTGTTGCTGAGCATTTCACCCTGGAGCCAGCTCAGCTCCAACGAGATCCTGCTTACCTCCCTGGCAAACAGTCAACTTTAGTATGATAAAGTTGATAATGATAAAGCAGTCATTTCTATGTACACAATTACTGTGATTCAGTTTTACAACCATGAATTCTGCTCTAACAGTACAAATTTACGGTTATTAGAAGACATGTGAGGTCAGTGGTTATTATCATTCTAAACATGCCCTGCTTCTTATGCACACATTTCACCTTGTACCTACCAGCTCACTGCTGCCTTGAGATATGAAACTGTAATGACATATTTATTTTAATAAGGTAATCAGTTTAAATACATTTATTCTTAGAACTTGGTCGAATAACGAAAATATTACACACCCTCTGCATGCAATTAGATAGGCCAATAAAGGTTCAACTGGTAATAAAACTCTGCACCCCCCTACCTCTCTGACCTCCTCTCTCCTCAGCACAGTACCCGTTGCTTTCTTTCCTCCGGGTCTGGCCTCCTCCTTGTCCCCCGAGTCCTCCGCTCCACCCTCGGCGGCCATGCCTTCAGCCACTATGCCCCGAGGCTCTGGAACTGCCTTCCTCACTCCCTTCGTCTCGCTCCCTCCCTTCCCACTTTCAGGTCTCTGCTGAAGACCTTTCTTTTCGACCGCACCTTTGGTCACCTTCCCACCCTCCCCCTGGCTCGGTCCCGGGATCCTAAACAAGCGCTCTGAGACGCCGTCCGGCGTAGAGGGCGCTATATAAATCCAAGTTGTTGTTGTAAAACGTGTGCAACAACTAACAGGAACTAACTAAAAGCAAACAAACAAATGTATCCTTAAATTTTTTTTTGCTGAAAAAGACATTACTGTTTTGATATTTTGAGGCTTATGTTTGGTTTTCATGGCCTTTTTATGTTTCTTCTTGCTGAGGACAAACCGAGAATCAATAAATACTCTATTACCCTATTTTCAAACTACAGGAGCATTTCTGCACAAGATTTCCTGATACAATGATTAAACCCCAATTTGTGTGGTTGATCTGTGTATATTACAAAATCATTAATATTTCATTCCTCATTACAGTCAGGCAATTATTACCCACAACCAGAAATGTATAGCAAACAGATGATTATTCAAGTTGTGTATTAAAAATGTATTTGCCTTTAAAGTGCAAAAGCATGATTTCATGGACAAAATGATTCAATACTCTCAGGACATTTGATGCTGCGACTTGGGTAAGACACATAATTTGTCAAAACACACTTTTATCAGTCTCTGGTCATATCAGTATATAGAGTACTGTATTCCCACTTGGTAGATTTCAGTGTCAAAGTTTCAAACTACCAAGCCAGGAAGCTGTGAAATTAATTATCTTTCAAATTAAAATCTACTTAGGTTACATTTTGTTTGACTACTTTGTTTCAATTAAATATTAGAATTATACCGATTGCTCAAAACAAATCAGTGCAAAAATCTTTTACACTTCAGATGCTGTGCGTTATTTACTTATTCACATCCCAGAATCAAATTACATGAACCATTAAGGTCCTCAGGCAGATTTAATTACTTTCAATCTCTCTTGATTTCAATCACAATATGGCTCACTGAATAATATACATCTGTTAAAACATATAAAAAGTACCAGAACTGGGAAAGTCAAAGGAAGGAGGGAATTTCAAACTCATAATAATGACAAATACACAAAAATATACAGCCATTTGTACATCTGACATGCCCTAAATAGCTACCATCATCATAACTAATTGTAGATGTTCTTCATGCAATGCTGTAAACTGTCAGATATGCTGTATCCAATTACTTTTCTTTCAATGCTTCATTGCCTGCCTAATGAATTCTCTGTATATGCACATGTAGCACTGTTTTGTTAACATAATGGAGGGCATTTTTCCTTTACCACAACCCCATGACCTGTAAATTTGGTGTATCGGAGCAGTTCACAGCCATCTGAGGTTTTCCCAAAGGAGTACAGTACATCTTTACTGGTTGGGAAATACTATTTTCAATGTAATCCACTACTGATAGGATACTCTGACAGCCAGTTGTCTAGGTTTTTATACTGTGAGTTTAAAGTGAAAGCTAATCATTGCTGTGTCTGGCAGCTGATTCATGGTTGAGGTTGTTTCACCATCACATAGATTTGTACCCATTGCAGTATGAATACAGAGAATGTAAACTGATTTGGTTTGCTCAGAAAAATGTTCCTTACTATTTCATGTGACCATCTCTATAATAACATTAACAGAGCCATGAGTTTGTTGCAAAATATACTTTTAGTTCAAACCCCTCTTATTAGAAATAGAACAAAAAAGTTCCAAACCCACACGGTCCCTATTGGGGCCACTTGATATTGATGATTCTTCACCATACTGTTTTGCAATAATTATTTTCTTTGTTTCTAGTCGTAGCAATGTGACAAAAACAAAATCCTTCCTGATTCTATTAATCACTCAACAATAGAGAGAGAGAAACAAGAGGGACAGACAATGGCTGTGGGTAGCTTCTGACACCTCTTGATGGCTGGGGACATGATACCTTTTTGAGGTCCTTGTTGTGTTTTAGCTTTGCAGTCGTTTTCTTATTAAGGCAACAATTTCTCCATTAATAATACATAGCAGGGTTTACTGTAGAGCTCTGTACACTCAAAATACTTGATCCGTGAACATGTGGCACAATATCACTGGAACAGACAGATCCAACACTAAAGCAGTGATAGGTGGACAGTAATTGCAAAGTGCCATCTTAATTGTGCCCAGTGTCTCTAGAGGAAGAAAGCAACCTGTCTTGCAAAAACCTGCATGATGCAAGATTATCAATTTTCAATTGTCTGAGACACCTGACACAAATAATCATCATTTTTTGGAGTCCTGTAGCTCAGTGGTTACAGCCCTCGCCTCGCAAGTGAGAGACCTGGGTTTAATTACCAGCAGGACGAAGGGTTGGGCAAGTTTCCTTACTCCACACTTGGCATTAAATTCCACGCACTAAAAATACTAACAATAAAAAAAACTCACTTACAACAACAAAATTACATTAATAGAGCACCTTTCATGTTGGGAGGACGTCCCAAAGCGCTGAACAGTCAGGTGTTGGGGCCCGAGGCATGGGGGAGGGATGGTGTAGGGATGAGAGTGGGCAGAGAGGTGGGAGGGAGACCAAAGGCACGGTCGAAGAGAAGGGTTTTGAGACTGGCCTTGAAGGAGGCAAGGGAGGAAGCGAGGCAAAGGGACTGTGAGATGGAGTTCCAGAGTGTGGGGGCAGAGAGGCTGAAAGCCCGGCCCCCGATGATAGGGCGGGTCAGGCGGGAGACATGGAGCAGGCCGGAGCCCGCTGAACGGAGGGAGCGGGCAGGTTGGTAGGGAGTCAGCTGATCAGGGAGGTAAGAGAACTTATTCATATTATTGGACAAATATTTGAAAAAGAAAAATACACAGTGGAGCCCTGTTATATACTTTCTGGAATTAGGTAAGCAGGGTGTGTCCTTCCAGGGGGAGAGCACGCATTGCATTCCAGACACAGGGAAATTTTCATGTCTAAGTGGCGTATAGGCATAGTATGTCAAACTGGTACAGTGGTAGTAGCGCTCTTGCTTCTGAGTCAGAAAGGTGTAGATGCAAGCCTCACGTTGGGACTTGGAATCACATCATCTAAGCTGACACTTCAGTGAAGTACTGGGGGGGTGCCGCATTGCCGGAGGTGCTGTTCTTCAGATGAGACTTTAAACCGAGATTCCATCTTATGAAGTCTTTGGGTATGATCTGAAGACGAACAAGGAGTGGGCAAGGTAGATGGATTGAAGCAGGAAGTTCCATAGTTTGTGGCTGAGCCCTACCGCTGATAGTGAAGTGGTGGGGACAAGGGCTGAGGAAAGTGGGCCTGGTAGAAGAGTGGGAGTAAGCAAGTCAGAGAGATAGGAGAGTGCCAGGCCATGAAGTCATTTGTATGTGAGTGTGAAGATCTTGAAATTGATCTGTTCTGCTACAGGGAGCCAGTGGAGTTTGGGGTGATGAGGGTGCAGAATTTACTTCTGGTGAGGATACAGGGGGTGGAATTTTGAATTAACTGGTGAAAAGGGCACTTAATTTTGTTGTTGTTGTTAAGCATGATGATAGGTTTCTGCATGTGTCAGACAGCCGGGTACCCAAAATTGTTTCCACTGCACTCTAATCTGAAATAAACGAAACCATTGAAGACTTTATCTCGTATAAACACTTTTAAAGAAGGTGAACAGGACAGAAGGGAAAAGCAAAAGTCACGTCGAAGAGCAGAATTTCTTCAAGGAAGGTATTCCTGGAAGAAAAGTGGCAGTGAATTAAACAATAAACTTTGCCTTTTGTGGACTACCTATAATGCTTTGAATATTTTCAAACAAGTCATCAATATTCTGGAACCAATGCCAATAATTTAGTACAAAATTACAGTTTTGAATGCCCGAGATTTTTGGAAGGATCATTCTATGGTGTCAGTATTTTTTGCACCTTTCAACAGGAAATGTTTTTTGAGTGTTAAATCTATTTCAGGTGTTATTACTGATGTTTTGTATTTAGCATTGTAAGGTAGTGGCAGGCACAAACTATTGTCAGCCAAGTATATAATCACTATGAAAACCAATTATTACACAAAAAAGCAACTTTAAAAAAAAGCCGAGTTGTTAATTTGTGTCACTTTCTGAATGTTAACTAAAGATCCATTTTCACTAGATTTGAATACATTCTTCTTTCTTAAACACAAATTAGCTGTGCAACTTCTGCTCTGTACTATAAAGTGCTATGACTAGTGTCACTTTTATACTATGATTCCTGCAGTTAGTACTGTGACACTGAGGGTTTGCTGCTTTGCCTACGCACTTGTGTGGTGTGTGTGTTTGTGCGGGGAGGGGTGGGGGGATGGAGGGGAAGACCTGACGATGTCCAATATACTGTGAAATACACTAAACATTATTTACCCCAATTGTCACTCAGAAAATAATAGCCCAATATTAATAGTGTGTGTATGTGTGACGGGGGCTTTGTTTGCAGCCTTCTCTCCTGATTCTGATAGCCTAATTTCAGCAGCAATCAAGAAAACATTTTTGTGCGAGTCCATGCCATGTGACATCACGGTGCGCTAATTAATCCTGTCCACACTCCAGTGTTGACCCTTTTCATTCTGTTGACAGGGACAAATTTGCCTCAGAGGCAACGGGAGTTATGACTCTGTTAAGGGACTGGATAATGCGGTGACAGGAAGGACAACTGCTTTTTACTGTGGATTTTCTGCAGAGGCAGGCTTGTCTCTGGATCCAAACCCAGAGAGTAAAAGGGGTTGTGGAGGAGTTTTTGGATGTGTATGAAATCCCTGATGTTTAGAAAACAGCTATAATATTAAATTTTTCCACAAAGTGCACACTTTACAGTATATTATGTGAAGCGCTCTATCAAGGTAGGAATGGTACTCAATGAGACATTGCAATGAGAATAACATAAAAATGAAACAGTAACATACATGATAACGCAATAAAGGCACAGTTGAAATGTTTGCATTATGAGTACCTGAGCACTGCTCTCTTTCTCCCCCTCACTCCCCCACCCCTAGCTCTCCCCTTAAAGGATAGGACAATTCCTGCCTCTGTGGTGAATGTATTCCCCTCTTTACTAATTTGGATTACAACAAATAATAACGTCTTCCTACTGCCAAACAACCCTGCTATTGAGGCGACATAAATAGAAGCCTCGATCCATTCTCTTCGAAGCTTCTGTTCCATTCGATCCAATGTTTTCTTGCATAATAAAAACTTCACAGGACAATTTTTCTGTTCTTTACACAATGCATTCCGCAGATAAACCTCTTATTATTGTGCCAGCTGTGTAAAAAAAATAAAGATTTAATGGCTTACTTTTGCATTTGCTTCAAGATAATTGTAGAGGACGTTGACAGATATGGTGAGATCTCCTATATTGAAAGGATAACTTCGGTTCCAGCCCTGTGGGCCAAACTTGCGCCTCTCTGCCACACAGGCATGAAAGTAACAGAGAGAGAAGAGGATGCTCTTGAACTCCTGCTCCCGTGCACACATTTCCAGGGTATTCTGCAACAACACATCAAAAGGAATCAATGAACCGATGACAGTGCCAATCTTTTTGAAACATAAGGATTATCATGACAGCTACAGGGTTTGAAGGCAGACATTCCACACTAGGATTGGGAGTAGAGGGGTTAAGGGTGATATCGCCAAAGTGAATTTCAAGCAAAAACGAGTCCAAATCAGGTCATTCAGGTTAATTTGCCGAATGTCTCATTTGGCTCAATTTGGACAGTTTAACTTTGTGATCTCTCTGTCAGTCTGTCTGCTTAAAACAAACACGTGACAGTTTTCGTTTGCAGAGCATCAGTGCTGTCAGTGCCTCAATCCTGGCATCACCTCAGCTTTTATTACAGTGATGCTGCTACGCCCATCATTTGCTCTTACTCTAAAGAGCATGCATTTATTGTAACCATTGTATTTCTTCAGCAATAACATAGACATTTCACATTATAAGACTATTTGATTGTATACATCATAAATTGCATTTAGTTAGATTTAATTCCTTTCTGTTTTTACTGGTTGAATATACTTAGAGCATTTTTAAAATAAAAACAACAAACGTCTTGTACCAAGCAAAAAGTTGGCTTAATATTGTTGTAGTGATATCAGGTGTCTGCCTCACTCAATTGGTAGCACTCTCGTCTCCGAGTCAGAAAGTCATTGCTTCAAGCCCCATGTTGGGACTCTGAACTGACATAAGCTAGTCTGCCACTTTGATTCAATGGTGGGGGTGTGCTGCACTGTTGAATGTGCCAGCTTTCAGATCAGACATTAAACTGAGGTCCCATTATGCACATTGTTGTGCACAAATCAGTTGCCACATTTGTCTGCAAAATACGCAGTCACTACACTTTACAGTAAATCCTCTGAAGAGCTTTAAGACGACCTTCTAACGTGAAAGGCGCTACATCAAATGCAAGGATTTTTTTATCATAGCAAGTGCAAAGCACAAGACTGCAGATGTGTAATTCTCTGGCTCTCACCTGGTCAAAGTTATATAGGGCAGCATGCAGGTTGGCCAGCATGCCATTAGGTGGCTCATTAGTGATTTTGATTGAGCTTTCCAGTATTCCTTGGGGAATGATGTGTTCCTCTGAGGTTGAAGCTGGCTCTGCACTGATGAACACTCTGTAGTCGGGATGACTGCCCTCACTGTATTGCTCCAGCAGCTTTTCTAAGGTTCCCAACCATTTCACCACAAGATGAACATTCTGAAAGGCAGAGCACGCAAACAACTTATAATTTCAATTTAAAACTTGCACTGCAAATGATTTTCCGAATAATTGCATTAATAATATTCTAAACGCTTCTCCTCATTTGACTAAACATAACTTAGACATTGGTCCCTCAATTCTGGGACCGAGTTAGAGTTAAGCCCAGCTGATGGGATGAAACTCTCCTCTTTCTAGTGACTACATGTTTGGTAATCTTGTTTTTTGTTGTTAAAAACAATTCCTGTCCTTTTCTTAGTGTACCATTATTTGCTTTGTCAGTTGTCGTCTCAGAAAGATAATGACTTACACCAAAACACCATGGATTAAAGGATTTGGGTTATGTACTGCTATGTGTCTTCCCCAAAGTAAATCAATAAAACATTGCCGAATAAACCCTCTTGTTCACCATATAGACAGCAAGACCCCACCTTTCTAAGCATGTGACATTTTATTGGACTGTCCTACTTAACTATGGCTTAATTCAAAGAGAGACCAGTTAATGGAACTTTAAAAACTGATGTTAATAAAACAAATGTTTCCTATTATTCGTGGCAGGTAATTTTACACACTAGCACATATTTGTCTCTTATTACACAGCTGTAGTATCATTACAATGTACCTGAAGAATGACCCAGTGACCTTCCACTGAGGATTTCTCCAGAGCCTTCTCTGCTACCTGCTCCTGCCCTTGACCCAGAGAAACATTATGGAATTTTCCAGAATCAATGGTAAATCCCAGCTTTTTACCTATGAGGGAAAGTATACATGAGGGACAGTCTTTCATCACACAATTGCATTCAAACCTGGGCAAGCTTGATCAGGTTTCAGCAACCCGCCTTTGGAACTCTGGTGTGCCATATATTCTGGTAAGTGGAGCAGTGTTTAACCTGAGATTTTTGTTGGTTTGTAATGTCCTAACTGCATGTTGTCAATACAGGATTTTACTGGTGAAGGAAGTGACATCAGCAGTGACTTGACGTCCCGGAAGGCTGCTTTTTTTAATAATGCGGAGTAAGAGTTTATAGACCAAAATCACTGCGTCATAACAAGATCAGCCACTATATTATTAGGATACTTTGACTTTTGGGGAAGATGGGATAAGTATAATCCTTACCATCTGGCTGTTTGTGCATTGGTCAAAGAACCTGGATTTCTGAAATGATTGCATACAAGGATTTCATCATGCAAAATCAAATTATCCGGGCCATCACCACAAACAGCCATGAAGTGGATGACCAATTTGATCTCGAAGATTGTTGGCCAGGATACCAGTGAACACTTCCTTCTCTTGCAAATGCAAGGATTAGCATAAGATCACATATTTTGCATGCCATACGTCTGAGCAGTGAGGCACACATGTTGGGTTCAGGTTTAGTCCCACTTGCTGCTGTATGCCAGCTGCCTCACTTATAGCTGTGAGGTGGATGCTCTGAATGGAGGACAGGAATGATGTTCATCCCAGTTATTCCCTCTGGCAGAGCCCTCACAGTTGCTTCTCGAGCAATGGTGAATAATAATAATATAATAATAATCCTTGCATTTGATATAGTGCTTTTTACGTCTTCGAGACATCTCAAAGCGCTTCACCGAATAGACTGTAAAGTGAATTGACTGTATATTTGTGGACGAAATGCGGCAGCCTATTGCGCACAGCAGTGTCCCACAAACAGTCGTGGATTGAAGTAACCAAATTATTATTGTTTTTTTTGTTTGAGGGATTATTATCAGGCGTGTGGAGTAAGGAAATTTTCCTAAGGATTCACCCTGCCAGGAATCAAACCCAGGTCGCTTGCTTGCGAGTGCTCTAACCACTGAGCTACAGCACTCCATGTTCAGAGAATATAACTCAGAGGTCAAATATTCCTTTTTTTAATATAACAAATTCTGCATTAGACCATCAGGGAATGACATTCTGGATTACAAGATAAACTGATGAACATAACCAAGGTCAAAGCACTTTAGCGACAGCGAAGTGAAGGCAGAAAGTGAGAGTTTACCGTGTGATGTTTTTGTCTTTCCGAAAGCTATCCTGAAAATGGTTAATTTAACATAAATATACTTGCTCTTTGCATTGGGAGTCTGTAGTCTTAATGTAGTAAACTCAAGATGGAAATGGAAGGCTTGCATTCTAGGATTAATACAATCTGACACAGTGGCAAGCACATCAGCTGTCATTTTTGCTGCAGACCTTAATAACGATCTTTCACAAACTCTAAATGCTTTTCAAACACTCGTGTAACTGTCTATTGCTTCTGCTTTCATGTCCCCAGCAATCTGCCTCAGTGGACTTCCAGTGCACATGGTTTTATTCTGAAAATACAGTCACCATAAAATACAGAGGCTGTAAAATGGATGGTACTGGAATTCAGCTTGCCTGCAAGTTGCCACACGTGACAAGGTTAATGAATAAATGAGACGATTTAATGACAATCATACCAAGTGATTCAACATCTTTAAGTGGATCCACACCAGGAGATAAGATGAAGAACACAGGGGTGGCTGGGCAACTTTCCTCATATGATTTTGCAAAATCCATCCGTAGACCATCTACGTATTTGGATCCCAGTTTCTCCTCAACAAAGTTTCTGTAAGCAGTAGCAGAAAGCCACCTTTTAGTAACGGTTACTGATTTTTTTTGCAATGAAAACTTTTACTAAACCAAAGCAATACGGGAGGATTGGCCACCCACGAATCATGAGAATTCTTTCCAATTTCTGGAATTTTCTTAGGCTTCAGGAGCAAGTCTCAAACAGAATATGGAGTTCAGCCATAATTTTTGTAAGTATAATGCAAGCATTGTTTCTCAGTCAGAATGGTTGTGCCTTTAATTTAAAAGGATTCAATAATTACATCCTCAGGTCCTGCAATCCCGTGGATTTTGCTCGATCGGCTTCGCTTACCTCACTGCATAAGTCATTCTGTCAGGTCGCAAAGCTCGTAGCATAATAAGTTTCTGAAGGGAGCTCTTCTTTTTCCATTCCTGGGGAAACTTCTCCTTTTCAGGGCACTCTGATTCAACAAACTTCTTCCAGCGCTTGGCCGAGCCTTCAATGTCTCTGTCCAAACCACGGAACTCATCCATCATTGCCATAGCCTGAAGAGTTAAGAGATAGACACTGGCATCATATATTGTATCACACACACATACACATCAACAACAACATGCATTTACATAGTACTCTTCAAATGGGATAATTTCTCAGAATGCTTAACATGGTAGGGTTGGATGCTAAGCAACAGAGTTAGGGGATGGGACAAATGGTGCAGTTGAAGAATTAAGTTTTGAGGTGGGATTTAAAGACGGACAGAGGGTGGGCTGAGATGGAGGATAGAGGAAGGGGTTCCAAAGGTTAGGGACGTAGTGACTGAAAACTTGGCCACCAATTTATACTGTTTGTGTGAGAAAAGTAATTTAAGGAAAGGAGCCATACAAGCAATACAATCAATTTATTTGCTCAGAGCTGGTGCAGACCTGATGACTTCTTGTGTGCTATAAATGTCTATGATTCTAATTATTATGATCTTAGTCTTGCATCATTATCATAAAACCTAGAGTTTCCATAAGGTTTCCAAAAAGATTTAAAACATTACATTCGGCAAGCTAATTGAATACACGCTCAACTTTACTCTAAAACGTAGGACTAAGGCAATGCTGAAATTACCCTTATGGCACTCCAAGATTGAGTAGCGAGAAAGTCAACAGGACTCTTGTATATTTGATCAACTGTGAATCTCAGCAGAAAGTCCAGCTCCTGCAGATCTATTTCCATGTTCATCAGCAGGATCTGGAACAGGAATACAGTAAACATTTGTTTTTATTATAGTATCAATGCAAACCAAGTGCCAGATTCTATCTCAGGATAACTTCATTGTTATAAGAGTACAGCTTTTATATGAAGGCTGGAAGATTACTCTTGATAAAAGATTAAGAATACAAAATACAAGTGCAAAATATGCGGAATGAAACTTTGGAAGATAATGATGAAAATTGTGATCTTTATGTTAGATGAGAGCTAACTTTCTACAGTTGAATGTCAACAAGACCGAGGCTCTCCTGATTGGCTCCCGTCAGCACCTCCTCATCTCAGGCACCGACAGCATCACCGTCCATGGTTGCACACTCCACCTCACTGAGACAGTCCAGAACCTTGGGGTCTTGTTTGACCCTCAACTATCCTTTCTAACCCACATCCATGCCATCTGCTCTGCCTTCCCCCACTTCCACAACATCGCCCGGCTCTGCCACTGTCTCACACCACAGGCCGCCGAGACCCTCATACACACATTCATAACATCCAGGCTTGACTATGCAAACTCCCTGCTTGTCGGCCTCCCCAGATCATCCAGAACTCTGTAGCCCATGTCCTCTCCCACACAGGCTCCACAACCTGATCACCCCTGTCTTTGCCCGACTCCACTGACTTCCCATCACACAGAGGATACAGTTCAAGATCCTGGTCCTCATCTTTAAAGCCCTCCATGGCCTTTTTCCCCAATCTCCTAACCTCCTACCAACCTGCCCGCTCCCTCCGCTCAGCAGGCTCTGGCCTGCTTCACATCCCCTACCTTGCCCACCCCGACATTGGCGGACGGGCCTTCAGCCATTCTGCCCCCACACTCTGGAACGCTAACCCGCTGTCCCTCTGCCTCGCCCCTTCCCTTGCTTCCCTCAAGACCCGTCTCAAGACCCTCCTCTTCGACTATGTCTTCAATCACCCTCCTTGCTGCCCTTCCCTGATCCCAACCACCAGCTCGGGTCTGAAACACTGATTGTCAAGCGCCTTGGGACGGCCTCCCGATGTGAAAGACGCTATACAAATGTAATTTTGTTGTTGTAGTAGATTTGATAACTGAATCTGGAGAATAAATAATCCCAATTTTCACCCCAACTATTTGTCAATTTTGTTTATTGTTGAAGGAGCAAATCGAGAGTATAGGGAAAGCTATTTGCAGCTTTATCCCCTGAGTGTCGCTGGTGAGATAACTCAATTTGACAATACTCAGATACCTGTGTTGTTCCTCAGTTAGCCTATCCAGAGTTCAAGGTTGCTTAGGATTTCTGACTCTTCTCAATGTTAAGGTTATATTGCAATAAAGCATGACAAAACTGTACTGTCCAGTCTCCTGAATGGTTTAAAAGCAATCTTTGAAGTGTTTTTTTTTGGAAACATAATCAAGAAATAAGAAACGTATCACAAGAGAGGTTCAGATGAAAGTGCCCGTCAGTCCATTTGATTTCATCCTCCATTTACATGTTACCATCTACCTATTACAGACAGCTCCTTTTTAAGCAAGTCCTGTCCTCTATCATGCTTCTTGACAATAAATTTCCACTCTGCATTGAACTCTGTGTAAAGAACTACAGCATTCTTAGTATCCATCCTAAAATTGTCCACCATAACCCTGAACTTGTGCTGTCTTACTGCCTTGGTAAACTTAAAGTATTGTGCAAGGTTTACATTCTATTACCCTTTATAAGGTTGCCTCCAAGATACCTTATTCTGATGCTGAAGAGACTTGGCCTGTCCAGGTGTTAGTCATAGTTCATTCCTTTAACACTGGGGAAAAAACCTCATTCCTTTCCTCTGCACTGTCTCTTGTGACAGTTTTAAACAGAAAAGAATGGAGGCAGCACGGCAAAACTCCAAACACATTTAAACATTTTATAGGTAAATAGTGCAATAAAAGTTAAGATTAAAGTTAAGATATTTAAGGAACAAATTAAATAAAACAGAAAAGGCTACGTAGAGAAGCCAGAGAGAAGAGCAGGAAAACGTTAAATCTAAACAATTGCAGTAATAAATCTACACCTAACATTTCAGTGACATTATTACTACAATCTTAGGGTGGATTTCAGCTTAATGGGGTGTGAACTGAAATCTTAAACAAAAATGGCCAGCCCAGGGATCCTAGAGTGAGTGAAGCTGACAGCAGTGTCAGCATTAAGAGTCATATCAAAATGATTTAAGACGCACTAAAATGCTGCACAATGGATTGGTTTGGTTCCAGCTTATGTGCCATTTTGCCAAGGTGCTACACAGAGCCCAGATGTAATTTCCATTGTGAAGGAAAACTAAGGGGAATGTCTCCAGATCTGGCATCCTCCACAAAGCGGAATGTGGGACTGACACACCCCACACACCCAGTGTGGAAAAGTTTGTTTATCAACAACCTCTTCATGGTTTGACATATAGAAATGTTGGGAATTAATCTGTCCTTATGTATGATGAGTAGATCGATTAATGTTATGGCATTTTTGCTTGATTGCTCTTAAGGAGCAGGGATCATCTATCCATAATGGCCCTTTATTCAGCGGGGGGTGGGGTGGGGGCAGTGGGGGGGGAATGAAGTGCACAACAGTGTAGCTTTTGCATAACAGTAGAAGGAGCAGTTTTGATGGGTGAATGGTAGTCTGCATTAGACTGCAACTTGATTGAATGGTGCATTACGAGTTATCTTCTGGTGAGAAAACAGGGCACTGGAAGCTGCAGCCCAACAACAACACATTACATTTATAAGGCACCTTTCATGTTGGAAGGACGTCCCAATGCGCTGGACAGTCAGGGATTTGAACCTGAGCTGGGGGTTGGAATCTGGAGGACAGGGGTAGGAGGGTGACCGAAGGCGCGGTTGAAGAGGAGGGTCTTGAAACATGCCTTGAAGGAGGCAAGCGATGGAGCGAAGTGAAGGGATTGTGGGATAGAGCTCCAAAGGATTGGGGGCAAAACGGCTGAAACCCTGACCATGTAAGGACTTTCAATGCAGCCTTCCCGCGACCAGCGTAGATTCAGATTCGAGGGGTACCTGGAAAGCCATCTGCGAAACGAATATAACTTTGTCCCTTTCAAAGAGACCCCTGCTGGTGTAAAGGAACATGGAGTACGTGATGCATTCGGTCAGATTTGCTACTCTCTCCTTGAGATCCTCAGACTGTTCTGTCCGTTCAATGGCTTTGTGGAAGACGATGTTAAAGGCCTAAAAAAAAAATCACAACAAAAGTAAATAGTGAGCAGTTATACAGCTATTTGGGTATTTCTCTTTTTTTTGAGGCCAGCATAGTGTCTGACAAATGTCAAAACCCATCACCGTGTTTAAGAGGATCCAAACCAGACAGAATATGCCAACTACACATGGAGATTTCCATGTCTGGAATGGAATGCACATTCTTCCCAAATGGATGCACCCTACTTACCTAATTCCAGAGAGTATTAGGCGCAAGCAGGTTGGTAAGAGCTAAGGTTTGCGATATTTTAAAGATTAGTTATTAAAAACTGTCATAGCAAAACATTACTTTGTGCTGATGGTTTCTCCTCCCACCATCCCCAACCAGTCACCTGCGGGGTACCCCAGGTCTCCATCCTTGACCCCCTTCTTTTTTTTAATCTATATACTCCCCTTGGTGATGTCATTCGCAGACATGGGGCAAGCTTCCACATGTATGTGGACGACACGCAAATCTACTTTCCTCCTCCAGTACCAACTCTAGGTCTGACAATGTTCTTTCAGCTTGTCTGGCAGACATCAATGCCTGGATGAGTGCAAACTTCCTGCAGCTGAATTTAGACAAGATGGAAGCCACACTCCTTGGCTCCTGTCAATATCTTCACTCCTGCGGATCTAAACTCCTCAACCTCTCTGGGTTCAGACTCACCGAATTAGCGCGCAACCTAGATATCCGGTTTGACCCCCAGCTGTCCTTCCTTCTCCATATCTGGTCCCTGACCAAGACCGCCTTCCACATTGCCCTCCACCACATTGCCCGCCTCCAACCGTACCTTACTCCGAAACCCTCATGCATGCATTTGCCACCTTCCACCTAGATTACTCAGACTCACTCTTTGAATTACTCACTCCTCGCCATTCTCCACAGTTCCACTATTCAAAAAATCCAGCTCATTTAGAACTCTGCTGCCCGCATACTGACCCAGACCAAACTCCGTCCCCCCCATCTCACCAGTTCTGGCCAGGCTCCACTGGCTCCCCATCACCAAACAGATCGACTTCAAGATCCTCACACTCGTGTTCAAATCCTTTCACTCTCTGGCACCTCCCTACCTCTCTGACCTCCTCACTCCCCAAACCACCACCCGGAGCCTCCACTCGACTGGCACCGGCCTCCTGTTCATCCCTCGCACCCTAAGCTCTACCATTGAAGGTCGCACATTCAGCAACTACACCCTGAAATCCCTCCGCCCTCTCTCCCCTTTTTCAAGTCCCGCCTGAAAATCTTTCTTTTCAACCGTGCTTACAGTTACCTCCCGCCCCGGCCCAGAGCCAGGCTCCACCACTGTTAAACACTCTTGCATGGAGGGCGCTATACAAGTGCAAGTTGTTGTTGTTGTTAGTGGAGTGTTTCCTGTCGAGAGGTATCCAATCTCTACCTGGAAAGCCACTTACTGCTTGGGCCCCAGGGTTTGACGATTAGCATCTGTTTTAACTGAAGCTAATTTGGCAGCAATTAATCCTCATTTCTTATTCCAGATCTGGCTCTAGAGGAATATTAGGATTAGCTATGAAGTAGCCCTTCATATTGCTCCAGCCATTTGAAGCTTACTAACTCAATGAATACCCTAGAATTCCCTGGTCTCTTGTGCTCAGTGAAGCAATAATCCAGCTGTGATCATCCCCTAAATATTGAAGCAATTTAGCTATTTAAAAAAAGAAAACAGTCAGTTTAATGCCCTGAGCTCATCTTCATTGATCACAAGCCATGATTTTGGAATTAGTCAATTCCTACGTAGAATGTAAATATTTCAATGATTTCCTGACCCACTGTACTGGCTCTATGTGCAGTAAATTTGATGATGTGCGATATTATTGGGGAAATCCCAATGCTGAGAGTAATTTTGACCCTGAGCAGATGTCCAGACAATAAACCTGGTAAAATATTGGGCCTTATCAAGCATCAATCGTAAGTACACAAGGTATCAAATAGAAATGATGGAAAATCTACTTAAAGAAACATTTTATTAAGGATTTCTACAATATGGTTGTCGGTAAATTCACCTGCATCTTGCATCATGATCTGAGGCGCTGATGGTCTTGAAGCTAAACCTCAGCCCTCAGATACTGTACTTCATTAATTATATAAATATTATTACTTCATTACACTGCCTCATATAATGCATCATACATTTAGTACACGTTTGCATTATACTACTATTTGCATTATAAAGCACTCCAAGACACTACCCCACGTGAAGGGCACTCTATAAAGACAAGTTGTTCTTGGTGTATATTTGACTCCTGCCCTCAATTCAGGTGCCAGCAGTGTTGAGGGCCCTAAGACATCCTCCTGACATGAAAGACACTATATAAATGTAAACTATTATATTGCATAAGGTTTTAGGAAGAAATTTGCATCCCAGCATCCTCTTAGAGGCGTTTCCAGATTCGCTGAAACTCTCCACAGAACCAACAGACCATTGTTAATCTGGCCAGGAGCCTACATTCATTATACTTCATTTGTTGCACATAGTTTACCAATGATGATTTTCCCTATAATATTTACACAAAATATCTGATTTGACTTGTCAGTTTTTCTTACAAATTGGTTGTGATTAATGAGATCTAACTCCTACATCAATGAAATCCATATACTAGATATTACAGCAACATGAAACCTGACAAACAAGGCACATGTTTTATTTATCATTGAGTACCTTAAGCGAGAACTGATAAATAGGATTAATTCTGCTGAGATCACTGACGATGAAGTAAAGAACAGAAGCTCTTGCTGCTGCTGGACGGTAGTGTTCCCGAGCCTCATTGATCTTCAATTCGTTCTCCTTTGCCTCGCTCACCTACACAACACATTTTGATTAAATATGCCATATGTTTAATGCAGGCAAACACACGTTTCCACGGGACAAGCAATACTAAGATGTACAGCACAAAAAATCTGAGCTAACACTCATTGAGATACACAAGGAGCACGATATCTCTTCACAAATTCACTTGGTCATCACATGTGTTTCCGGGGCTAAATTTGCTAAAAAAATTTGCCAGCAAGTGCAAACTGAAACTTACATTCTATATAAGACAGCAAAACGTAAATGCCCCCAAAACTGCCAGTGGTTTGCTCTCTGGCCTTTATTTAAAACTTTGAGTGACTTTCCGAATTTGGAATTTGCCATTTTGTAGATATTGCAAATTGTTGGCAAAACTGACATTACAATTACTGCTTCCCAACCCATCGCGTAAACATCTCAAATTAGATGTATCAAAGCATTGCCATTCTTGTACTTGAAGCATGAGGCTTTCATGTTATAAAGGCTAAATGAGTCCAGCATATGTCAATCCCTAACATTAGCAATCTTTTTATTGCAAGCTTGTAATGGGAAATCTTGTTATCAATACACAAGATCAGTGTGTTTATAGTCTTCATAAATTAGATGCTGTATTTGCTAATCTCTACACACATTACGTAATGAACCCTCTCCAAATGAAAGGCATGATATAAATGTAAATTTGTATTGTTTGGAACTGTGCATTACTACCTTCAATTCAATCTCTGCTGCGGTCAGTTTTGCTGTTTCCAGTTTCTCCACTAACTCTATGTCACCGAGGAAGTTGCCCTCAGCAGCAGATAGCCGAGTAAGGAGCTCATCCTCCAGTCGTTTCAGTTCGATCTTAAAATGATTTTGCTGCTTGGTCAACTCAGACTGTGCCGGAAACACAAACAAAGATAGGTTTCTCGCATTTTATCACTCAACACTGCTATTGGTAGCAAAACATTTTCCAGCGTCAGTCGTACTTAGTATTGTACAAAATGTAGTACAAAATGTAGTACTTAGTACAAAAAAAATGGTGTACGTGTCTTTTGATCCTCACCTTGTATTCAAGTCCCTGCACTCCTCTGCACCCCCCTACCTCTCTGACCTCCTCTCTCCTCAAAACAGTACCCATTGCCTTCGTTCCTCCGGGTCTGGCCTCCTCCTCGTTCCCCGATTCCTCCGCTCTACCCTCGGCGGACGTGCCTTCAGCCACTGTGCCCCGAGGCTCTGGAACTGCCTTCCTCACTCCCTTTGTCTCGCTCCCTCCCTTCCCATTTTCTTTCTTTTCTTTTCCTTTCTTTTCGACCGCGCCTTTGGTCACCTTCCTCCCCCTCCCCGGCTCGGTCCCGGGATCCGTTACTGTAAAGAGCTCTGAGACGCCGTCCGGCGTGGAGGGCGCTATATAAATCCAAGTTGTTGTTGTAGTAGTGTTTCAGATCGTACATCAGCATTCCTTTATAATATTATAATAATCCTTGATTTTATACAGTGCCTTATATCAGTCTTCAAGAGTTAGACACTGTGTTTCCCTGCCCTTCACCTCTCCTGGTCCCAACCCCCAGCTTGGGTCCAAACCCCTGACTGTCCAGCGTCTTGGGATGTCCTCCCGACATGAAAGGTATTATACAAATGTGATTTGTTGTTGTTGTTGCTGATTAATAAAAGAGACCAAACAAAAAAAAGGTGTACGTGTCTTTTGACGGCATAAAGTTGTTTCCTTACTGTGAATATAGATGGTCATTTGTTTATCATTCTCCCCAAGAGAGCAAGTCAATAAAATTAACAGTATTTCGAAGGAGGTGGGGGAGGGGAAGAAGGAGAGGAGAAGATGGGGAGGGAAAATGATCCAACCTGATGGTCGTTATGGGATTTTACTTTTAGCTAAGACAGTAATATTTCTGAGTGGAGAAAAATTATTTCTCCCCCTCTCCCGCCAACCCCCCCCAGGTCTACACACATATTGCAAATAATTTGGTGAATCAGCTGTTTTGAAACTTGGTCACTCCTTTTATGCCTGTTTGTGGGACACTGCTGCGCATAAATTGACTACAGCATTTGCCTACAAACTTACACAGTTATACTATTTTACGTTAAAATTCTGTGAAGCGTTTTGAGACGTCTCCATGACATGATAAGGCGCTCTATCAAATGCAAGGGCCAAATATTATTTTGAAATGGACAATTACTCAATGATATATAACAAGTACGGTTTGAAGATCGTTTCAAATAGCAAGGTTTCAACTAGAAACATGTCTTTAAAATAAGACAAAATTGCAATTCCCGACATTGTACCTAATTGAATAGGGGGGGTGTCTGCCATACGGCTGAGGAGTACAATACCTTCAGATGTTCAAGATCCGGACGTTCAGTGTTGACTACTTCAGCCAGCAGTTGGTCCTCCAGCCCATCCCGTGTGACAGTGAAGTTAATGAGGGTTGTCTGTGCCTGGACCTCAGGTTTATAGTGAGGGTTGGCCAACTTTGTGTGAAGAATGAGTCGGAAAGTGCTGCTGAACTCGCACTCCTTGTCTCCGATCTTGATGTATCTGAGAAATAAAATGCGATCATTTTTCAATTGGGGATACACATTGTGCAAGGTAATGCCTTGTGAATTCCATTTGTAAAAAAGAGGTGTGAGTTGAAACAAAGCACATTTACATGTAACTTTCCGTGTTTTTTCAATTTTATGGGATTATTATCTGAGATACCACCATTGACCTCGATAAAATCAATGCTAATTCCCACTACTGCACAATGCCTCTTCTAACATTCTCAAGGCAATCACTAACCACTGCACCCTCCCACACAGATACAGTGTGAAACCCTGTCACCTCCCCCATAATTTTAGACTATTTGTCGGATGCCTACGCACCCAACTGGGAATTGTAAACATTATAAACCTGAAAATCTACCACAAAAGCTCATCTTTAAAATCCATTGTCCCTGGTGACCAAACTGCAGAATGTCACACATACCAGAAGATAATAACAGAAAAGTAAAAACATTAGTGGTGAACAAAGTTCATCAGATTCAAAACAGAACAATAGTCAGAAGTATTTTTGAACCGTTATTCCCCGTACTTTGGTTTGCGAGCAGATTAAAACACATTTCCATAAATGTGGCTTTTGAATGAAAATATTTTACATCTGCAGAAATAACAAATTTCAGTATGCGTTTTTTTCCATGAGGGTCCTTTCAAATTAAGTGGGTTTAATGAGCAAAACCTCAAAGTGGTCCTGATAGGACAAGTTCAACTGTATTTCTTTCCCAAACAAAATTAATGCGCTATTGATAGAACATTACTAAAACAAATTAAAGTCTTGGCTGATGGATTGGTCCACAAGGCACTGTAAGACATAAAGGAATAATTAGTATACATTACTTCACACCCTGCAACATTCCAATTATTAATTGAAGTTCAATTGCTAGACTGTGCAAAATCCATCACTAGCTTCTCCGCAGCACACACTCACTACAGGAAAAGAAACAAGATGCAATATCAACAGGAACAAAAAAAAGCGATAAAATGCATCAACTGAAATTTTAAAAAAAAGGATTTAATGCATTAACAAATTCCACAAGCATTATATTATCTTTGGAAATATTTAACAGCTCACTCGGTGTCAATTATCATTTTTTAAAAATACATCCGTTTCCACTCTGGATGTATAACTATAATACAAAGCACCTGTGATGCTAACAGGCTGTGGTGTACAGAGAATGGCAAAAGTTAGAGCCCCCTCTGCACAGTTCCTGAATCAAAGAACCATAGAAATGTATGACACAGTGGGAAGCCATTCTCCCCATTATTTTGTGTCAGTGTTTGTTCCTCCAAGAAATCATCCGCATGAATTGAGTCAAGTGAAAATTGTGGTGTCTCCCAGCAGGTAACATAGAAAATCAGGAAAAAGTCGCAGGCAGGAAGGCCTCTAGTGTGGCCAGATATAGAGGGGTTCAGCAAAGTCCTGGGAGTCAAAAAGAGAAAATAATACAGAAAAGGACAAAATGAAGTTACCCAAGGTATAGTTATATACTTTAATACAAATACAGGGAAACCCATTAATGTTCTTTGACATAACGCTGCCTCGCTTATGGAGCGGGTATACTGTGACCCGCTGACCAGCTTCCGGGTCATCAGGTTACCACTGATTTCATTTCCTGGATACGACACGTGCATAGGAAGCGACGTCAGTATGATATGACGATCAGGAAGGCAGACATTTTTTAAGCACTTTGCTTATAATGTGATTGCGTAGCTACTGAACCCAGCCAGCCATGCTATAACAAAGTTCTCCTGTATGAGTTTTTGTTAAAAATAATGGTTACTAATGTAATATTTATAAATAAGAGTTGGGAATAGGGTATTCAGGGAATGGAGGTGCATGGAGAGGAGAGACTGTGCACTTAATGAACCTGCTTGCACCTGTAATACCCCGGTAGAATTTTTAATTTTTTATGTATAGATGCATTTTGCCCTTATCCTCTGGGGGTAACTGCAACACATTTTGGTTTGTTGCTTCCAGATCGAGCTTATACCACTTCTCTTCCAAACAACTGAGTATGTCAGCCTGGCCCGGTGGTAGCGTTCCTGCCTCTGAATCAGAACGTTGTGGGTTCAAGCCCCACGTCGGGACTTGGAATCACATTGCCTAAGCTGACACTCCAATGCAGCACTGGGGGTGTGTTACATTGCCGGAGGTGCCATCCTTCGAATGAGGTCCCTTCTGCCTATTCAGGTGGATGTTAAAGAATCCTATTTAAAAAGAGAAGGGAGTTTCCCCCGGTGTCCTGACCGACAATCACCACAAAATAGTCTTAAAATATTGGTAGTCTTAAAATATTGCTATGTGGAACTATTTCGCTAAATAATACATACATACTGACAGTTAAATGTTGATAATAGGTAGTCATCATTCAGTTAATTTGCACCACAAAAAATATATTCAACAGCTTAAGAAATGGGCATCAGGCTGTAAACTTTTACATTAGTACAGATTGTTTGTACATTTTAAGGTGGTATTTTTAGGATAAATAACTGTGATTATTAAATAACTACTTGTGAAACAATTAGCAGGCAGCGCTTATTTGTTAGTTAGGAAAATAACAACAAACACAATGTTTCCACACTTTCTGGGCTGTATTTAGGCACTGACAGTACACAAGACGTTTAAAGCTATGCAGGGACACACAGGAACACCATCGTACAAAAAATAATAGGAGCTGGGAAGAGACTTCGCAGCAGATTGCTGGGACACACAGAGGTAATTATATCTGTAGACATGGGTTGGATTATTAATTAGTAATACGTATTATGCTTCAGTCAGTAGGATACTTACTTTCCCTTTTTAATTGTATTTCGCCCAAGTAACGGATCAAGGACTGGATCAATTGTTTCCTCAAGGTTTTCAATGAGGATAGTATCTCCACTACATAATGCTCGTTCGACTGTATCCAAGTACCTTTAAGACAAGAATATGTTTAGAGTCCATTTTAATAGTTTACTGTGTTATCCTAGGAACAACAGCGAGCACTTTAAATGGACCCTAGGCTGAGTTGTTTCTCAAACTCCTGACTCTGACCATTAGGGCGAAAATTGTGACATTTGATTTCCACTGGTAACCAGCATTGAAATATTGAAATGCTGAGATCCGCAGGCCAGCATGTTCAAAGGTGCTGTCAACCAGTTCAATGGCAGCACCAGGTTGTAGAGGCGCTGCCAGCTATCAACTGGGGCATCGCCAGGAGAGGAAAGTCCAACAATGTGATAATCATTCCCAGTGATCAATTTGACAATCAACAACTCACTTTCAACTTTGATATTTCAGTCGCTACATTTAGAAGCCACGAAAACATCTTGCCACCAAACAATTCAACAACTCAAGTCATTTTAGCTCATCTTTGAATTATTTACCCTTTTTGCCCCATCCGGACAATTTTCAGCTCACGTCCATACTGATTTCTTATCCACTTGATTCCTTGCTGCTGTGGATCAATCATGAGCGGCCAGCGTTCACAGTTGGCCAAGATAGTGGCGTTTTCCATTGAAATTCTATCACTGGGCAATCCTTCATTATTCCAAGTAGCAATTGTAGCATCATCAGCCAGCATGGCAATGGGATCCAGGCAGTCTGTTATTGGTATGGGAACCTGAAAGAGCAGCAGGAACGTATATAAATAACAATCCTTGTATTTAATATAGCCTCTTTCACATCAGGAGGACATCTCAAAGGCTTCAAAGGATTTATGCAAATTGCAGTGTGACTGTGTTTGTAAACAAATGCACACTGGAATGTTCCACAAACAACCATGAAATGAATAACCACTTTTATATGAAGGATTGTTGGCCAGAAACACCCTTCTAATTTTTTTTAATAGTGTCATGGGATTTTTAACATCCACCTGAACAGGCAGACGGGACCTCGGTTTAACGTCTCATCGAAAAGGCAGCTCTCCTATTTGATACAATGAAACATTCCAGCATTTCTCTTTAATGCATAATGAAAATTACACTAAATTCAACCAGTTAATGTGTTCTGATGAATCCATTGCTTAAGAGCATTTTTATTGTTATTTTCCTTGTTTTTTTCAATCTTCAATTTAATTTTTACTAGGTAGTGCAGAGTTAATCAAAGATTGTCATACCAACAGAAGCAGGTGTTGTTTGTGAGTGTGTGGTTTGTGATTCCAGTGAACAACAGCTTACATTTGTAGAGCGCCATTCACGTAAGAGAAATAACTCAAAGCACTTTACCAAATGAGATTAATTAAAAATGAAGTGAATGTTCTGTGGGCAGTGGATAATTGCAACAGGACACCTACCAAGTAACACGACGGGTGTCCAATTCATTTCAATTTGGGGTGAATCTGGATGAGGAGGGAGTATTAATCAGGATAATCAGGAGGATAATGCTATGTTTCTATGAAATAGTGGCAGGGGCATTCCTCAACATGCACCTGAATCAAAAGGTAGATGGAATCTAAAGTAATGGCTCAATCATAAAAGGGAATGTAGGCAAACAATTTAAACTAGCAATATCCCCCATTCAATAACAATAATCCTTGCATCTGATACAGCACTTTATCGTGTTGAGATGTCTCAAAGTCCTGCACAAGATTTTACTGTGAAGTATCGTGACTGTGCATTTTGCAGGCGAGCGTGACAGCCAAGTTGCACACAGCAAATGTGTCCCACAAACAGCCATGAAATGAATGAATAATTTTACCAGAGGGTTTATTGACCACACACGATGAGTTTTACTTAGGAAACAATATTGGCCGTGACACAATATGTGTTACATTTATCTTGAAGAAATAGTCTGAACCTGTCGAGGTTCCTAAAGTTTCAGAACACCGGCACCTTCCAGGCACTTGACCTGCCACCAATACCACATACCGCCACCAGGGGGCAAACAACAGTAACCCACTGGTAACTTCAGGCGACTTTCCCTCCTTTAACTTGATCTCGAGCCTGAAATCTCATCTAGTATTAGCCTGTTGGACCGTTGTGTCTTATATATATGTAATTATATAATTATAATTATATATATTTATATATATAATTCATATATATATATGAATTGTAGAAAATGTCATGGAAGGTGTTTAAATTTAGCTTTGAAATAGGAAGCCATTCTTAAAAAGAATTCTCCACAATTATGCACTAACATAAGTCTTTTAGACAAAATGGTCTTACAGCCAGGCCAAGGCTACGTGAAACTGTGGCCATCTCGTGTTTCCCCAAAGCAGCGAGATTCGGTCAAAACACATTCTCATTGGCAACAAGTGTCCTTCCCCCACACCCCAACCAGCACGTTATAGCACCCCTAGGCTGGCGAAAATAAACATAGATAATCCAGGATAAAATCTACACCATGTGTTTAAATCTCTCCCAAGCCCCTCCCCCACCAACAAAGTGCTTTTTCCAGGGTTTAAGACAATTGTAATTTCTGGCCTTCTGTACCTTTCTCTTGAAGTAACATGATCTGAAGTAACTGCTGGAGAAGTCAGATCTGAAGGGAGTTTGTGTGATAATTGACTGTGGAAGGGCTGGAGGCTAGAAACCTCACCAAGAAAGAGGCATGGGAGACTTTTTTTATTATTATTGTTATTTGTTTTCGGGAATTTATTTTGTGAGAGTGAAATAAACCTGGCGTGTAGCCACTCTTTTTTTTACCTGCTTACAAGATGCAGTATTGTAGTTTTATGTCCATTGATGTTAACACGCTAAAAAAAAATTTTGACACGCATTTTCCTTCAGCATTTGTCTTTCAAAATGAGTCAATTACAGACACTGTAAATACATGTTTGCCTGTTTAAAGGTAATCATGTCTTATATCCAACTTGGTACGATTATTCTTGTGTTAAGTATATTATAGCTACATGTACAGGATAGGTAATAAGGATCTCTGGTGTCTGATTTATGTCCCATGGTTGTGAATTATGGTTGAAATCACAAACAATTGTAATAATACGTGCAAGACACTGCCTCACATCTGAATGTCTGAAAGTGTGTCACACAATAAATCATTTTTGAAGTATAGTGACTGTTCATGAGAGGAAACAATAATAATAATCCTTGCATTTGATACGTCATTGAGACATTTCAAAGCGCTTCACAGGATATACTGTGAAATGTAGTGACTGTGTGCTTTGTGGGTGAAACGCGGCAGTCAATTGCGCACAACGACGCCCCACAAACAGTCGTGAATTGAGTGACCATATTATTATTATTTGCAATATTTAAATTATTTCCAGCAATGATTTAGCGGTCCACTTTATCAAATGCAATATCTTGTGTCCCCATAATTGCAACTACATCACCTTACATGTAACATGGGTCCTTGAGACATTTTGTCTAGTCCAGCCAAATGAGCAAAACCCAGAAGTAATATCATGGAGGTAACAATATATGAAATGTACTGCATTGCTAAGTAGAAATTGCAATGATAATAATTACTATCTGAGTACACCTTATTTGTATTATATTAAAGACTAGGCAAGCAATGCTAGACAAGCAATATGCGTGCAAAAAAGAGGACGTGCCTTTAGTGACATCAGGAAGGGAGTCCACCTACACTCCACCAATTCCTCACGGTATTGCTTAGTAAATGATCCGACATAGGACACAAAGGCAGCTGTCAGCAGCACATCTCCATACAGCGTCTCCTCCTGAGCTTTGAAGAATTGAACAGATTGGACCCAGCGAACGTTTTCTGACTAAGATAATAAAAACAATGCAATGAAACCATTAGAGAAAGATTAACAAGCTTATGCTTCCATCTGAATCGAACCATTTGGACATGCAGAGTATTTTATTCCCAATGTACAATGTTGCTAATATCAATGCACAAGAAGTCTACACAATACTGTACACAACCAGAAGGAATTTTAGTGCGAATAATACATGAAAATAAGGGATCCTCTCAGGCAGACCTTTCTCTGTTTTAGGGCAGGATTGATCCCCTTGCATAAGATTTTTAAAGCCCTCTACTTCTGTGAACTGCAGTTCAAAAGGGGATAAACTCTGATTATACAACGGAGCCATAAGAAAAAAAAGCGATGTGCACCATCTTAATCACATGGCATTGAAATCCCAGCAGACCAATAAACACCCAATCCCCACGTACAGTAAAGTGGTGAACTGCTCTGATCACATTTTCTTCAATTGCCTTGACAATGATGAAAGCATAAAAGTTATTCAGGTCAGAACAAGCTTCTCATACAGCAATACTAACATAATGAAGAATGAGGCTACATTTTTCACAGCAATGTGTAGCTGGAATTCAGGGAGTGCTTCAGTTGGAATGCATTGAATGATGTATCTTAATTATTCCATTGCTCCTCACAAGGTTTTTTTTTAGTCACAATACTTTTGATTTCCATGTCACACAGGGCACTGTTATTAAGTATAATTAAACCTCCAAGAATCCACAATTCGTAATTTCTTTTATATTTCAGGGTTACTCATTAAAATAATGAGCTCCTTAAAAAAAGCTTTTACAGAAAGGCTAAAACATCCTAACTATTTGCCCCCTGAAATCAGTAATAAACCCTTTCGCTGATCTGCTGCTGCAGTTACTATCCTTCTGTGGATTAATTTGATTGTTTTGAAACAATGGTAAAAAATATTTTTGCAAATTGCAGAGAGGATGAGAATATGAAAATGTGAATATGAAAAGTACTTTTTAATTGTCCGAGAGTGTTGATTCACTAGCATTGATTTTTTTTCATAGCACCTCGTCATGTCTCAAAATATCTCAAAGGGCTTCAGATTTAATTCTAACAAATTGGTTTGTAATCAAACGCACAACTATTGCATCAGAAATATTCCAGAAACAGCCATGATGAACCAATTCATATGGAAGATTAGATTATCAGGCAGCACAGCTGAGGAAACTCACTTCTCTTTCGAATGGTGCCATGGGATTTTTAAAAACTTTTTTTATATACAGTGTGAATTCCATTCTAGGCACAGATCATATTGACCCAAACTGATGGAACTGAGCCAAGCAGCCAATAAAATATAGATGTTCGGCTCAAGAACCTTCCTCTAAAACCTACAAACTAAAGGGCGATACATGTTTTCTAAAATATTTCATGGTTATGAAATAATCTTGAGGTTGCCTGGAGATTTAGATATTTTGGAGGGTGAGTGGGAAGAATTGCAGCCACACATTTATTATATCTAAGTTCCACTGCGCCAACTCCTTGCTTGTCGGCCTTCCCAACTCTTCCCTCCACAAGTTGCAGACCACTCAGGACTCTGCAGCTCGTGTCTTCTCCTGCACCAGGCTCCATGACCCTATCACCCCCATACTCGCCCGGCTCGACTGACTCCCCATTCCCCAGAGGATAGAGTTGAAAATCCTCGTCCTCGCCTTCAAAGCTGTCCATGGCCTTGCTCCTTCCTACCTCTGCGACCTGCTAACCCCATAATCAACCAGTCTGCTCCCTCCGCTCAGCGGACTCTGGCCTGCATTACATCCCCACCTCGCTCGCCCCACAGTCTCTCTGTTCCCACCCTCTGGAACTCCATCCCACAGTCCCTCCACCACACCCCCTTCCTAGCCTCTTTCAAGATCGGTCTCAAGAGCCTCCTCTTTGACCGAATCTTCGATCACCCTCCTACCCCTACCTCCCTGCTCTCCACCCCTCCGAATCCCAACCGCCAGCTCGGGTGTGAACCCTTGACTGTCCTGACATTATACAAATGTAATGTGTTGTTATTAGTTTAAAAATGAATAATTTAAAAAGGCAGATACAATTTTAAATATTAAAACGTGAATAACATTTACTGTAATGCCAAAGCAAAGACCAAATGGTGTAACATTTGTTAGACGTGCACAATCACCTGTGTCAATAAATCATTCATTTAATATCGAAAGAACAATCGAGCTGTGGAATAATCTATTTATAAAAGGTTTACTGTAATTAACCTATCCTCTTCTCGGCTCTGGTTGGTGGGCAACAACCGCTAAAGTACACAAGTTGATCTCACAAATGGCTTTGAAAGTTTTGTGAAAAAAATTTGCTGTTCATCAATTCAGAGTCTATTTAGAGCTGCAATAATTTTAACATACCACCCTTACATAATTTATCACTGATGACATCTTCCAAGAAGGCTTTCGGAGCCATATCATGTACTGCAATAAATTTTCAGACAGTTAAAAATCACTATAATTTCATCCTAATGTGTTATAGATTGCATGTAATGTCATTTTGTCTAAGGTGACCCTTTCTAATTTTCAGCAGCTGTTCGGTCTGGAAGTAAGTTAATGATTAAATATATACTGGGGTCTTGCCATATGATTTATTATCCAAATGCTTGTCTGTGATATATAGACAAAATCATCTGTCTTGAAAACACTAAAACGGTTTGAATTGTACTGTGTTGTTAAAACTAGCTCCATAATGAAATTACCCATCTTGTAGGTTCTTCCCTATTCTTTTGAATGTAACATCATGGTTTTCTTCACCAATAGGCCTTCAACATGGAATACAATATAAAGGGGGCATTGCCTCTTTTAAGAAGATTTAAAAATGCCAAGTCATGGGACACCCACTGCTTCTATTATTGAGGAGATCTTCATAACGCAACTAGCTTTAGCTGAAAACATTAGTTCAGCCAAGATGCCTTGGCTCTTTGCAACTCTCCTTAAAATCCCTTCTCCGGGCTATTCTCTCCTTGCCTTCAAAACCCTCTTAAAGATACATCTCTTTGACCGTGGACAATATTGTAAAATTCTCTGCCCTTTCCTCCCTGTTCAATGATACCCATTACCCTTGCAAAGAGCTTTGAGATGTTCACCTGAAGTGAAAAGCTCTATATATGTTCAACCTGTTGTTCCGATGTAAAATAATAATTGTTTAAAAGGAAGTTTACATATTCTGAAGGGGTGAGAACCCATTTCTGTCCAAGGACCTGAAGAAATGGCAGTGTGTGCAGGATGCCTAAATTAAAGAATGAAGAAGAGCCTGCAAGGTTGATGGTTTCACTTTCTTCCTTACTTGACATCCTTTACATTTTGCTGGCAAACGTCCCAAGTAGTTCCTGTCTTGGAAAAGTGGGGTTAATATTACTCCACCTGACCATTGCAGAAATAGCAGGGGTTCATGTTGATGCACTTAAAGGCAATTATAGCCCTTTAACATGGTTTCCCATCTTGAAGGTCCCTATGTGAAGGATAGTGAATGAGAAACAGTCAATGCTGTGAATTATTATGAGTCAGTTGTTGTAATCTGGGCACATTTACTGATGATCAAATTATTTTATTCAGGATATAGAGTTACAAACATTGAGAGTGAGGGATATAAAAGGGTACAGGTAAAGAGCTGGAAATTTGGATTAGATTAAACATCTCCACCTTAGGTTTGGTGAGTCAAATGGCCTCCTATGCTATAAATTCCATGATTTCATATTTGAACAGGATCTAACCTTACCCATGTCAGTTAAAGCAGATTTGCTCCTCTTATGAACACAGACACTGGTTACAAATAGACAACATCAATTAATTTGGGTTTTTTGTCACCACACCTGGTTGGCACATATGCAGTGCTGGAGATGCACCGATTTGTTCTAACTTTGTTGAGCTTCACTGCTTTAAAGGCAGTTGGGTCTGTGTGTGAATTATGATAATGCCAATAATTCTAATATTTGATATAGCTCCTTTCCCATTTGCATCACAAAGTGCATCACAGGATTTACTGTAAAGTGTCGTGACTGTGCATTTTGTAGGTGAAATGTGGCCGCAAATTTTGTACAATTAAATGTCCTACATATAGCCACAAAGTGACTGAATAATTATTTGGGGAATTGTTGATCAGGACACTGGAAGAAACTCCTTTCAGTTTTCAAATAGGGATCTTTAATCTCCACCCGAGCAGACAGATGGAGTCTTGATTTAACGTCCTGGCTTGAATCCACAACCATCTAACTCAGAGGTGGGATTGCTACCAACTGAGCCAGACTGACACCCAAATTTGTTTGCACTCATCTCTACACAATTTATAATTTTGCTAGTTGAATGAACGGCCACCTTATGTTTGCACCAACAGTGACAATGCCTCTTTGATGGCTCAGTTGGGTAAAGGCACCATCTTGTGAAGCACTGAGCCATACACTTCTAAAATTGGTACAGCGCTCCATGATAGTGAAAGGAAAAATCTGCCAGCCTTTCCACTCTTATACCCTGCTGTTTAGCAGTGCCTGCTGGTATGTCTCTGTGTGTGGGCATTGGGTAATAACAGGCTGGGTATTGCTCCAGTGCTCTCCACAGTTCAATTGAGTCCAACACACACACATGAAAAATGAGAAAAGTGGCAAAGCAAAACAGTGACATTGAAGCTCAAAGGCTTCCTTTAATTTCACATCTCTGTATTAACCCAAAAAGATGAGAACATTTTAAACCCTTTTTTCATTTTAAAAGCTGAACAAAGAACAGGATTTATTTATTTACTCTAGTGTGTGAAGTCTGACATTCTGGACAAATAGTCACATGCTGCCTCCTCACCTCAAGTCCTTTGACAAGTCGATTTGCCAATTCAATAGTTCTGTTAGTCCGACTCACTTCGTCCTGGCACCGGACTTTCTCCACTGTGGCTTTCTCAAATCCAGAGGTCAGTCTACCCAGGTTAGTATCCAACTCCTGCACAGACAGATACACAGACACACACACACACAAAATATCTCAATTGCTGCTGAACCGATATGTACATTTTAAACACAAGTATAAGATTAACCTTTTAACCTCCTGACTGCTAACGTTTAGCGTTTTTAAAACAAAAAGTCTCTTGTCTTTCAAACACTTCTTTTTAAGAAGTAATCCCAAACTAGAGTATGAAGCCTTTATTTAATGTTCATCATAATTCCATCCAGAATTCTGCAGCCCATATCCTCTCCCGCACCATGTCTCCCACCCAATCCACCCAACATTGGTGAGTGAGCTTTCAACCACTCTTCCTCCACTCTCTGGAACTTCATCCTAGATCCCCCTGCCTCACCTCCTACCTCCCCACTTTTAAAATCCACCTCTTTGACTGCCTCATCCTTCCCCTCTCCCCCTCCCCTCACAAAGCTCCGGTGTCCAATCAGCTGTGTGAAGCGCTTTCCTATGTGAAAGGTGCAACACTGCAGTTTGTAAACCGTTGATTCAATCAAATGACAGATCCAGAGAACAGGATTGAACTCTCGCTAAAATGTGTTCAAAAACAATTTGCTGGCTGCGACTCCTGCATTTTTGACCCTAATGTCTCCGCTACTTCAACTTCTATTTGGATCTTGTTACCATTGCATTAAATCTCCACCACGTATTGGGTTGACACTGTACTGCCAGGGAGTTAAAGAATAGTGTTACACAAAGTGAAAAACAAATGACTCAGCAGTACCTGACCTAATTTAGTCACCAAGACTATAATGGTAGAATTGAAAAGCTGTGATTATCTGCGGAGAGTACATACTGTGAAGATGTATCATAATTATACCTGTATGCAATGGCTGATAATCAACAACAATGGCTCACTGTTTCATCTGTGTTGCTAACTCTGACATGCAAGATCATTGCCCTTCAATGCAATGCTCTCCTAGACTTTGAAATACGCACAAACGCTCAAGTTCTAGATAAACTATTCACAATTCAGTTTCATTCAAATTGTAACCCATCTTGTTAACATAAAGGGTATAAAAGAATATAAACGAGTGCAGGAACAGAGCAGGGAATTTGTATTACTTTAGTGAGCTCCAGTAAAAGAGCTACTTTCCTTTTATAATATTATTTGAGTAAATGTCAACCCCTGTGGTTCATCTGAAAACCACAGTACCAAAGATCTGTAATTGTTTTCACACCTTTTGACTGAGCAGAGGTTGTGTCATGGTGAGGAATCCCAGATGAGGTGTAAATCTCCGATCTCCATGTTTAAATGGTATGGGTCAACTATGGCACAGAGCAAATCCTCTGTGATTTTCCCTGAATTAATAGCCAAGTTGCTAGTGTCTCTAAGTTTGAATTTTCAGAAGGGTTTGAAGTAAACAGTCAAGAATCAGATGACAGCTTATAAGGTTGAGGATATAGGCACTCACATTAGCTATGGACCCTGTGCTGTTGGCAACACATATTGGAAATGTAATTGGTCAGACACGAACATTGTGGGGATTTTAAATAGACATTTAAGTGTTTTATCTCTTGGGTCAGGTCTTCCTTTACTCTTAGCCTTCTCCAAGAATGGATCATATAGATTCTATGAGAGGTATGTGGTCTTTGATGAAACAAGGTGCTTTTACTCATTCCGTGCTTCCTGAATCTGTGGTACTGAAACTCTCCAAATTCCACTAAAAGTAGGCCATGCACTTACTGAAAGTTTCTTCCTGATGGCTTCTAGCTTTTCAGTTGCTGTTGCTAACTCAGCATTTGCCTGCGCGAGAGCCTGCCGCTTGGGTTCCACATCACAGTAAACCTAGTATCAGCAATAATATGCGATTAGTAGCTGGAGATTCAATGACCAATGATTTAATACACTTTCATATTATATGTATAATCCACATTTTTTATATATTTTCAATTACATATGTGAGGTAAGTTTCTAGTCACTACATAGAGAACATTTTATTATTATTATAATTATAACAAAAGGTTACAGTACGACTGCTTTCCATTTCACCAGGTTTGTCGGAATCACAAGTACAGAGGCAGCAAAGATATGGTTGAGATTTGAAAATCCTATTTTCACAGGAACACGGTCTTAGTTTTGGGAAACAAATGTAAAGATCTCGTATGTATCTCGTCAGGCAAGAACACTAAGGAAACAAATTCTGACCACTGGAGGAAGCAAAGAGAACCATTGATTTAGTTGCATTGAGCAGAGATGAAGTGACGTGTGTGGGAGCATACGTGTTCATTTGGAAAAACACATTTTACATAGAATTACTTTGAAGGTTACAGCACAGAAACAGGTCATTCAGCCCAATTACTTTGTGCCTGTGTTTGTACACCACACAAAGCTCCACCCTTCCTAATCTTCTCTCCTATATTTTTCTCCCTCATGAATGTATCAACGTTCTAAATAATCCCACAGATCATTTAGACTTAAGTAAGCAATATCGATCTATACAGGGAAGTGTTTTGCACCTGTAAAATGCACGTTGTATACCACTCAGAAAATATAATTGAAGTTACAAACAAAAACCTACCTCATAGAATTTGATGATGTTAATAACCCAAGCACAGAGACCTGATGCTGCAAAGGATTTTGTGCAAACCAGATCTGGATTAAAATCTGGATCCTGCAAATACTGTTCTTTTACCACTTTCAGGGAATTTTCAGGGATATGTTCCTTGTCATAATGCATCAGAGCCTGCAAGAAGTCATCAACCTGTTGGGATCAACACACATTCAGAACTTCCATCACTTCTACTTCCTAAATAAATGCACAGAAAATAGAACTGCTGAACTGACTCTTTACGGATACAGTCAAGTTTATACAGGAAGAATCTTTCTGAATGAGGAATCTAAACAATCTACTATAACAACAACTTGTATTTATATAGCACCCCTCATGCAGGGTAGTGTCCCAGAGCACTCGACTGTGTTGGAGCATGAAACCAAGCCGGGGGGAGGTGACCGTATGCACGGTCGAATAAGAAGGTCTTCAGGCATGACCTGAAGATGGGGAAGGATGGGCAAGGCCCTGAAGGGATAGAGGAAGAGTGTTCCAGAGTTTCGGGGCATAGTGGCTGAAAGGTTGAAAGCACGGCCACCAATGGTGGAACAGAGGGCACGAGGGACATGCAGAAGGCCGCATCTATTTACAACAACAACTGGAATTTATATAGTGCCCTTTATAGCAGGGTAGTGTCTTAGAGTGCTGAACAATGGTAGAGTTTGACGCCAAACCAGGGAGAAAGGGGTGGTGACCGTAGGAAAGTCGATGAAAGTCTTTAGGTGTGATTTGAAATTGGGATTTTTTAAAGATGATTAAACTGTTGTGAACAGAGTGGGTAGGACACTCCAAAAACATGCCCTTGGAGTAAAATATTTCATAGTGTTCACAAAACCAGTGTGCCCCTAATCAGAGCTTTGCTGATTCTTGAATGGGTAAATATTATTAGTTAGAATTTATTGTTCCTTTACCCTATAAAGCATCCTACTCCCGTTGCCATATTTTCTTAATTTGGTTACTTCTAGAAGATGCCAATTACTGTAGCACGTATAATAATCCTTGCATTTTATATAACATCTCGGGAGGATGACTCAAAGTGCTTTAAAGGAGTTTACTGTAAAATATAGTGAACATGTATTTTGTAAGTGAACACGAAAGCCAATTTGCTACCAGTTTCAAAGAACAAAAATAAGATAACCCGACCCTAATTGAAAAAATGTTTACTGGAGGGACCAAGACCTATTTCTGCAATGTGTGCTTTATAGGGTCCTGTTTTCTGGATCTATTGACTGAGGTGGATAGATTTTTGTTAGGTAAGGTTATCAAGGGATATGGTGCAAAGGCGGGTAAATGGAGTTGAGGTATGGATCAGCCATAATCTAATAGAATGGCGGAACAAGCTCAAGGGGCTGAATAGCTTATTCCTGTTCCTATGTTCCCGATGATTTGGTAAATGCAGGGTGTAGATCAGACAGCAGTCATGTAGAGAATTTCATTTTGAAGCATCAAAGTGGTGACATTTCTCATGACCTTAACTTTAAAACCATTGTTTTAAAAGATTGCGAACATTAGTCTTAATTTGGTTATTGTTTACCAAATGTGGAAACACGACTACCAAATCATAATAATAATAATAATCCTTGCATTTGATATAGCGCTTTTCACGTCGGGAGGACGTCCCAAAGCGCTTCACAGAATATACTGTTAAGTGAATTGACTGTATATTTGTGGGCGAACAAGGCAGCCAATTGCGCACAACAATGTCCCACAAACAGTCGTGGATTAAAAATGACCAATTTATTATTGTTTTTGTTTTTTGGAGGGATTATTATTAGGCATGTGGAGTAAGGAAACTTGCCCAAGGTTTCGCCCTGCCTGGAATTGAACTCAGGTCTCTCGCTTGCAAAGCGAGTGCTCTAACCACTGAGCTACAGGACTCCACAAAATCATGACAGAATTGTAGAATTTTCCAAAAATTCTGCATATTCTTAGATTTGAAGAATTTGATTCAAGTCTAATATCATTAACAACAACAAAATTACATTTATGGAGTGCCTTCCACATCGGGAGTATGTGAAAACATTTCTGGTTGGTAAAAAATGGGGTGAATAACCTGTGTTCTCTGCTTGATTTGCTCTCCTCCATGTACCATGTGGACTGCCTCCTGTGTCTGCTTCTCAGAAGGAGGAAACCGGCCTAAATTAGAACCACAGCAGGCGCCAGAAGGAGCCTGTCAAAATTCTGCACCTTCAGGGATTTTTAATTGTCGTGCCTGACATTAAAAATAAAATTGATCTCATTGTCCTGAAGGACATTAAACTAATGCCTGTCAAAGCATGACTGAAGGAGGCAGGTAAGTCTTCTGCATTATCGTTTAAGAATGACGCCTGGCTGAAGTTAATTGGTTCCACCCTCCCCTCCCTTCCATCAATTATTGGCTTCATATCTGAAGTTGATCCACTTGTTATATTTTCACCACACTTAAATCCATACTTACAAACGTGAACCAGCGTGACAACTGACAGAGTACTTCTTTGCCACGTTGGAAATTATTTGCACAGTTCTGAGGGCCATTAATGGATTACCATTTTTATTTTTTTATTTTTAAGGAATTAAATGGCATGCCCACAGGCTGGGATGATGTGGTGAGGCTCACTCTGAACTGTTCATACTGGTAAGTACAAAAACATTGCTGAGCTTCTAATAGAAGAACAGGACTGATTACTGACTGATGGCAATAAGAATGACAATCATAAGAACAACGTTAAGGATATTATTAATAATATATATAATAAGAGTCAATAATAACAAGGTTAGTTCTGCAGGGCACCAGAAAATGGAAAAAGTGTTTTACTGTGCTCCAGATTTCCTACTGTTAAACTCTTGGCATTAATGTCTAAGTACAAGGTGAAATCACAGTCTGGGCTGACACAGTGCTGGGTGGGGAGGGAGTATGCTGCATTGTCAGAGGTGCCATCTGCCTGTTCAGGTGGATATTGAAGATCCCAAGCACTATTTGAAAAGAAAAAGGAATCTCTTCTGTGGCCTGGTCAACAAATTGCCCAAATAAAATATGTTATTTGCTTCATAGCCATTTGTGGGACATTGCTGTTTGTAAATTGGCTGCCGCTTCACTATATTGGAGTCCTGTAGCTCAGTGGTTAGAGCACTCGCTTTGCAAGCGAGAGACCTGAGTTCAATTCCAGGCAGAGGGCGAATCCTTGGGCAAGTTTCCTTACTCCACACAGAGCCTAATAATAATCCCTCCAAAACCAAAAAAAAAAAAATTGGTCATTTTCAATCTACGACTGTTTGTGGGACATTGCTGTGCGCAATTGGCTGCCGCGTTTGCCCACAAATGTACAGTCAATTCACTTTACAGTCTGTTCTGTGAAGCGCTTTGGGACATCCTCCCGAGGTGAAAAGCGCTATATCAAATGCAAGTATTATTATTATTATTCTTTATAGTAAAATCCTGTGAAACACTTTGAGATGTTTTGATGACATAAGGTGTGATATACATCAATTGTAAGGATTATTATTAATGTTACTGTGTAAGGCAACATTTCAATTAAAGTTTTCAGGAGCTTCACCCATTCAGGGTTGAAGCTGATGATTAGAGAATAGCTCATAAATCTAAAGATTCCAAAACAATTGGAACACATAAGCTTTAATGGATTTATTAGCTGTCAAAATTAAACCAGGATTTTACTCTAATGGATTCAATGGTAGAACACAGCAATTTACAACACAGAAGGAGGCCATTTGACCAATCACGCTGCTCCTGGCTCTCTGACAGAGCTCTCTGGTACTCTCATTCTCCTGCTTTACCCCCATACCCTTTTATATTTCTGTAGGTGTACACTATAGTACACCAGCGGTGGATTAAACCAGGGAAAATCTATATTGGCCTCCAAGAAGAAACCAGACAAATACCTAAAAAAGACTCAGCTCCTTCAAGAGCAATCCTTTCAGTGCCATTTACCTGCCCTTTCCCCATAGAATCAGATATAGGGAAAGGGCAGGTAAATGGGACTGAGACATTGCTCTTGAAGAAGCCGAAACATACACGATGGGCCGAATGGCCTTCTGTGCCATAACATTCTATGGTTCTATAGTAAAGCACTTTCTGGCAATGAAATGCACAGTTTCTTTGGCAAATGTCTATATTTTTTGCTAAAATTTAAAGGATCAACTTGCCCAGTTCTGGGTTTTACTTTTCGCACATCAAATTAAAGATTTAAGATACACTTTGGAATTTAACAATAATAAATGCAAAGCTAAATTCCAATAGTTTAGTTAGTAAAATCAATACCTAGTTACAACTGAGTTATATAGAGACCAAGAATGTCCTAGGTTTCATCCTAAATCTGTGCCTATTTAACAGATCTAAGACAGGGCTGTTAAATTAGCCTCAGTGCCCTGGGCCAGGGAGAGGAGAATGTATGATCCAAGGCTTTCACTTCTGATATCCAGTGGCAGCTGTTGATAAGTACATGTCCACAAGCTTCAGGTGACAATAGGATGGAGCTCTACTGTGTTGACTGCTCTGGGTGAGCTGTACACTGAGAATGGGCAACTGAGTGAGGTTCGAGACGGTGGCTTTCAGCTGAGAAACCGTACCTCAGTCAGCGTCTTCAAGACAGGAAAATAAAATAAAAAAGTGATGTAAATCACAAGATTGGTCCGGATGAAAAAGGCCTTTCCACCTATCTGATCTCATGCCTCCAGAAGCCCCACCCTCCCCACCAAGCTGATTTTTAAATGAAATATTTTATAATTTCTATAAGCTTGAAGAGAGGCGTAAAGGTGTACCCTTCCATAACTGACATTATGCTCTCCGTACAATTTAAAAAGCAACCTGTAGAGGTGGTTACAAAATTAAACTGCTGAACAATTTTACCTTTCCCATGAAAATCTTAGAAGCCTTCCAACTCCTGTCTTTGGGCACTTTGCCTCTGGGAGCGAGCAGCACCATGACTGCTGCCGTAACATTGGTCACTGCTACAGGAGGGTTGGGGAAGGTCTTCAGCTCCGTCAGATTCACCTGAAATGAACAGAACAGCAGCAGCTTTTACATTTAGTAGTGAAGACATGTACGCAGAGGAAGCTAGAAAATGAACTATTACAGTACGCCAGTAATTCCACTTTTATTTTGAATATTTCTAATTGTCACCAGGAATTTCAACAGAAATTAGTAAACCATCATCATCATAAGTTTGATTAAAGATATCTTTTCAATCGGTAGCTTTGTTCAGCCGAGGTCAAGATGTCACTGTGCGGGTACACAAGTAAGAACCTGGGTTTTACTAATAAGAATAGAAATAATCCTTGCATTTGATATAGCGCTTTTCATTTCAGGAGGACATCTCAAAGTGCATTGCGGGATTTTACTGTAGCGTCTGAATGTTATGGGAGAACTTTGTAATCAGCTGGGGGCGGCAGGGGAGTTACCAAGCTGTGGCATTGCATATTAGTATAACCAATTGTGCCCCTTGAACCCCACCCCCATAAGATTTATGTACATCATAGACTTGTAACATAAATTACAAGGGGAAGCTAGTGGAGTGAACAGCATAACAAAAGCACCTGGAAAGGGATGAAATTCCACTTGACACCAAGTCAGAATCGTAGTCGGTTCCAGCATAGAAACAGGCCCATCATGTTGTGCTGGTCTTATTGTTCACATGAGCCAATTAATCTAATTCCACTCTCCTGCTTGCTTCCCACACACATTAATACTGCTCTTTCGCAAGCATCAATCCCTTTTAAAATAATTGATGGACTGATAACGTGGATGATGTGCACTTGTAATAGGATATTCCCATTATACTCCCACACCGTCAAAGGCATTAGAGTAAGTGTCAAGGAGATTTTCTCTCCCTCAAGGGGTTTCTGAAGAGAAAAAGGCATGGAGGGAAACAGTCAGAGGGCGGGTGGTGACAGGGAGGGCAGGCGGGTACAGTGGAGGTGCCAATCAGTCAAAACGGATGTGGTTATTGATCCAAATAGCCATTTCTGTTCCTCTAATTCCTTTACTTTTATGGAACATAAATATGAAAGATTTTGAATCTTCTGCTTTCAGTCCCGTTGATACTGCACATCTGATGAGCTTGCTCTTAAGTTAAAGAACCCAGCAAGTCCCTATTGTGGGCCAATGCTCAGAAATGAAGTCATGACAATCCAGTCAGTATTTAGCTCTGTATTTGTTCACTGTAATGGCGAGTAAGATTAACTAAAAGAGCACAAGAATCAAACAAAGCCAAAAGGACTGTGCTATCTGAAATCAGCATTTAATTATTATTATTAGGTACAATTAAGCATTATCAAGAACCCGTGTGTGACACAATAACTGCAATCATTAACACTGTAATCTCTTATACAGTCATTGTATTTCACTGCGAGTGATCTCTCTCTCCGATTCATAGTCGATGGAGGAAAATTTCACTCAAATAACTTTTTACATTTTATTTGTATCCCATTTTTTAGCAGTCAACCTTCCTTCTGCAACCATGGGGGAGTGAGAGAGTTCAGGTCACGCTCACGTCCCATGGTCAGTACCAAAGCGCCTCCACAATAGCCCTACATGAGCTCATGTGTGATCCTGTGGCTAGGTCTTCTGCTGCACTCTCTCTGAACACAGTACATACCATCATTGTCAAGCACTGCATCTGGTAACCCAGCCAAGAACTCTCATTGAAACAATTCAAGGTCGCTGAGTGCCAATATCAGACAAGGCTTGGGTTCATACTCGGGTCTATTAATGGGAGTTCAGAGCTCTATTACCTCCAAAGATAATAAGGTATCATTTACATTGTCTTTTTGGACAATGAGTGAGAAGGGGAAAAGTTAAGAGATTTGAATCATCTCCCACTTAGTGATTATCATTGAGAAAGAACTTGCATTTATACCTTCATATGTTGAAATGTCTCAAAGTGCTTCACAAGCTAGTATTTCAGCTTCATTTGCAGGCTGCAAGTAAACATGACAGCCATTTGCTTCCTGAAATTGGTACCAGGTTGACATCCTTGATAACTGTTGTAAATAGTGACAAAATAATAATCCTTACATTTGGTGTAGCACCTTTCACATTGGGAGGATGTCCCAAAGCATTTTGCAGAAAAAATGGTAAACGTGTTTTATGAGCGAACACGGCAGCTAATTTGCCCAAAGTAATGTCCCACAAATAGCCATAAAGTGAATGATCAATTTTATTTGGGGGAATATTGGACAGGACACTAGGATGAACTTTTTTTTTTAATAGTGCCATGGGCTCTTAAAGTCTACCTGAACAGACAGATGGAGCTTCAATTTAACATCTCATTTGAAGGACAGCACTTCCAACAATGCAGCACAATCCTAGCACTGCCCTGGGGTGTCATCTTACACTATATGAGTGGGGCTTGAACCCATAAACTTCTGACTCAATGGCAAGAGTGCTACCAACTGAGCCAGGCTGACACATGCCAAACAAAATGGCAATGGTACATTGTTAGTGAGCGAGAATCCCAAAGCTCCTCACCGGATTGTGTTCAATCCCAGACTGGTCAGTGAGGGCTGGATTTAAGCACACATTTTGACCACATTGATCACTAACCTTGTGATAATTATCATTACATTACATTCATCATTTGAATTCATATCATTGAAGACACCACTTGTACCATTTCAAATGAATGATTAGATGAGTTACAGCTTTTCAATCTTGCGAGAAGACAACTGAGTCAGTACTTCATAGAGGTGTACAACATTTTAAATGGGATTGAAAAGATATCCCCAGATCAATACTTTAGGACCAAGAGAGTAGAACAAGAGGACATAGGTTTAGAGTTTTAAAGGGCAATTTCAGGACAGATGTCAGGAAGTGCGTTTCTTTACTCAGAGAGCAATCTACAACTCAAACAGGTTGCCAGGAAAGGTTGCAGCCAGGACAATGGACTCATTTAAAAAGCAAGTTGATGCTGTGATGAGGGGACGATAGGGTGGGTGATTTGGAAGGATGAGATAGAATGGTCCAAAGGCCTTCTTCATCTCATTCTTCTTTATCCAAAACAATCTGTGATCATGTGAAATCCCTCAGAGACACTACCTTACCTTGTTTAGGGTATTTAACGCAGCAGTGGCTGCAACCAGTGCAGGTTCGGCTTTCGTAAGCTTCTCTTCACATTCTTTCTGCTTCAAAGATACTTCAGCCTGGATTGCTGCCACCTATCAAGCAAATGGTGATTTTATTTAATGTTAGTCACAATCCTCATTGTGCCATAATCTCATTAGAACTAAAAAAATTGGAAGTAAACTTGGATAAAATTGCATATTAATTTGCTCATGTGTCAATTTTTGTATTCAGTTGAATTGAAAGATAATACACTAATCCACCGTTTCTGCTGAGATAGCAGAATTCAGTTAGCGCAAGAGTGGGGACAATGACTGCCCTCAGTGCCCTTGGGAGAGGCAAGAGATAGGTTTACTAGTGCTTTTTCTCCTGATCATTATCTAGTGATCCACGCTAGAAAAAAGAGCATAGATATAAGGCAAGGTCAAGTTCAGGTTTGCCTGTGAGGTCATCTTACATTTGACCTGCTTGCCAACATTCATATGAAGTCTAGGCTCTCATATGAAGAACATTCACTTAGTACAATAGAAACACTAGCATCTGTGGAATCTTAAATCGATGTGAGTCAGCATCTTCAGGAGAGAAGACAATTACATATAGACGTACCTTCTGCTCCTCTGCATCAGCAATTGCCCTCTCGTGGCTGACCTTCTCTGTCTGAAACCCTATCTTCGTTATTAGAGCTTCGGCATCTTGATTTCTGAATTGCAGTTCAACCTCCTGAGAAGCGAGCTTGGCTTTCAGATCTTCCACCTAACCAGAAAACAGCACTGGGTCAAACAGTGTGAGCAGAATGGGGTTTGTTCTCCAACATTGGTATGTTTTAGTTAAAGTAAAATACAACAAATCATATTTTACATATAATATATACTGGAGATAAGTAGACTCATACTTTTTCTACAATAAGTTTATGATTTTCCAGAATAGTCCAGATACCATGCATAGTTTATAATTCTTTATTGGAGCCTTGCTGGGAATTCTGCTCTCCTGTTTATAAGTATCCACTTTTACAATATATTTCAGTAAAACCATTTTATTTATACACAGTGTTAAGCATCAGGGTTTGGAGTCCCTATTCCTTGCCCACTGTAACTCTGTGTCATTTCTCTCGGTGCTTCTATGGACGCTGTATCCACCAGGGTTAAATTTGTGAGACATTTCTCCTTTTTACAGTGGTTTCCAGCTCATCCTGTTACTATGCCACCTAATCTTCAAGAACATAACAGCGGCAGGAGCACTCTGGTGAATGATTGATAATGTTTACCTGTGAGGCTGTCGTCTTTAGTTTCTGGATACCATTTATAAGTCGCTCCATCCTCTGGGTTAATTCCTTCCGCTTCTTCTGTAACAAGTTCTTGTAGAGTGTGATTTGCTCGAGGAAGCTCCTGGGGGTTGTGTAATTGTACCTCTTGTCATTATGCCGATACTTCTCACTCATTTCATTGACGCTGGTGTGAATGTAGGCCATGAACAGGCTGATTGAATCGTGCATGTTTGGCTTCAAAATAGTCAACAAAGACAATATTTCATTTTGCAACCAAAGATTAAAAAANCTTGCATTATTCTTAATATACTTAAAGTACAAATTCTCTACAGGCATTAGGAACTTGATCAACAATGGGAATACTTAATGGGAAAATATATCAGGTATTGTGGTATTTTCTCCTTCTGCAGAAAAAAGTACATTTTGAAAGTAGTTTTCCCTGTCCAGAACATTCCTAATTTTCCTACGTAACCTTCTCGATTCCTAGGTTGCTCACGTGATATTAGCAACATGTTCATCTCAGGCCAGTTCCATTCAGTTTAGCATGGGGGCAGATTTGGGTGAACCAATCTCAAATCATACTGTACTGGCAATTATGCAACAATTGGAATGTTTCTTGGATGCTCCGTATCAGCTTAATGGAGCTGCACCAGGAGTTTTTCAGCTTCTCACCATCAGTAACCACTCTGGGACAGCCTAGGAATTGAGGAGATGAAGCTCAGCTATTGCAGAAAAGCATGGATGCTGTTACAAGATAGATATAGAGAAGTGAGCTGATTATCTGTAATAATTGGGACTGGCCCCATTGTGAATAAGGAAATAATGTAGATATTTGATAATCATACCAAATACAAATTGACTACAGTGCTAACCAAGTAAAGTTCCATCAGAAGTTGTACTGGCACAATGTACCACATTGTGATAGCCCCCTCTCTCTTCCTCAAACTTTCTACCTCACTGTGACTTTATCTGTATAACTACCTCTAACTTTGACTCCAACCCTACACTGTACAAAATATGGAGACACACCTCTGTGCTACCAGCAAAAAAAAAATCCTATTGTCCACATACAAGTAACTTGACAGTGGAAGCTGCTGCTCAGGCAGAAAAAACCTTGATCTTTTCACTTTTGATCTTTAGGGTGGGTACTCTTGGAGGAGATCACATGACTGAAGGGACTTCTTCATCAGTACTTTATAATGATTTTATTACTATTGCAAGGGCAGTGTTTATCCTTAATAGAGAATGGTTTGACCATGGTGCCCACTGTGATAACAAAGCTGTGAGCAGTTGTATAGATTGAGATCAACTATTCATTCTTAGAAGCTTTATCTTACTTCATCTAACAATAAATATCCTTGTATATAATAATGTGTGTAAACTTGGGTCAGTTGGTAGCACTCTTGCCTCTGAGCCAGAAGGTTGTGGGTTCAAGATCGACATCATCCAAACTCATTTAGTCTAAGATGACTCTCCAATTCAGTGCATGGGGCATGCTGCATTGTTGGAGGTGCCATCTGTGGATGAGATGTTAAATTGAAGTCTTGTCTGCCTGTCTGGATGGACATTAAGAGAAGTTTTTCCCCAGGGTCTAGCCAATGATTCCCCAAATAAACTTGGTCCCTCACTCCATGGCTATTTGTACGACAAATTGGTTGTTGCATTTCATCCACTAAATACAGTCACTTTAAACTTTACAGTATATCTGTGAAGTACTTTGAGACGTGATAAGGTACTATTTCAAATGCAAAGATTATTATTTGTGCATTTATATATTTAGAGGCAAATCTATATTCATTATGAACTTGAGTAGTTGAACAATTCAGTGAGTGAAACAAGATTTATATTTCCCACTCCAAAATTACTCTTCCTGGGGTTGAGGAATGCTCCAATCACTTGCAGAGACCCACTATCCTATGCTGAATGCTGGTTATTTTATCAATGTTATAGTAATGAACTGGGAGGACAAATAGCTGTTTAACATTAAAAAGCTTAAGATCCAATAGCTCATGCGAGAACTTTTAAACTGAAGTTTTATGACTTTAAAAGTTCTTTTGAAATTGGTTGCAGCACAAGCACGATTTACACTGCAGCCAACACATCTATTAGATGGCTGGAACAACCTCCAGAGGTGAGTGGGGTTGGTGGTCATAAATTAATCTATTTTAAACCTGATTGATACTGGATACTGCACATTTGGCATTGATTTGCTGGGAAGCCAGCTTTGAATCAAAGCTAACAATCGAATAGCAACACAACATAAAATATAGGGGGGGAGAATTGATCACAAGAGAAGTTAGGATGAAGAACTTCTTTTGGTCCATTATATCACATCCTTCTTCCCATTAAGGCATCAGGTATTTTCCTAAATGAGTCCAGTTCCATGGCCTCAACCACTCTTATGTTAAACCATTTCCAGATTACCCTCTGGATAAAATAATTATTCAGAAAGAGAGAAATTTGATAACTGCCACATGTAAAAGAAATAAGCAATAAATATTTTACATCGCGAATGCTGCACCCTAACTGACATTCTCCTTTAACTCCTACGAGGTCTGCTATCACATTGTCCTCTCAATGTCCTCTGTTCTGCTTTATTTTACAACACATCACATCTAATGGTTGGTCTAATGAATCTTGTACACATGAAGCTAGTTTAATTAATCAACAGATGCCCAGAAATCAATTAATATGAATTAAATGAGGTACACAAACACTAAGCAAGGCCATACATAATTTACCATAGCACTGCCATTAGATGTTTGGTATCTTTAGATAAAAGACAGGCATAATTGATTTGAGCTGTACACAGATAAATTATTGGAGATGCAGGTAATTGTACAAAAATGAAAGCATTGTTTAAAATGCGAAGTCTCCTCCTAGTTTTCCCCAAGCTTTCCCCATTGCCCTTTTGCTCAGTAGGAATCAGTCAACGTTTTACTTATAGGAATAGCTCAGAAAGCTCCCCACTTTCCATTCTTCAAAACCAGAAAAAGGTATTTTACTCTATCACTCTTTAACTCTGTGCATGTAAAACATCAGCAAAAGGCTTAGCCCTAGAGCACACTGCCGTGGTATAAATGAGAAAACATGAGCCATTTATTGATATATCTCACTCAAAAACAAGCAAAACTTTTATATAATGAAGCAAATCTATGCCATGCAAGAGAAACCTTTGAGATGTACAACATTTGCTTTGTGCAGTTGTTAGTGTAACTTGAGTTCTGTAAAGATTGTTGTGCAACATTTTAATTCAACCCTCATCGAGGGGTATACCTTAGTAAATCAAAATGTTTGCACTGGAAATGCTACAGGTCCATATTTTCAGAACCAGTTGCTAACCTGTATCTGGTAGCATTAAACTGCCCTGAGAACCTGCATCTCAAGGGGTAAAATAGCAGTTGTCATTAACTTAACAAAACAGCACAGCATGGAAGTCATAGTAAGTCAGAGAGCAGCTGGTAGTAATTCACACTGCTTTCACATAGTGATAATCGCCCCAGAACAGAACTCTTTGATGGCTGCTCTACCCTTCATTCACAATTTGTCCCTTCTGTTCGGATAAGCTCAGTGGTGACAGCACTTCCTGACTTTAACAGCTGTGGCTTTTCAAAGGGTCATTGTGTGACTACTAATTATTGTAATTTCATTAGCATAAATTATTTCATCCTGCCAATGATTGATCGCTATGATTTTTTTTCAACACCATCTACTTTGCATTTGTCTGTGAGTGCTGGGCAGTGATGTGTGCACCTAATGCCTGCACCTAATGCCTGCCCTTGTTTTATGTCAAAAGAGGTGCCAAAAGTTCTTTTGGGGGATTTGCAAGATGAAATCATAGACCTGAAAGGCTCAAGTTTCATTTAAAGCAAATTCTCACTCGATTGCATTGTTCTTGGCACCAGGGGAATTTCAATCACATTTATTATCTATGAAAAGGTCTATACATGACCACCTATGACCAGGTATTAGTTTATTCGATAGGTGAAAATTGTCAGCAAATTACCAAACAAATAGTTTAAATGAATGATAAACAGATTCTGTGTAACATTATCCAAAAAAAACACATAGGGTTTCATGTTTGTGTCCTTCCTTTTTTGTCCAAGTTGCACTTGAGCTGATCTGAGGTTCAAAGTATAGATATTTATAATCATACTGCACAAAGATGGTCTGATTGGTGTGTTGTTGTTATTGCACAAAGCATTTGTAGCAAATGTACAACTTGGTGAGTGTTAAATACTGTGAAATGCTACCCTGTGTGAACAGCTCTGTATAAATGCAAGTTATTGTTATCTAAATTAAGCATTTTTGGATTGTTGATAAAAAATATCTTCAACACATCTCCCTTTGTATTTTTTTTAAATTCCATCAATTTGATATTATGTTCTATCTGATTTTCCTCAGTAAAATGAGAATACTGATGTGCATGTATGTGCGTGTAGCTGTGAGAGTTATGGAAATGCTCACGGAATCTATTTTCATCTATTTTCATCCTTCTATTTTCCTTTTCTGTCATAATAAAATATTTCCATTTAATATAATGCCTCAGTAAAAAGATACCCATAAGTAATGATGTGTATTTTTAGGTTGCCTCATAGCTACAACAATAATACTTGCATTTATAGTACCTTATCACGTCATCAAGACGTCTCAAAGTGCTGCACAGGATACATTGTAAAGTGGCGTGACTAGTTTATATTTTGTGGACAAACACGGCAGCTAATTTGTGCACAGCAATGTCCCACAAATAGTCGTAAGAGTGCAACCAATGTTATTTGGGGGATTGTTTGCCAGGGCACTGAGATAATAGTGCTATGAAACCTTTAATATCCACCTGAACTGTTGGAGTCCTGTAGCTCAGTGGTTACAGCACACGTCTCTCAAGCGATTCCCAGATTTGGTAAGTTTTCTTACTCCACACACCTAATAGTAATCCCTCAAGAAAAAAATCACTTCAATCCATGACTGTTTGTGGGACACTGCTGTGCGCAATTGGCTGCAGGGTTTCACTTTACAGTATATTCAGTGAAGTGCTTTGAGACATGAAAAGCGCTATATCAAATGCAAGGATTATTATTATTATAATTATTATTATATTATATGAACAGGCATATGGGACCCAACTTTAATGTCCCATCCGAAGAACATTTCATCCGAAGGACAGCACCTCTGACACTGTCTGACAGCACACCCGCAGGACTAGATTGGTGTGTCAGCACAGACTATATAGGTTCCAAGTTTCGACGTGGCACTTGAACCCACAACCTTCTGACTCAAAGGTGAGAGTGCTACCAACTGAGATAGGTTGTCACCTGCCGAAATATTACATAGCAGCAGAAGTAAGGGCTAAAAAAGTACTATAACTGACCAAATATCAATCAATGAATTCCCCTATCAGTCAAGTTTGCTAAGATTTTATGATGCAAGTCTACTGTTTGCTAGTTTAAAATATTGTTGCAGCCTCACCCATCACTAATGCAGAATCAATGGTGGAATTTCACACATAATTAAGCACACAAGATAAAAAGAAAGCTTTAAATTATATTCTAGGCTGAATCATTTCCCAAACTCTCCTTTTGGGACGAGGACTGAAAACCCTTTTATTAAGTGTAATACAAATTAACACGTGGTAATACAGTTACTGCAACGCAGCTTTTGAGCTGCTGACTTCCATACGATCATTTAAGACCTATAATTAATCTCTTCAGACTTCACGGACAGCTTGAAAACATTAAAATTAATAAATGTGCTGTGGTTTGACTTAGTTCCCTACGCTGAGCTCTTAAAGCAACATTGCCTCACAATAATCCATTTCAAGTCCATGCATATTAGAACCAGCCTGACACAAATGCATTCTATATTAAAAAGTAAATCATTGTAAATGATGCTTTCATTTGATTTGAGCACTTTGAGACGTTCAACTGACATGAAAGGTGCTATATTAATGAAAACTTATTGTAATTGTATTGCATATAAGTTTGGTAGATTTCAAGAGGGAAGTAGATACACATATGAAGGAGGATTGAATTGGTCTAGTTCTGTGGACTCAATGGGTCAAATGGCCTCCTTCTGCGCTGTAGATTTCTGTGTTTCTAAGTATAAACACTTGTAAAAATATGGATAGTTTCCTCTCTGTCTTTTCCCCCCTTCCCCTCCATTTTGATGTCAGAGTAAAACTGACACCACTGTGATGGACAGATGCCCTAATCTTATCTCACGCTTCAAGCCCATCATTCTGGTTAGTTTGTTTGGATGCAAATAACATAAATCAATTTCAAAATATCAGAACCAGATATGCAGCACATAGAAAGGCCAAACAAATCAAACATTGTATTTCAACATCAACAACTTGTATTTATATAGCCCTCTTTACGTGGGGTAGCACATCAGAGTACTTGCTATTTCCAGATTTATAGTAATCATTTTCTATGACGCCCATTTTTGTTCCCCCCACAAAATGCAAAGGCAATTCACTTTACAGTATATCCTGTGAAGCACTATGAGATGTCTTGACGACACGATAAGGTGCTGTATCAAATGCAAGGATTATTATTATTTATTATTTTTGTTAGTCAGCAAATGCGTGATTATTACTATTTTTACATTTCATTCATAAACTTGCATAATAAACTAACATATTTGAACAAAGTTATAAAATTTGAGGTAAGTTAACTATATGTGGCACCATAATTCATAAACCTATGATTTTGTGAAACTGAAGTTTCAATAAATACGTATTTCTGTTTATATATGTGTGCTGTATATGTACAGGTGAGATTTATGTTAACAATGGTGATTTTCATTAGACCTGTACATATTAAGTATTAATACTGATAGAATATTGTAGCAGACTGAAATAAGAAGTCTCGCAACACATTTGGAAAACAAAAGAGTTGCAATACAGTATTTCTCATTTAAAAGATGCTAAGGAACGCTCTCAAGTACGAACATTACATTTACTATGTTTATACTAGAAGCATTTTTGGTTTGTGTTTCTTATTCTTATAAAGCTCTCCGGGACACGTGAAGGGTGCTATATAAATGCAAGTTGTTGTTGTTATTGCAGAAACGGTGTGGCTAAGATAAAGAAATGTCTTTGAAGTGTCACACGTTGATGCATTTCTCCACACTGACTTTGACAGACACTACAAACAGTTTTAAGACACGCACCTCAATCCCTTCAATCTCCTCAATGAATCTCCTGCTGACAGACACTAGGGCCTCCTGTGGCCACTCATGAAACCAGTCAATAGCTGTGCAATTAACTATGGCTGGAAACTTCCGGGCTCTTACGCGCAAGGTGGAACCAACTGGGGAAAAACAGAGAACAACCTGCAGGGAAAGAGACTACAGTCATAACCAGAGAACAGCCTCGATCAAAGTGAGCGCACAACATGAATCATTATCACATTAGGAGATCATCAGAGGGTCAGCAATTCTAATGAGATTAGCCAAAAAGCCATTTACCTTCAGAAGACTTAAGATAACAGAAACTAATTGGAGGGCATTCCTCCTTACGTGAACTAAAACCAGCACTAAATTGAGTGTTTTTTGCTGTGTTTAGCTGGTGCTAAGATGACAGCCCCAATTTTAGCATCCTGGCTGGGGATGACATTTGCAAAAAGTGGCCGCTGGTGTCTCCTGACAGTAATTGGGTGTGCGACACGTTGACCTGTGGAAACTGCTCTCCCACACACCCAGAAATAAGTTGCATTGAAGTGGATTTCCTTCAGGCCTACCTGATACACCATCAATTAACTGGAGGAGTCACAAGTTAGTCTTGATGCTTATTTACTACTTATTCCAAATATTGGATTTCAGACTCCAGAGTATAGCAAGCAAACTACACATCGTAAATTTCAAAAGATTGAAAGATATTCATTTAGCTACATAAACACTGTCGCTATAGTTTACAGTATATCCTGTGAAGTGCTTTGAGATGTTCACCTGAAGTGAAAGATGTAGAGTCCTATAGCTCAGTGGTTAGGGCATTTGACTCACAAGAGAGAGTTTTGATTATGAGGCAGGGCAAAACTTTAGGAAAGCTTCCTTACTGTTTGTGGGACACTGCTGTGCGCAATTGGCTGCACCGTTTTGCGGGCAAAATAACAGTCAAATTACTTTACAGTATATTCTGTGAAGCGCTTTGAGATGTCGCGAAGACATGATAAGGCGCTGTATCAAATGCAAGGATTATTATTATTTATAAAGGTGCTGTACCAAATGTAAGGGTTATTATTATTTATAATAATAAAAATAGATGAAAGGTGAATAATTTGAAAACTGCTATGTAGAAGTAGCAGCGCAGCAGTTGTTTAGCTGGAAGTTTAAGCTGGGAGCCTGCAGGGGCGCTGCTGACTGTGGAGTGGAGCAGCGGCTCACACAAGCTGCAGGGAGAGGGAGGGCCATTAAACGAGGTCATATTGTGAGGAGATCAAAGCATTTCCCCAGTCTGGTGCTCTGGTAGCTTGTGTCATTGTGGCACAAAAAAAATCACACGAGCAAAGGCCCCATAATAATGGTTCTATTTGAATTCACCTGAATAAGTAAATGCTGGCCGTGAAAGTTTCAAACGGAGAATGACTTTTAAAATAAACCAATATTCCTATTAATTCTCCACCAGATTTTCTCCCCTTGCTTGAAAGCATTTATTTTTCCTTCCAATGTGCTAAGGTTCCTTACACCCTGGCATCCCTCAACCCTGCGATTCCTCGCCCAAGTGGTCAATATTCACATGTGAGCCCTGACGGTGTGGGCAGGCTGATTCCACCACAGGAACCAGCACAATTAAGCCTGGTCCTCACCTCACTTGACCTGACATGCACAAACAAGCACCTTCCAGCAGAGGTCTCTGGATAACCATGAGCAGGAGTGAGAACCTTGGCTGTCTTTTCCTTTCCTAACTCGAGGGCGTTGAGGTTAATTGTTGCACCCGATTTGCTGATATCATATAAGCGAGCACAGATTTTGCCCTCATTAAATTCCATTCAAACTCGACAGCTGGGTTCAAATTAAGAACCTGTCCTGCAGGAAATTGATGGTTCAAAGAGAACAGGTAGTTCCCACTGGTTGAGGAGTCCGTAACCGGAGGACACAAGTATAAGATAGTGACGAGGGAATTCAAAGGAGAATTTAGGATGAACTACTTCACACTGAGATTGTGAAACCTGCTGCTTGAAGCGGTGGTTAAATCAGATAGTATAGATGCATTCAAGAGGAAGTTAGACTGTACATAAGGGAGAAGGGAATGGAAGGGTATGGGAGAGAATAAGGAGTGGGTGGAGACTCATGTGGAGCACAAACACCGGAACGGACTGGCTGGGCTGAATGGCCCATTTCCATCTGAATCATTTATAATAATCTTAGCATTTAATATACGCCTTATCACGTCTTTGATATGTCTCAAAGCCTTCACAGAATATACTGTTTATAGTATAATGTAAACATATATACAGTTGTGAATTGACTGTATATTTTGTAGGCGAAATGTCCTGTAATCCATGTAAGAATCTTTCCATTCTGCAACAGAGGACTTTCCAAAGAAATGGCACATGGGGGGACTGGCACAACCTGCAAAATGTTTTAAAAACAGGATGCAGTACATATACTTCTATTCAGGGAATATGTGCTTTAACGTGACGTTGTAAGTGCTAGAATAGCTGTTAGTTTAAAGCCAGGATTCTGAAAACTAAAGATAAGATTGTTTTAAAACATAGAAAAACTACAAGTGAAGTAAATGGCAGTCTGCAAAGCATCTTTCAAGCGGTGCTTGCTGCAGTGACATGTAGCAGACCTAGCATTACCCCGTCACTCCACGTGGTAAAATGCAAGGAGACAAAATTGCCCATCTCGAATGGGGATAAATTTTCTTAAATATAAAAAATAGGATGGGACATTTTAGTTAAAAAAAAGCATTTGCCCCAAAGTACCTTTTAAAAAAAAGTTATTTCTGAAGCTTTTGATTGATGTGATTTACCTTAAGTTGTTGCCGTACTCTTTCCAAGAAGAACTTCCAGCAATTTTCCCGGGTATCCAGCATCCCTAGACCTCGGACCTCGTTGCGTATTCCTGTGAATATACTGTCAACCTCCTCCTCACTGAACAGATCCAGAATTTCACCTGTTAAAGAACATATCAGGGTCATATCAACAGATGCTGAGTGAGAGAGGCGCTATAAAAGGAAAGTGTTATTAATGTGCTGAGGCGAATATGATGTGTGAGAGGGGGAAATGTGGCATATAATATAAACACTAGCCACAGTGGGAGGCGGGGGCGAGTGTGGTTTGATGAGGTGTTTCACTCTCAAGACCAGTAATAACTAGTGGCTGCTTTTGACTTCATGGTCAATGTGACAATAAAATAATAAGCCTTGCATATGACATAGCACCTTTCATGTCGAGAGGACGACTTAAACGCTTCACAGGATTTACCGCGTGATAATTTCTTAGCGTGCTCAACAGTGATGGGGATGGATAGCAAGCAGGGGAGAAGATAGTATAATAAATGCAAGGGTTATTATTATTTAGTTTGTTGATGCACTGGAGAAGGTTCGGTGGAGAATGAGGATGTGACACACAATTTTCCACAGAGGTAATTGTCTGATCTTCACTGGGTCAATGTTAGGAGGTGCTGAAGCGAGGCTTCCCTGGAGAAAGGGGAGGGAGCAACAGGGTAGTTGCTCCTCTTCCCTTATTGTGGACAGATAAAGAACAGCGGTGGAGGACTGACAGCAGCTCTCCACAGTCTCCTCTGTTTCCCCAGAAAGTGTGTGTGCCACGGGGCAAGAAGCAGCAGAAACAGAAAGAACATAACTTACTAAAGAAAACCACAGCATTAAACAAAATTGCACTAAATGTCCACGGGATAAAAAATTCAACTTTTAATATTATCATCCCAGCTTCCTTTCCTTGACCGGAAGGAAGCTGGCGTTTGAAAGGTGATTCACAGAATGAGTCGAGTTAGGCCAGTGACCTATTCCTAAATTGGTTGAAAAACCTTATGCAATCAATATTCAGTGCACCAACCATTCAAACAAACTGAAGAGCTTTAGCGACGTCTTGATGATGTGATAAGGCACTATATTAAATGCCTATCTCCCCAATGTTCAAAATCCTCTCAAATCTATCTCTTTGCCTGTGTCTTTATTGCGTCACATCCTAAAAAGTTCTCTCTCTCTCTCCCCCCACCATTTGAGGATGCTCTGTGTGGGTGTGTCTCTCTCTCTTGCTTCTCTCTTTCCCTCCCCCTCCACTCTCTCCCCCCACCCCTGGGGTGCTGTCTCTATATACTGTATCATGCAAATCTCTCTAAGTACTTACATTTACAATACAATTTACATTTCTCTAGTGCCTTTCATATAAGGAGGCAGTCTCATAATCCACACAGCTGATCACTCGACCTCAGGGGGTGGGGTTGAAGACAAAAGATTTAACATGCCCCGTGATTCAATAAATCCTATAAATTAGACCTCATGTTTTGCCATTAATCACCAGAATGAGATCAAGCAGGTGGAGTAAGGAGGAGCAGTCACTGAGGGCATACAGCACCAGATGGAACAAGGACCCAGTGAGTGATGGTCACGAGCCATCAGTTACAGGGCAAGTGAAGGGATGATTCAGAGCAAAACTCTGTTGTCTGCCCAATGCATCAGGTGTTCTTTCCAGGTTGGTAAAAGTAAATAAACAGGTTGAAACAAAGAGGACAATGACTGGATTGCATATTTTTGCTGCAATTTGCAAATTTGGGGAGTTTCTCCCAGTGTCCTGGCTTACAAACCTCTTTCTCTGGAGGAGGACCTTTTATAACTCAGTTCTTGCACTTTACAGGGTAGTCACGTTATGACGTATTTCTTTATAACGTGAGTTCAGATATAATTGTCGCTTTTGGACTCCTGTAGTTAGAGCACTCGCCTCGCAAGCGAGAGGATCTGGGTTCGATTCAGGTTATTAGGTTGCCGCCAACATCACTCGTTTCGAAAAGCTTAACAATGGCGGAGTCTGATGCTGAGCTCGGGGAGGGGAGGAGGTGACATAAGCAGGGTCGAACAGAAAGGTCTTCAGTCGTGATCCTAAAGAGAGGAAGAAGGGGCCAAGGCAGAGGGATTGGGAGAGAAAGTTCCCAGTAAAACCAGCCTGCTTCACCTCATCAAAACATCCACCTGAACTATCAGGTGGGTTTAATGTCATATGTGAAGGACTGTGACGATGCAGCACTACGCCACAGTGTCAGCCTAGACTATCAACTCAAAGTTCTGACAATGGGCTTCAACCCATAATCTTCTGATCCAGAGGGCAGAATGTCATCAGTTGAGCCAGGCTGTTGCCTAACTCAATGCTGTGGATTTCCAGCATGTTGTGTTTTTATTTCAGATTTCCAGCCCCTGCAGTTATTTTTCTACACACTACACACATTTGTTCTTCACCTGATGCCAGCAAATCATTGATGAGCACCAGGAAACGTTCATCTGGCACTTGAGCATCTGTCAGCAGAAAGACAGTTGGCAGGTTTCTGGCTCCAGTCTTGATGTACAAATTAGCAAGATCAACCTAGACAGGCAAGAGGTGACATATTACAAACGTTAACAAACAAAAGGCGGCCCAGATGCCACAATACATCGAGGAGTTGTGATGCAGACTGGGACACCCAGCATTTAAACCCCAGTTAGTTGAGGGGCAGTGTTGTGTTTCACCACTAAGGAGTGAAGGAAACACAGCCAGGGTGTACAACCTCAGGTTATACATCATGGCTCCTCCTCAGCTAGCCACAAACCTGTATCTGTGATCACCTGCTCATCTTCTTGGAGAGATACCAGGGAATGTAGCCTGAAGGGCAAAGAAAGGAACTATTGCATCCAAACAAAGTTTTTCAAAGAGCTATAGAGAACAGGTGAGACTGAATTCAACAAATTTGTCAAATTCTAGACACTCTAAAGTGCTATATCAACAGAACAAATCTGGACCCAGGTGCCCCAATATATTTAAGTGCTTTATGTGCATTAAACACAAGACACAAACACAACTCCAAACCACTAGTATCTGAACTGATCCGCATAGAAAACTGATCAGCATAGATTGGGAAAACCAAATTGGCAAAAGTAGGTTAGAAGAAGAGTTCATTGAGTGTATGAGAGATAAGTTTCAAGAGCAGCACGCCAAGGAACCAACTAGGGGACAGGCCATCCTAGACCTTGTTTTGTGCAGCAAAACAGTGCTAGTCGGCAGTGTAGGTATTAAGACTCCTCTAGGGCAGAGTGATCACAATATGATTGAATTCTGCATTAAGGTAGAGAGGGATATAGTTAAATCCAAGGCAAGTATTCTGAATTTAAATAGGGCTAATTTTGTAGGTATGAGGAAAGATTTAGGTAAAATAGACTGGAGAATCAGATTAAGAGGTAAAAATGTAGACCAACAGTGGCAAATATTTAAGGATGTAGTGCAAAATTCTGAGCGGTCGCATATTCCCTTGCGGAATAAGAGTATCACAGGGAAAGCAAGTCATCCATGGCTAACTAGAGCAGTTAGGGAAAGCATCAAATTAAAAGAAAAAGCTTATAAAACTGCCAAGAAAAGCAGCAAATCTGAAGATTGGGAGAGTTTTAGAAACCAGCAAAATAAAACTAAAAAACTCATTAAGAGCGAGAAAAAGGAGTATGAGGGTAAGCTAGCTAGGAACATTAAGTCTGATTGTAAAAGTTTTTACAAATATATTAAGTGGAATAGGCTAGTGAGGGTAAATTTAGGTCCACTTCAGTCAGAGACGGGAGAAGCTGTAATGGGGGATAAGGACATGGCAGAGTCCCTAAATGGATACTTTGCATCTGTCTTCACCCTAGAAATCACAACAAGTCTGTCAACAATAGGGATGCACTGAGGGGATAAGGACAGGCAGCAACTTAGGGATATTTTCATTATTAGAGAATTGGTGCTAGGGAAACTGTTAGCACTAAGAACTGACAAATCCCCTGGTCCGGAAGGCTTGCATCCCAGGGTTTTAAAAGAGGTAGCTTATGAGATAGTGGAGGCCTTGTGTCTGATCTTCCAAAATTCCTTGGATTCTGGAACAGTCCCCATGAGTTGGAAGATCGCAAATGTCACACCACTATTTAAAAAAGGTGGAAAGGAAAAGATGGGGAACTATAGGCCAGTTAGTCTCACATCAGTGATAGGAAAATTTTAGAATCGTTGATTAAGGATGTGGTAGTGCGGTATTTAGGGGGGGCACAATATAATTAGACCAAGTCAACATGGCTTTACAAAAGGGAAGTCATGTTTGACAAATCTCATAGAGTTTTTTGAGGATATTTTGAGTAAACTAGATAAGGGTGAATCAGTGGATGTGGTCTATTTGGACTTCCAGAAGGCATTCGATAAGGTGCCGCATAAAAGGTTAGTCCAAAAGATAGGGCCCATGGAATTGGGGGAGCATATTAACGTGGATTGGGGAATGGTTAACGGGTAGGAAACAAAGAGTAGGGATAAACGGGTCCTTTTCAGATTGGCGGGATGTGACTAGTGGAGTGCCACAAAGATTAGTCCTTGGGCCTCAGCTATTTACCATCTACATCAACGATCTAGATGAGGACATAGAAGTTAATATATCTAAATTCGTGGATGACACAAAACTAGGAGGATGACATTAAAAAAATGCAGCGAGACACAGATAGATTAGGTGATTGGGCAATAGGTGGCAGATGAAGTATAATGTAGGGAAGTGCGAAGTCATCCACCTCGGTAGCAAAAACAGTAGAGCGGGTTATTTTTTAGAAGGGGAGAGATTGGAATGTGTTAGCGTCCAGAGGGACTTGGGTGTCCTTGTACACCAATCACAGAAAGTTAGTCTGCAGGTGCAGCAGCAATTAGGAAGGCGAACGGTATGTTAGCATTCAGTATGAAAGGATTAGAGTATAAGAGTGGGGAAGTTTTGCTGCAACTGTATAGGGCCCTGGTGAGACCACACCTGGAATACTGTGTGCAGTTTTGGTCTTCTTATTTAAGGAAGGATGTACTTGCCTTGGAGGGGATGCAGCGTAGATTTATTAGGTTAGTACCAGGGATGAAGGGGATAAGTTACGAGGATAGGCTGACCAATTTGGGCCTATATTCTCTAGAATATAGAAGAATCAAAGGGGATCTTATAGAAACCTATAAGATCATCAAAGGACATGATAGAGTAGATAGTGGGAGATCGTTTCCCCTGGTTGGAGAAACTAAAACCAGGGGTCACAACCTTAAAATCAGAGGCCAGCCCTTTCGCACTGAGTTGAGGAAGAACTTCTTCACTCAAAGGGTGGTGAATATATGGAACTCGCTACCCCAAAGGGCTGTTGACACTCAGTCCTTGAACATATTCAAGACTGAGATAGATAGATTTCTTATTGCAAAAGGGATTAAGGAATATGGGGATAAGGCAGGGTCAGGTTATTAGCTGGAGTTAAGATTAGAAGATCAGCCGTGATTAAATGGTGGGGCTGTCTCGAAGGGCCAAAGGGCCAAATGGCCTACTCCTGCTCCTACATGTTATGTTATGTTAAACCCAATGTTGATCTTCCACAAACAACACAAGGCATATTTGGAGTCATTATTGGCATGATGAATCTAAATGAAACATCACTATTGAGATGATTAAAAAATAAATGAAGGACACATACGGTGGCAGGACAGGATACAGATGTATGCTAATACTCAGAAAAGTACATGCAAGATATAGGTGGGTATAAACTCTCAACAACAACAACTTGCATTTATCTCAAACCTTGCAAACCCACTCTGGGGTCCCCAAGCCTTGCCTCCTACTAACCTGCGCCTATTACTTTCCGGATAGGAAAACAGGATGTGTCACTCCAGGGAGAGAGTGCGCATTCCATTTCAACCCTACAATCTACCTCTGGAATTTCCATGTTAGGTGGGATGCATGGAATTCTCAGCCTGGTTTGCATATTCTTAAGCATGGTGATGGGTTTCCACATGTGTCAGACACCTGGCTGACCAAAAAAAAGGCATGGCTTCTCACATTTAATTTTGAGCTCTCTGAATGTTCTTAATCCAAACTGAGAAGATACTACTGGAATTTTAAAAAAACATTTTCAGTGTTGTTCCACGTGAACTGAATAAAGTGCTGCGATGTAGTTTATTGTACCAACATAGTAATTTATACATACAGTCTTTCAGATCACACATCTGTTCAGTTAAACATTAGAGACCTGGATTTCCATCTGTTCCTAGTTTGCAAGACTGTCTTGTCTTAGAATTTAAGATAATGCAGTATTGCAGAAAATGCTCAGATAAAACCGGAATTCAAAATAAGATTGTAAGTAGTTATTAACAAGAGTAGGCTTGCAAATTAATACTAAATTTATGAACTTTCCACAATTCTGCGCAATCTTACATTTTACGACAATGGTCTTGCAGGCTAAGATTAGGTGGAATTTCAGGTTCATTATACACAATACCTTTAGAGGAAGCACTACTTAAAACTCAGGATGCTAACAGGAAAATATTACACATATGATAATAACTGAGACTGACTTCTTGATCAAGGCAATTTCATTCACAGGGAATATTTACCTTTAAGTCTTGGATCCCATAGCCTTTCTTCAGTGTGATCTGAAATACTTCAAAAGAGCTGATATAAGCAGCCAATCTGGATAGGCTCTGCTTCCCACTGCCACCAACTCCAACCAGAAGGGCATATCCCCGGCTGCTCTCCAAAATCCGACTTATTCGACACCTTGTATATAAAGACCCAGAACATTTAAATATCGCATTAATAAATTGTTTTTCTATACTTTCAAGTCACACTGTTTACTTGTTCAATGCATAGTTTTCATGCAAAGGAACAGGATGTCTCATGTTCCTTTGCATTAAAACTATGCATTGAAGCATCATCCACAATCAGTGGCATGTTTGTATGTTATAATAACAATAATCTTTATATTCGGTATAGTGCCATTCACGTCAGGAGCACATTACAAAGCGCTTCACAGGATATACTGCAAAGTGGAGTGACTGCATGTTGTGTGGGCAAAAACAGCCATGAAGTGAATTACTAATTTTATTTGGGGGATTGTTGGCCAGGACACCAAGATAAACTCCCTTCTCTTTCTTGAATAGTGCCATAGGATGTTTAACGTCCACCTGAACAAGCAGACAGGGCCTTGCTTTAATGTCTCATCCAACAATGCAGCACATCCCTAGCATTGAATTGTCAGCTAAGACCGTATGAATTCCAAGTCCTGACGTGGGCTTGAACCTACAACTTTCTGAATCAGAGGCAAGAGTGCTGATACAGCTAGGCTGATAAGATAGATGCCACAGTTAACAGCCCTGAATACAGACTCAACATTAAAATGCAAGAACCTTCTTTAACCAGTAATGATAGCAACAACAACAACAAAATTACATTTATAGAGCGCCTTTCATGTCGGGAGGACTTCCCAAAGCGCTGAACAGTCAGATGTCGGGGCCTGAGCATGGGGGAGGGGTGGTGTAGGGGTGAGGGAAGGCAGAGAGGTGGGAGGGAGACCAAAGGCACGGTCGAAGAGAAGGGTCTTGAGACCGGCCTTGAAGGAGGCAAGGGAGGAAGCGAGGCTAAAGGACTGTGGGATGGAGTTCCAGAGTGTGGGGGTAGAGAGGCTGAAAGCCTGGACATCGATGTTAAGGCGGGTCGGGCGGGAGACATGGAGCAGGGCCGGAGCCTGATGAACGCAGGGAGCGGGCAGGTTGGTAGTTAGTCAGCAGGTCAGAGAGGTAGGAGGGGGCAACGCCATGGATGGCTTTAAAGGTGAGGACGAGGATGTTGAACTTGATCCTCTGTGGGGATGGGGAGCCAGTGGAGTCGGGCGAGGGTGGGAGTGATGGGGTCACGGAGTCTGGTGCGTGAGAGTACACGAGTTGCAGTTTTGGATGATCTGCAGCTTGTGAAGGGAAGAGTTGGGAAGGCCGATGAGGAGGGAGTTCCCGTAGTCGAGCCTTGAGGTGACGAATGTGTGGGTGAGGGTTTCCGCAGCCTGAGGGGTGAAGCAGTGGCGGAGTCTGGCAATGTTGCGAAGGTGGTGGTAGGCGGTGCTGGTCATGCCGCGGATGTGGGGGAGAAAGGACAGTTCAGGGTCAAACAAGACACCCAGGTTCCTGACTGGCTTAGTGAGGTTGAGTGTGCAGCCATGGAGGCTGATGCTGCCAGCGCCTGAGGTGCGGAGGCACTGGCGTGAGTCAATCAGGAGGGCCTCGGTCTTGCTGATAGCACAGAAACAATATTAATAAAAAGCCCCTTAATAAAATAATCCTTCCATTTATTAGTAATATTTTTATAATAAAGGAGGATTCTTATCATTTTGTAACTACATTGTTCAGTGGACTTAAAGTAGATGCAGTGCCTGATGTGATGACATTTGAACTTAACAAGGACCTACCTTTGAAAGGTTACTAACTGCTGTCTCCTACATTTATTTTCTATTAATCCTACTTGATATAGAATAAAATAAACAATAATCAGATCTAATTTGTCTTTTTTCCTAAAGGGATTCAATATGGAATCCTGTTAGAATTCCTGTTAACCAGCAGGAACTGCGCTCCACGCATAGATTGGGTTGAAAGAGTTCCCATGGGTCATGCATGTATGAAGGCGACACAAGCACATAAACACGTGACAACAATGGCATGTGAAGGAGGAGGAACATGAGCAGCGTGGACATATGAGCACACAGGTGTCAGCGCCAATGATTCTGCATGTAGGAACACACATAAACTGAACTAATAATAATCTTTGCATTTGATATAGCACCTTATCACGTCTTTGAGACAGCTCAAAGTGTTTCACAGAATATACTGTAAAGTGAATTGATTGTATATTTTGTGGGCGAAACACAGCAGCCAATTGCACACAGCAGTGTCCCACAAACAGTCGTGGATTGAGTGACCAATTTTATTATTATTATTATTATTTTGAAGGAATTATTACCCCCGGAAAAAGCAATCCTCCAATCGATGAACAGCCGGGTTCCTATTTACTGCTAGGTAAACAGGCGTGTGGTGTAAGGAAACTTGGCCAACCTTTCTCCTGGCTGGGAATCAAACCCAGATCTCTCACTTTTACGAGGTGAATACTCTAACCACTGAGCTGCAGGACTCCATACAGGAACTCACTATTTCAACCTGGAATCTCCCTTAGAGGTGCTGTTGAGTGGACAAACATTTTTGCTCTGGGAAACGGATCACACCATTAGATTCACCCACTGCAACCAAACACTTCACAATAACACAGAAATAAAGAGAAAAGCAGGAAATCTACACCCCATCAAACACCATCTAAAAAAAAACATTTTTTCACAAGCTATTTAATTATTATACTACAAGTCAGCCTAACTCAGTTGATAGCACTCTTGTCTCTGAGATAAAGGTTGTAGGTACAAGCCCGGTGTCAGATTTTTGAGATCAAAGTCTAGGCTGACATTCCAATGCAGTGCTGATTGTTGGAGGTGCCATTCTTCAGATGAAGTATTCAGCCAAGATATTTTAGGCTAACATGCAGGCAATATGTGCACACAAATAGCCATGAAATGAATGGCCAATTTTATCTGGGGATTGTGGCCAAGACACTAGGAGGGTAAAAACTCCCTTTCTTTTTGAAAAGTGCTTTGAATAGTGTTTTTTACCATACACCCGAACAGGCAGACAGAGCTTTGATTTTAACATTTTAGAGGGCAGTATCTCAGATAACAGCAATAACAACTTGAATTTATATAGTGCTCTTCACGCAGGATAGCATCTCAGAGCAATGGCTTAACAGTGGTGATGCTTGACACTGATCTGGAGAGAAAGGGGAGATGACTCTAGGCATGGTCGAAGAGGAAAGTCTTCAGGTGCGATTTGATAACAAACAAACAGGAGGCACGTCAGAGAGATTGAGGCACATAGTTCCAGAGTTTCAGGGCACAGTGAATGTGCAGAAGGCTAGAGCCAGCCGAGTGAAGTGGTCAGGCAGGTAGATGAGTGGCGTGTGAGTAAGGTTGAGAGGTAGAGAGGTGCTACACCATGAAGTTATTTGCAAATAAATGTGAGGATCTTGAAATCGATCTGTTTTGCAACAGAGAGCCAGTAGAGCCTTGCAAGGGACTGGAGCAATGGGGTTGTGGACATCGAGACCTGCCCCTAGCACTGTTTGGAGCGTCAGCCTACATTGTGCCTTCAAAGTTCGATTTGGGCCTTGAACCCCAACTCTTCTGACTCAGAGGTGAGAGTGCTACCAACTGAGCCAGGCTAACACCCAAGGCTTTTTTGTACTTACACATGTTGCATGGCATCTTCAAATAATACCAGGTTCATCACAGCATTGGAGTCATTGTAGCTGTCAAGTGCCTCAGTCAGGACTCTCTTTAGTTTCTCCCATTCTGTGACAGGCATGTAACGGAAATCTCCAAACCCAAGGGCAAAATGACAATAAATCAGTGGCTTCTGAAGTAAAGTGTTATCGTTCACACCCTGAGAAGAAAATAAAATAAATAAGTTCTAAAGAGCAGTTTGGATTAAAGCACATCTGATCCATTTGGGTCTCCCCGCACCCCCATTTGATTTCTATCGCACTGAATTTCATATTCATTTTGCTTCTTAGAAACCATCTTTGGCTTGATGCAGAGCTTTTTGAAGCACTTTCTCTTGAAGATTGCGTAACACCACAAATCCTGGCTGTTCAGCCCCATCACATCACATACATCACAAAGCAATATTAAGGTCAAATTTGCGATCCATTTAATATTCAGCACACCAATTGTATGTTTTTGTGGGTAAATGCTGCAGCCAATTTTGAACACAATGTCCCCAAAACAGCCATGAACGAATGACCAACCTTATTTGGGGGATTGTTGGCCAGAACACTGGGAGAACTTGTTACTTTTGACTCGTGAATGGTTACACTTCACTGCAGGTCAGTGGGATATCTGCAGCTTGAGATTTTTGTTTATTTTATTGACCTCTACCTGGAAGAACTTGTGTGTGTGTGTGTGTCTGTTTGTCTGTCTGTGAGTGCATCTGTGCGTTCACATGCACATCAACTATGAATAGATTTAATCCATAAAGGTCTTTCACGGTCAGATATCCTGCTGGTGTCATGAACACAGACAAAATACTGTGGGGATGTCAGCACTCGGGGGAAATCCTAAGTACAAATCAATGCCGCAGGCGATGAGGAAACCGAGAAGCAAAAACAAGTTTCTACATCCAAGCATTCTGAAACATTTTTCAAAAAGAAATATCCACAAAGCAATCAACAAGTTCTGATCCATATGGGAGAGAGAAAAATATCCAAATGAACATTTTTTTTTGAAGATTGATTTATAATCATGGATTATTAACACAAATGACAAGAATAATTTCATTGGATGTAAGTAAATTTTACCAGTTTTATTTGGGTATTTGCTACCAAACCCACACTTGAACTGTCAGAAAATGTACTTATAATCTTCTTAAGGCTTTTCTCCTTGCTGCATAAATAATTTTATAACATTTGTGTTTTTCCTAATATCAACAAAAGTCAACATGCTTACATCAAAGAATTTTCTGGCTGTGTCTAGCAGCACTTTCTTAAAGAGTTCAGAGTCTTTTGGTTCTACTAACTTGTCCTCATAGACACGTGATGATTCATGGATCCACAGCTGTGCAAGGTCCGTTGCTTGTTTTAAACAATCAGGAAGTGCAAACAATATTCCCTAAAGATAGGAAACAGGATTGATCCTTAGAATGCACCAATGATAAACTTTAAATAGCCTTACACTAAAAGCTAACTGCATCTGGTGGGGAGTTAAGGTGGCACAATAAATGTGATAGGTCCTAAGGTTAATTATGAAGGTGGGCATGAGTGTCAATTGATACAAGTCAATTTAAAACAGTTAGTAAACAAGCAAATGAGGAGGTTAGGAGAAAAGTTTTCACACACACAGAGTAGTTAGGATATGGATTACCCTACCAGGAGCAGTGATTGAGGCAGAATCATACTGACCTTCAAGAGGAAACTAGATAAATACCTAAAAATAGAGTCAGCTGCAGGAGTATGGGAAAAGGGCAAGTAAATCCTTCCACATCTCCCTCTATTCCTCCGATTTGCCCCCTCCCTCCCTTCAAAACCCACCTAAAGACCTTCCTTTTGGATCATGCTTACGGTCACCTCCCTCCTCCCTCTCCCCTTGGCTCGGTGTCAGACTCCGTCACTGTCAAGCACTCCAGGACTCTACTCTGCGTGAAGGGTGCTATAAAAATGCAAGTTGTTTTTGTAGTAAATGAAAGGATTGGTCTGGAGGGAGTCAACCCAGCCATGAATGGGGCGAATGACCCTCTTAACTGTGCTGTGAATTTCTGTAGTTCTATTTTTCTCATATATAATTTTGAGAGTTAATAATGAATCGGTGCATTTGATGAAGCACTCATTACATTGAAGCGTCTCAACCGCTTCACAAGTTATTGCTATCAAATGTAATGTCTATAGTCGTAGGGAAATGTGGCAGCCAATTTGCATACAACAAAGTCCCACAAACAGCCATGATGTGAATGATTAGTACATCTGGAGGATTGTTAGCTAAGACAGCGGGAGAATCTCCCTTCTTTTTTCAGACAGTGTTGGGTGATTGGAGTTCCTTGTTACAAAGATACAATGCCCAGTATTTTTACTGTTAGCTAAAGCTCAAATCACTCCCTGCAGTCAACAGGTGATTAACATAACATAACATATAGGAGCAGGAGTAGGCCATTCGACCCTTCGAGCCTGCCCTACTATTCAATCATGGCTGATCTTCTAATCTAACTCCAGCTAATAACCTGACCCTGCCTTATCCCCATATCCCTTAATCCCTTTTGCAATAAGAAATCTATCTATCTCAGTCTTGAATCTGTTCAAGGACTGAGTGTCATCAGCCCTTTGGGGTAGTGAGTTCCATACATTCACCACCCTTTGAATGAAGAAGTTCTTCCTCAATCCACTGAGAAAGGGCTGACCTCTGATTTTGAGGTTGTGATCCCTGGTTTTAGTTTCTCCATCCAGGGGAAACAATCTCCCACTATCTACTCTATCATGCCCTTTGATGATCTTATAGGTTTCTATAAGATCCCCTCTAATTCTTTTATATTCTAGAGAATAAAGGCCCAAAACTTCCCTGCTCTTTGTTCCTACCCGTTAACCATTCCCCAATCCACGTTAATATGCTCCCCCCAATTCCATGGGCCCCTATCTTTTGGACTAACCTTTTATGCGGCACCTTATCAAATGCCTTCTGGAAGTCCAAATAGACCACATCCACCGATTCACCCTTATCTAGTTTACTCAAAATATCCTCAAAAAACTCTACGAGATTTGTCAAACATGACTTCACTTTTGTAAAGCCATGTTGACTTGGTCTAATTATATTGTGCTCCCCTAAATACCGCTCTACCACATCCTTAATCAATTATTCTAAAATTTTTCCTATCACTGATGTGAGACTAACTGGCTTATAGTTCCCCATCTTTTCCTTTCCATCTTTTTTAAATAGTGGTGTGACATTTGCAATCTTCCAATCCATGGGGACTGATCCAGAATCCAAGGAATTTTGGAAGATCAGACACAAGGCCTTCACTATCTCATCGACTACCTCTTTTAAAACCCTGGGATGCAAGCCATCCAGACCAGGGGATTTGTCACTTTTTAGTGCTAACAGTTTCCCTAGCACCAATTCTCTAGTAATGAAAATATCCCTAAGTTGCTCCTTGTCCTTATCCCCTCAGTGCATCCCTATTGTTGACAGACTTGTTGTGATTTCTAGGGTGAAGACAGATGCAAAGTATCCATTTAGGGACTCTGCCATGTCCTTATCCCCCATTACAGCTTCTCCCGTCTCTGACTGAAGTGGACCTACATTTACCCTCATTAGCCTATTCTACTTAATATATTTGTAAAAACTTTTACAATCAGACTTGATGTTCCTAGCTAGCTTACCCTCATACTCTTTTTCTCGCTCTTAATGAGTTTTTTAGTTTTATTTTGCTGGTTTCTAAAACTCTCCCAATCTTCAGATTTGCTGCTTTTCTTGGCAGTTTTATAAGCTTTCTCTTTTAATTTGATGCTTTCCCTAACTGCTCTAGTTAGCCACGGATGAATTGCTTTCCCTGTGATACTCTTATTCCGCAAGGGAATATGCGACCGCTGAGAATTATGCACTACATCCTTAAATATTTGCCACTGTTGGTCTACATTTTTACCTCTTAATCTGATTCTCCAGTCTATTTTACCTAAATCTTTCCTCATACCTACAAAATTAGCCCTATTTAAATTCAGAATACTTGCCTTGGATTTAACTATATCCCTCTCTACCTTAATGCAGAATTCAATCATATTGTGATCACTCTGCCCTAGAGGAGTCTTAATACCTACACTGCCGACTAGCCCTGTTTTGCTACACAAAACAAGGTCTAGGATGGCCTGTCCCCTAGTTGGTTCCTCGGCGTGCTACTCTAGAAACTTATCTCTCATACACTCAATGAACTCTTCTTCTAACCTACTTTTGCCAATTTGGTTTTCCCAATCTATGTGGAGATTGAAATCACCCACTATTATTGCTTTATCTTTCCTACATGCTCCACTGATTTCTTGATTAATACCTTGTGCTATACTGTGATCACTGTTTGGGGGTCTTTCAACCACTCCCATTAATATTTTCTGCCCCTTATTATTTTTTATTTCCACCCATATTGTCTCTACCTCCTGGTCATCGGATTTCAGATCCTTCCTCTCCGCTGCTTTTATGTCATTCCTAATTAACAGAGCTACCCCCCACCTCATTTCCCACAGTGCCTATCTTTCCTGTAAACTGAGAACCCTGGAATATTTAACTCCCACCCTAGATCTCCTTGTAACCATGTTTCAGTGATGGCTACTAGATCGTACCCATATGTGTCTATCTGTGCTTTTAATTCATCAGTTTTATTCTGAATGCTTCATGCATTCAGATATAACATTTTTAATTTCCTACCTTTTCCTCTACTCTCTGATTCATTATCTGCTTTGCCAAGCTTCTTACTCCTAGTTAACATATTCCTTTTATCTGGCATGCTATTCTGCACTGTCATCTTTACTTTTTCTGATGCTAACTTATGGTTTATTTTACCTATATATTCCCCCCCCCCTTTACTAGTTTAAATTCCTATTTACCTCCCTATTAATTAGTTTAGCTAGGACATTTGTCCCAGCCCGATTTAAATGCAGCCCATTTCTCTGAAAGAGCTCTCTTTTCCCCCAATACTCGTGCCAATGGCCCATAAAAAGAAACCCCTGAGTTACGCACCACTCTTTTAGCCATGCATTCAAGTCCTTACTTGTTTGTTCGTGTACCAATTGTCGTATGGTACAGGCAGTAGTCCCGATATCACCACCTTCGATGATCTTGACTTCAAATTGGACCCCAGCTCTTCGAATTCCCTTCTCAAATCATCTTGGCCAACTCTACCTATATCATTGGTACCTATGCAAAGTACCACCAACGGATCCTTGCCCTCGTATTTTAAATTATTCTCTAGTCCTGCCGAGACATCCTTCACCCTGGCCCGAGGGAGGCAACAAAGCCTTCAGGTATTCTGGTTGGGGTTGCAGATGATTGTGTCTGTCTGTCTAATAGTCTCATCCCCAATGACAACAACCATCCGCTCGTTTGCCCCAGTGTTAGAGGTAGTTTTTCTTTCCACCTCACCGGCTTCCTTGTCAATATAAATTCCAAAGATCTCATATCTATTGCTCAAGGTTAATGCCGGATTTACTACCACTCTTTCCGTTGTCCCCCTGACCTCCTGACTGTCCATTGACCTATCCTGACTATAACCAATGATGTTGACTGTATATTCCCTCAGGGGAGTGACTGGCTCCAGGATGTAGCTATCCAGGAAGCACACACTGTCTCTGATACTCCGTAGTGTCTGCACCTCGGATTCCAGCTCAGAGTTGGAACTGAGTTCCAACTGTTCCAACTGAGCTGGAGCTGCCTCAGTTGCAGACATCTTCTGCAAATGTAGTCGCCCGGGTTCAGACTGCCCTTCATCAGCTCCCACATGTCACACTCCTCACATAACACCTGCCATGCCATTGTCACCTCTTCCAACTTGAGTTAGTTAGTTAAGTTAATTTAATTAAGTTTTCATTTAATCAAGTTGATCCAATTAAGTTGATCAAGTTAAGTTAAGTCAGATAAATAATCTTTACAGGTAAATTACACTCACCTGAAAAATATTGGAGAAGTCGCGAAGGTTAAAAATATAGTGAAATTTAATGGCCGTTGGCAAGAAATTGTGCGACATCTTTTGATGTAGCCAAATGGCTGCCTGGACCAGGGCTGGGCCACTCTTCACCACAGAGGAGCCAAAATTCACATTCCGCTGAAAATGAAAACTTAGAATCTTGCTGTAGATTGTCTCCAAGGTGTCCGCTGATGGAAAGTTCACTGCAAACACTGTAAAATGTCTCTGAAAAATGAGAACATTGATTAACATGAGGCAAAGAGTTTTTAAAACGTTATTTTAACATTGTCTTCAACTGCTGTTTATCAACACCAGAGTTATAATGGGGAAACTATCCATGTTTTGCAGTGTACATGGTTGGCGTATTACTATTAACCTGACTAGGATTCAGGTTTGCAGCACACTGTTCACATCAATATGATCTGTGAAATAATTAGCTTCCAAACGTCCCACCTTCTGCTCGGAGGTTTGGCTAAAGATATTTTTGACTTGCTCAAAGCGCCATGTCAGCACTGTGCCAAGATAAGTAAACTTCTCCACCTCCCCACCACCAATGGTGGGGAGCGATCACTGTGCCTGGGGCAAGAGGCAAGTGAGAGAAACACAAAACATGTCAGCACATAGGAGGACTGTCAGTTCTAACTCTGTTCATTTAAAAAAAACTCTTATTTTATTAATTCCACTTTCCAGCTCTTTCCCATTCTCTTTAGTGTTTTAAAGGATTAGACTCTCTCCTGATTTTCCTCTCCCTTACTTGATGTCCAATCCCATCCCTGTGAAGCACTCCGAGATGTTACTCTATGTGAAGGGCGCTATATAAATGCAAGTTGTTGCTGTTGATGATCGAAAATAAAGTGTAAGGCTTATCACGTTAACGGGTTTTAATGGTTCAGTCAAAAACAAATTTGGTCAACCAGATGTCTGACACATGCAGAAACCCACTACTATGCTTAAGACTATCCAAGCCAAACTGAGATTTCCGTGCATCCCACTTACAAATGGATATCCCAGAGATAGATTGTTGGAATGGAATGTGCACTCTCTCCCTGGAAGGACACATTCTGCTTCCCTAATTCCAGAAAGTATTACAACAACAAAATTACATTTGTAAAGCGCCTTTCACATTGGGAGGATGTCCCAAGGCGCTGGACAGACAGAGTTACAGACGCGATCTGGGGATCGGGGTCGGGAAGGGTGGAGAGCAGGGGTGGAGACAGGGAGATAGGCGCAGGTTCGCAAGAGCCAAGGCTTGGGCACCCCAGAGTGTGCACTGGGGTACTGCTGGTGTCTAACCAGCCAAAACCGCATAGCTTGCTATTGAGAGCAGTGTCTGACAAGCTTTCCTGCTGTTTGTGCAGCAAGGACCACCCTACCCATTAGGGCTTTGGCTTGTAGGGTTAACAGTAGATGTGTGGGATAATTCCCTGCCCCAGTGACTGGTTTGCTTTTCCAGGTCTTGCCGAAGAGCAGGGCTGGATGTGCTGTTAGCAGCAGTGTCCTGGAACACTGCTGACCCGCCTGGCTCAGGAACTAGACTACGGAGAATGCCATAGATGGTGGTCTTAATTCCAACAATTCATTACCAAACAAGTCACTTTTGAGCCAGTTCAGGTCCAAGGAGATGCTCTTTACCTCTCCCCCAGCAGGATTGTCACTAATTGGTCATTTGACTTCCGATATGTGCAGGTTTGAGCCCACGAGGTGGATGGCAGATACCGGGAACTCTCTGGGAGCTGCTTGGTGGGCAACACAGCTCAGCATGAAACACATCACCATATTGCCACTATCCTTCTATCTGCAGCTCGGACACACAGCCCTTCCCATTTATCAATGATTCCGCCAGTTGGGAGTGTGGAGTTTAAGCAGCAGCTTCTTACCCATTGCAAGCCAATCAAGGTACTGGATGTTCAGGAACACAAAGCCTGTTCCTTTCTGATCAAACCATGAGCCTCCATTGCATGTAATAGACATGCAGTGACTCCTCAAAGCACTACTTTAAGAGTCACTGAAATCAGTAAGATCCCTCCAAAGTTCTCGGTCTCTCTTGATTCATCCACACGCACCGTAAGAGCAGCTTTAGGAACTCAGCACCAAAGCCATCGGCACCTGCTGCCTTGCCATTAGCAAAGTGTTACAGTGCGGAGTCCAACTCCTCCCAATGGATTAGGTTGTTTAAGGCCTTCAATCTGTTCCCCACCTTCTACCAGCTCTTCCAACCTCCATGTGGATGGACCCCTGCTTCGGCCTGTTGGGTCAGACGCCGCTGCAAAATGCTCCACATCATGTTCTTGACTGGTTCAGTTAAAGATCAACTTCCACTCCATTTAGCATTGATTTAAAATAATCCTTGCATTTGATATTTACATACAATGTAAAACAAGGAAACAGGCCATTCAGTCCAACTAGGCCATGTCGGTGTTTATGCTCCACATGAGTCTCCACCTCCTTATTCCCTCCCATACCCTGCTACTCCCTTCTCTCTCAGATGTATGTCAAGCTTCCTCTTAAATGCACCTACAACATATATAATATAGAGATATAGCAGCTTTCACGTTTGGAGGACATCACAAAGTCCTTCATAGGATCTATCGTAAAGTGTAGTGACTGTATTTTGTGAGTGATTTGAAGCAACTCAAATGTATTGATTTTAAAAGTACAATATAAACCTGTGAATGAACAATCCGATGTGTAATAATACATTCAAACCCTGAAACATCCCATTTCTCACCTCCTGTCATGAGGGGCACTGATTCAATTCCGATCCCCTCAGCTGAAGGGAGTGCCGTGGGCTGCAATGCAAATGGAGCTTCACTGCTGGCGATTTCAAACAGACTTTTAAATTTACAGTTTGTATAAGTTTTGACTCTAAGCATTCCCATTTCAGCTGTTACCTGAAGTCGAGGGTTGATAGTGAAGCTCCCCACTGTTGGATTCATACAGGCAATATACTGACAGTTGTGAATTTCTTTCAGCGTTAACTTCTGCCGATCGTACCTGCATATCAAATGGAGAAAGTTGATAAGAGGCATTGTTCACACAATCAACAGGAAACAAAGTTACCTTGATATAACATTCACAGAAATGACAAGTTGTTAGCTGAAGCATCACTCACTGTTGCAAAGGAAAGGGGATTATTATCGTGTTTGGTTTCAATTAAAACTTGACAATTGTGGCCCAGAGGGAGTTTTGCTCACACATAATGTAACAATCCTTGCATTTTCATTTGATATAGCACCTTATCATGTCGTTGAAATGTCTGAAAGCGCTTCATAGAATCCACTGTAAAATGAATTCACTGTATATTTTGTATGGGAAATGCGACAGCCAATTGCGCACAGCAATAGTGTACAAAGCACCAGCCCAAAAACTTGCTGTATGACACTCACCAGTGCTTGTAATCAATGTGCTGGCGGATTAGAGTGTGAGGTTGAACTGTTCCATAAGTATCCACTTCTGGCATGTTCATATCATCAATAAAATAAATTAACTTCTTATTTCCTGGAGGTCCATAATTACGACCAGCTTTTTTCTCAAGCGATTTTTCGAGAACTCCTGATTTAAAATAAAAATGGGAATCAGTAACTTGCGTGCTTCTAATCAGAATTGAAAAATAGATCCTTTGCGGAAGAAGCCAACTAGAAAGATCTACTAATCTTCAATTTTCCTTCCTTTGTGGGCAGTTCATCTCCATCCAATCAGAAGGAACCAATGCTAAAAACTGTACACAACCCCTCCACTGGAATCGACAGTTCTCTATATTGCTTTCTGATAAGCTGATGAGGGCAACAGTTTCAATAGGGCAATTGGTATGTCAGACTGGTTGGTGTCAGAGATGGAGAATATCACAGTGAATCAGTAGGTGATGCTCCTCTGAGGTCATGCCAAGTAGCGGGAGCTTCACTCAGCACCTTATCTTGCTATACCTGATCTGGGAGTGCTACTGCCTCCACTGGATAACCAAAAAAGGAGAGTTCCATTTCCCAGAATTACTGCCTATCTCCCTGATCAACACAAAACTCACTCAATTTTTTAAAACATCTCCCTGCTGGCATGTACCATGCCAAAATGACTGAGGAAAGGTCCACCTGTATACATGTCATGATGAGCATCAGCTATTCGAGTGCTGTATTTGTTACAGTAATTAACACAGGTCATACCATGTATTAAAAACTGGGCTGGAGAGAGTTAGCGGTGCTAATTCAAAATTAAGTATTGGAATTTGGCACTGTTTTCACTTTGTCACATAACAAATCTGGCCCCAGAGAGGAAAAGAACAGTAGCTTAAGGGTATTGACCAAATGCTGATAGCATACTCTGTAACATTGCTGAAGAGGTGTAGTAGTTGAAAGGCACTTTGGAGACCATGTATTCCTCCGAAAGATTTGTGAGCCTGTCTCCCACTAAAACAGTTTTGCCAACTCCTGCATTTCCCACCAGCATAATAGGTTTCCCCTTCTCCAGCAACAAATCCAAGAAGTGCTGCAGACGTGTGCTCTCTGCAGTGTGAACAAGGACGGCCTATGATAGAAGAAAAGTGGATTTACTAAGAGTTTTCCAAATAGTGCACTTTGTGCAAAAAATAATGAATAGTAATAGAACCCAAATAACTCCCCCCACACTCCTCATTCACCCAGTGAAATAGTTCACAGTTTGAATGTTTTAAAGGGGACATGGACACTCCACTTTGGCTCAAAATCCTGAAAGAACCTGCTCCAAAACCTCTGGACACAGATGGATGACGTGTTCAATGTAACATCCGGAACAAAATAATCGTACGATTTGGTAGTAGGGCAGTCATCTTATTTTGTCCTGTCCTTTTTATTTGATCCTTCAAGAAGCCATCCATCCTAATCCCAATTCCCTGCTCTTTCCCTCAAATTCCCTTCCTCTGCATGTTTGCCTAATTCTCTTGTGAATGCTTACATCCTCTTTGTTCTAACAGCCACCCCAAGCAAATCGTTCCATACCCTGACAATCCTCTGGGAGAAATTCTTCCAAACATCTCCTTTTCTTCCCCTAATGACAATCTTGAATTCATGCCATCTTGTCCTCAAATCAATTAATTTGTTCAAATACAATTATTATCTTAAATACTTTTAGAGTGTTCCAGATCTGAACCACCATGTGGGAAAGAAAAATAAGAAGTTTGCTTACCTGAAGAGGAGTGTCTGGTTCCATTTCGAACACTGGAACTTTTTCAGACCAGGGACAAAATTTTCTCATTTCGGGGTCAAGATAATAATCAAAGACAGTCCCCTGGGATGGAAACTTCACTGCTTTCATTTCTTTGCACCACCACTGGCTGAATTCGATACGGTAATCTACCAACTTAAAAGGGAGAATTCACACTCTAATCACTTTGGAAACCAATCTTTGAGAGTAAATGGACAGTGCAAGTTAACACTTATTCTCACTCAGTTTTCTGATACAGAATGCTAATATCAGGTTGAAACTTAAAAAGTTTGTTCATGAGTTCTATTACCACCAGTAGAGTGTACAGGGTAAAATCAGTTGAACATACACTTTAACATAAAGGCTTAAGAGCTTTGACTTGTACCATTAATTACATATTTGTTTCTCTGGGTCTGTCTTTGGATACTACAGATGGGTCTGGTTTTAGCAGGGGAGTCTTCTCAGAGATAGTTGAACAGCAGGAAAGTCTGGATTACTTACTACTGCCTTCTAATGCACTAGGGACTGATGTGAAGTAGTTATTATAAGGATGTTGTTTCTCTTTATTTAAGTGGCTCTTCAAACATTAATTGATTCAAGCAGCATTTAATAGATCTCATGTGAATTTGAAAATCAGATTTACCATTGACCAGAAAATGTTTTAGGTGTAGCTTGGCTCAGTTGGTAGCACTCTCACCTCTGAATCAGAAGGTTGTGGGTCCAAGCCCCATGTGAGAACTTTGAATTGACATAGTCTAGACTGACCCTCCAATGCAGTACTGGGGGAGTTGGAAAACTCGCTCTTCGGATGAGATGTTGAACCCATCTCTGTGTTCAGGTGGATGTTAAAGATCCTATTCTACTATTTGAAAGGAGAAGGGTGTTTCCCCAATCTACAGTATTCAGTATGATGGATCTCCAATAGCATAGATCAGAGAAGTCCCAACACTTCAGGTGTCATAACTATTATTAAACAAAGTTATGAAAGTATTTTCATGTTTGCAAATATAGCAATAGATATTGACAAATTATCTGGCAAAGCCAAAAGTTGACATTGCTCTGAAAACAGTGCTTTGCTTGTAGAGGCAATACTTTTAACTAATGCTTCAAAATTACCTTTGAAGGTTACTGCCTGCTGCCGATGGAATAGACGGCTTTTCAATTTTTTAACCCACCCCAGGGTAATGAGTAAATCGTGTCTGTGTGCTTTTCACAAAGGTTGTATGTAAAATCACACTGTTTTACATGATGAGCAAAAAATCAACTAAAACCCTAGATCTCTTCCAACTTCCCCCTTGGTATAGAGTGCATGCATTTCCTATTTCTTACTTCTTGTATATAGTACCTTGCTTTGAATAGTTGCCACTCAGTCATTTATTTGTCATTTGTAGCATAAACACACAGCAGCATGGACAAGAATTACCTGATCTTGATATACTGCCCCACCAAAGGCCCAGATGCAGGCAAAGACAAAGTAAAGTTCATAAACCTCACGTGGAGAATCAGGAGGCACATTCTTTGGAGTCAACAGACAGTCCAGGAGGGAGCAGAGAGTCTGAAAGCAGCACAAATTATTAGATCAACAACTAAACTTAACAAAACATTGGAGTGTTAGAAAATAATTCATGAGACAATCTCAAAACAAAATCTCATTTATTGATACATAAGCAACAGAGCCACTCTAAGTCATGGCAGATGTTTCTGCTCTGTTTAGGATGGGGCTGCCCCCGATGTGCACTGAAGCCAGGGTATCCAGTGAGGGACTTCTGATATACAAATTTAATTTGTTGTTGTTGTTACTCCCCACCTGGCAAAACTATCTTCAATGCCTACAAAAGCAGGAGACTCCAGTGGTGGTTGGAAGAAGGTGCACAAAGAAGAATATTATTTTACAGTTGTGACAATAGTGCCATGAAATCATCATTATACTATGTGATGGATCTCCAACATAGATCAGACAAGACCTAAAGCTGCAGGTGTCACAACTATTATTAAACTAGGTCTCTGAAAGTATTTTCATGCTTGCAAGTGCATAGCAATAGATATTGACAAATTACCCAGCAAAACCAAAGGTTGATATTCCTCTTAAAACAGCGCTGTGCTTTGTAGAGGCAATGCTTTGAACTAATGCTTCCAAATTACCTTTGAAGGTTACTTCCTGCCAATGGAATAAAAGTATTTTCAGTGTTGTTACCCACCCCAGAATAATGAGCTGAAAATCTTATCTGTGTGCTGTTTGCAAAGGTTGTATGTAAAATTAACATGAGGAGTTTCAATCGCACTCTCAGTGGCCATGTGCACACTGCACAAATATACCCCTTTTTAGAACTAAATTAGCAATCTCAATCAAAGAAGCTACAGGGACAACAACAACTTGAATTTATTTAGAGTCCTTCACGTACAGTAGCATCGTGGGGTGCTTAATGGGATGACAGATGTTGGGAATGGAAAATATCAGACTGGTGCAAAGGTATGTTATTGAGGCAGGATGAAAGTAGGACAGATATGCCCAAGCACTCCTGGTAACTGCAGCTGTGACAAGTTTATGCTGGATGAGGAGGAACAGTTACAACAATAGCTGAAACAAGAGTTTCAAGCAGAAAGAGAAAGGCCTACAGAAGGTTGAATTTAGGAGGCACAAAATACCATGAGAGGTGATTGTTATATTAGAGGTCAAGTTATTTGGTGTTAACCCAACCCAAGGAAACCCAAGGACATTCATGTCTGAGTCAACCTAAGGGAGCTATCACTGAACATTCTTACTTTAAATGTGAAGAACAACAAGCTCACAGTATTCAGAGCTGAGCCTGTTGAGGAGAGGCTCAGTTTTATGTTCCCGGTTCATTCTGCATTCCTACAGATGATGGGGGTGGGTGGGGGTGGGGGGTTCATCCATATATCATGTGGTTCGCTATTTGGCAGGTACTTAGATAAGGTAGTTCAGCAGCAAATATTTTTTCGATATTGTTGAATATTCAGTGATTATTCACATCCCCCTTCCCCCTCTCTTCTTTCCCCCTCTCCCTTCCTTCAGCAAAAACAGTGCTGAACTGCTGGAAGGTTACGGTGGTAATTAATGGTTTAGGTTAAAAAGTCTCATCACCACAAGTCAGCTTTTACATTCTTTGGGTGACTGTTACTAACATGTACAACTTCTAGAGATAGACAACTTTGAACATGTGGCTGCATTGTTTACCTGTACCATGCTGTTCTCAGGAATGGGGGTGATGGTTTTTAAGGAAGATCGTAGCTGCTCCAGACACGGAGGAACATACTTATCAAAGAGGATGGTCAGGTTGGCTTTCTCCGACTGGTAACATCTTGTATCAATCCAGCTGGTCACATAACTATGTAATTAAAGTCACAGGCTTATAGCGGCAAACAGCAATATTTTGGCACAGCAACAATTTGCAGATATATAGCACCTTTTGCGTAGAAAGACTATGTCTAAGCATATTATAGAGATGCAGTGAAAGCCTGAGTCGGGAGGGAAGGTTTATAAGATAGGTTTTGAAAGCTGAAGGGGATGGGGCAAGGTGAGAATACACAGGGTGGAGGCAAGATGCTTATACTGGGACAGACCGGATGGGTGGCATGAAGCGGATCTGAGTTGGCAGAAACGGGAAGTGGTCAGGGAAGTGCAGTCACAGAGGCAGGACGGTGCAAGACCATGGAGACATTTGAAGATAACAAGAAGGATCTTAAAGTTCATCCGTGAGGGGATAGTGAGCCAGTGGAACTAGGTAACGGTGGGGTGATGGGTTTACAAAGTGAAAACGGGCTGCAGCATTTTGGATGATCTGTAGATTGTGATAGTTAGAGCCTGGGCAGCCAGCGAGTAGGTAATTAGAAACATAAAGTCAAGTGATGACAGCAATAAATTTATATTTAGGATGTCTCAAAGCACTTCACAGAGTTAAAAAGCCTTGGATAAGGGTTTTGGCTGGTTTGGGGGTGAGGTAGTGTAGGTGGCAGGCAATGTTCCAGATATAGAGGAAAGCGGACTACATAAATCTACTGCATAGCTAACAGGTAGTCTGGTACTGTTAGCAGAGCAGGCACATGTTCATGTCTTCATGTTCGTTGCAACACATTCCTGGTTAGTCACACCTACACCAGTAAAAATCAAAGACTCACGGATTCCATCCCAAATCCTGAGGATTAACATATAGAATGCCCGCTCTGGAAACCGTGGCTGGTGTAGCTGTTCTCAAATGGCTTATTTCAAACAAGAGACGCATGGACGGATTAAGTGGAATACGTTCATTGCTGGCAAGTGTCAAGACCTGTGTGAACAGTAATAAGAAAATATATCCACATGCGGTGAAATATAAAGACAAAAAGACCTAAAACATTGATCATGGGAGATATCATACTGTAGATTTTTTATTAAGATGGGTATTTTAATCAGGACCCGGAATTCATGACTGCGGAAAAAGCCAATGAAACGTAGAGATCAATTTGAGATATAGATACTGGTTCTATATTGAGCTATTTAACAAGTTACAAAGATTTACATCCTTACACGGAATGTGGCAACTTTCAGATGACTTTTACACAGCTAACTTTTTAAGATTACATTCTAGAGTGAAGATCCCATAACCTTTGGGGAAATGTATATTGGTGAATTAGTTGGAATCAAGTAATTTATATGAGTTACTCTGAAAACATTTCTGCTTTCTAAATATACATTCTGTCCCATAATATAAATAGTTGCCTACCTTGTTGTCATCCATAACTGTGTTGAGTGATTCAATCCACATTGGATCTATATCACCATCTAGCACAATCCATTTTTGACTATCGTGGGTTATGTTGGCTTGCTCTCTCATGATTGATGAGAAGAGACCTGTAAGGAACAGGAAACAGCAAATATTACATTAAGGCTCACAACATATTTAGCTGTGTCAACCTCTGATGAAATTGTAGCTGTAATTTTATTTTCTTCCCAACGATCACTGCATCTTTTTTTCCAACAAAAACAAGTTCACTTCTGTAAGTATCATCAATGCTGGAATCATTCTCATTGCTCCCCTTTGCACCACATCCAGTGCATTATTGTCCTTTTGAAAATAGAGTAAGAACATTGGCTAACTTGGCAAGCCTCTACATACCAAAAGGCACTCTACAAAATATAAGGATTATATCAAGACATTTTCAGGTTTACTCACAATCTAATAATCTAAGTGTAGTTACAGTATTGGACTCTGAACGAGATAACAAAGCCAGGTGATGGTTTACATTGTGGTAAATATGGGATTGGTCTGCATTTCACATTATAGTAATCCTTGCATTTAATAAAGCACCTTATCACATCATCGAAATGCCTTAAAGCACATCACAGCATTTACTGTAAAGTGAAGTGATTCTATGTTAATAGGTGAATCCAGCAGCCAATTTTATACACAGCATTATACTTCAAACAACCTCCGGAGTCCTGTAGCTCAGTGGTTAGAGCACTCGCTTTGCAAGCGAGAGACCTGAGTTCAATTCCAGGCAGGGCGAAACCTTGGGCAAGTTTCCTTACTCCACACGCCAAATAATAATCCTCCAAAACTAAAAACAATAATAAATTGGTTATTTTCAATCTACGACTGTTTGTGGGACATTGCTGTGCACAATTGGCTGCTGCGTTCGCCCACAAATGTACAGTCAATTCACTTTACAGTGTGTTCTGTGAAGCGCTTTGGGACATCCTCCCGACGTGAAAAGCGCTATATCAAATGCAAGGATTATTATTATTATTATCAATGACTGATTTTTATCTAGGGGATTGTTGGCCAGGACATCACAAGAAACTCCCTTCTCTTTTCAAGATTTGTTCAAAATGTATTGTAAGCCCAAGTTTAATTTGCTTTTGTATTTTACTTACTGCTGCTTTTTAGGCGTGAGCTGCTGCCATTTCTTTGGTTTTGATTTAAAATTAAAAATCCACTGATTTACACCTTGTACGTTAGCCCCTGAAACAGCTTTAGTGCTTTTTTAAAAAAAATACCATATAGATGGTTCAGCAGCATAGAACACTGTTCTTTCACCTTTGGGACTTGAGCTTCAATAGAGTCCTGGCTGACTTGATGGAAGTATTCTTGGTCTGTCAATTCTAAGGGCCCTAAGTTAAATATGCTGACCATCGCAAGTGAGCTTCTAACAGGCTCAAATCCACAGCAAAATCCTGTAAGCAGTAAGTAATTTGACACAAAACCCTGTCCATAATTTGACACCCGTGAATCGACATTATTGAATTGGTAGTTTTCGAGAAGTGTTATAACATTAATCATTGCATTTGATTTAGTGCCTTATCACGTTTTCGAGACGTCTCAAAGCACTTCACAGAATATACTGTAAAGTGAATTGACTGTACATTTTGTGTTAGTGCAGGAGGTAGAAAAAACAACAAATTGCATTTATATAGTGCCTTTCATGTCAGGAGGAAATCCCAAAATTCACAATTATGCAAAAAGATATTGTTGGGCAGAACAGACAAGCTTGCATGTGGATTTGCAACTGCTGCGACTTTTGAAAAAAATATGAAACACATTGTTAGGCGACAGACCTTTAATGGCCCCAGAACTTGTTCCCACCTATTCCACTTAGACAAAATTCTAACGTGCAGACACAGAAGTGCACTGGACATGGATTGCAGTAACCTTTTGAATACCATGACACTGCTGCACAGTGCTACTTGTGGCATGGCCTCTTATGAACTTAGTAATATTCTGCTAAGGTCCAACAAATGTATTGATTACAGTGTCTTGTCAGCAGAAACACATCTGGTCAGAGCAATACAATACTTGCCATCTTTCCACTCTCGGGTTGCAGGATGTATAAAACCAAACATCTCATCTGTAATGATTGCCTTTGGGTTAAGATCATTCCAGACTGGCTTCCGTTTCATGTTTGTGTACGTCCTGTACAAAGTTTTTAAGATCTGTATATTGAAAGAATATTAAATTGCAAAAAAGTCTTAGCAATTCAAATCATAGTACACAAGGGAAAGTTCCCTCATCTTTGTAATCAATATTTCATACAGTGGGTTATTAGAACATAGAATACTTTGCCACAAGTGCCTATTGAAGTGAAAGAGAGCAGGGAGTTGGAGTCAATAATTCCTGTGAGGAGCGAGCAGCATTTTAGGCTTTATGTGCTGAATGGTCTCCTTCTGCGCTGTAATTTTGATTCTATCCATTAAAAAACACAGAAATTCTGTAACTTTTCTGACACTGATGACTGCTCCTGGTGACGGGGTCACTTTTCACATATTTGACAGAGACTTCATCCAAACAATCCAAGTTTTTAACATAGATTCCAATTGTAAGCACTGTTTAATCAATCTATGCATTGATCACCTATTTAAGTAGGTAATATATGTTCTACCCTATATCTGACTCGATGATGTAATCTAAAATCCACCACTCAATGATTCAGTGTCACAACCTTACACGGGAAGTAACATTTACTTATTTACAGTAATTACTGGCAATTGAGATTGGCTGTGTTTTGGGATAAAATACAGCAGTGATTTATATATATATATATATAAATTTATATATATATATATTTATATATAAATATATATATATAAATTTATATATATAAATTTATATATATATATATATATGTAGTTAGAAGGTTTTCCTCTAGAGATGAGCTGGGATATTATGAAGGTTATGAAACAAATAGATTAGATGGACATAAATAGGCTGTTTCTCACTGTGAGTCCAAAATAAAGGGGCATACATAAAGATACCCACTAGCAGATCTAAAATCATAGAATTATAGAATATTACAGCATAGAAGGAGGCCATTCAACCCATTGTGCCTGGTCTTTGGAAGAGCTACCCAATCAGTCCCACTCCCCAGCTCTTTCCCTATATCCTTGCAAAGAAAGTTTTCGAGGAACTTCTTCATGCAGAGAGAATGTGTAACTCATTGGCAGAACTGTGGTTGAAGCAAACAATATCATATATTTAAGGGGAAACTTGATACATGCATGAGGAGGAAGGGGTATGGGAGATGGGATTAGGAGGGGTGGCGGCTAATTAGGCCAAATGGCCTGTTTCGCTTCTGTACATTCTATCTAAGTCTGTGTAACACCAAAGTCCCGCAAAAAGCCAAGAGATGAATGGAGGATCGTTGGCTATCACCAGGAGAAATCCCTTCTCTTTGAATAGAGTTAAAGGATCTTTAACTTCAGGTAGAAGGGCTCTTCAGTTAATGTCTCATCCAAAAGGTGATAACTCCGACAATAATAATAATAATCCTTGCATTTGATATAGCGCTTTTCACGTCGGGAGGACGTCCCAAAGCGCTTCACAGAACACACTGTAAAGTGAATTGACTGTATATTTGTGGGCGAACGCGGCAGCCAATTGCGCACAGCAATGTCCCACAAACAGTCGTAGATTGAAAATGACCAATTTATTATTGTTTTTTGGGTTTTTGGAGGGATTATTATTAGACGTGTGGAGTAAGGAAACTTGCCCAAGGTTTCGCCCTGTGCCTGGAATTGAACTCAGGTCTCTCACTTGCAAAGCGAGTGCTCTAACCACTGAGCTACAGGACTCCACAATGACAGTCCAATTGTCAGTTGAACCTGGACACAACTAATTCCAATAATATTTTTGCAGCTAAATAAGAAATGCTTTGATCTTTGTCAACTCACAGTTCCTCTTCCTAGATATTTGTAACATCCAGAACTCAGTTTACCTAATATTGTGTGGCACTTTATTATTAAAAACAGAATAATCGCAAGTTCATTAATATCAATGTTTTCAAATTAATATTCCAGGATTGAGTCCTATTTATTCAGTAGATGTTCACAAAAACTCTTTCCTTCCATTAAGGGGTGTTTGAGGCTAGGAAGTTTCAGACATACAATGTACTTGGATCTATAAAGGAAAAAAATCATTTACATTTAATTGGGTCATTTTTTTCTAAATCAATCGTTTTCACTAAAGATCAATACATGCAGAAATAGCAATAATAGCTATAGCCATTAGCACGTAACAAAGCACACAGTCACCTGAACAAAATGTCCTGTAATGATTTTGAATTATAAATTAAGTGCTTTGCATGAAAGGCTATTTTAATGGATCAATGCCCACCCACTGATCAATTGCCTTGTATTATTTAAATGATCTAATTTCAAACATATTTGGAGCGAGACAAGAAATTTAGGGTAGACAAAGAGAGCACGAGAGTTTAAAATGTTGTGAATATATAAGGTCACATGGAACTCTCAGTCTGGCTTGGATACTCTTAAGCAAGGTAATGGATTTCTGCATGTGCCAGGCACTCGGCTGACTCCCAAAAGAGGTTAAAGATATATTGGTGAACTTTGAAGAGGAGCAATTTTGGACAGGGTATTGGGAGAACTCTGCTCTTCTTTGAATCAATGCCATGGGATATTTACAAGAGTATTTATTGTCTACCTGAAACGTCTCAACAGGGAGACAGAACCCCTGACAACCCAGAGCTCCCTCGCGCTTGCATTTGAGTGCCAGCCTTGATTAAAAAAATCAGTCCTCATGTTGGGATGGAACCAGTGAACCGTCATTCAGAACTCTGCAGCTCGTGTACTGTCCCGCACCAGGCTTCGGGACCACATCACACCCACCCTCGCTCGCCTCCACTGGTTCCCCATCCTCCAGAGGGTTGATTTCAAGATCCTCATCCTCACCTATAAGGCCATCCACGGCCTTGCTCCCTCCTACCTCTCTGACCTACTATCCCCCTACCTACCTGCCCGTACCCTCCGTTCCTCCGGCTCCGGTCTGCTCCACGTCCCCTGCCCCAATCGCCCTACCATCGGTGGTCGGGCCTTCAGCCTCTCAGCCCCCAGGCTCTGGAACTCCATCCCCCAGTGCCTTCGCCGCTTCCTCCCTCTCCTCCTTCATGGCCGGTCTCAAAACCTTTCTCTTTGACCGTGCCTTCAGCTCCCCTCTTGACTCTCTTCCCCCTCCTCGCTCCCTCCCTTCCCTCCCCTCACCCTGACCATTTCCCCCCTCCTCGCTCCCTCCCTTCCCTCCCCTCACCCTGACCATTTCCCCAATGCTCGGGTCCTGACCCAACTGTGCAGCGCCTTGGGACGTCCTCCTGACGTGAAAGGCGCTTTATAAATGGAATCTTGTTGTTGTGTTGTTGTTGTTTTGACCTGGAGACCAGAGTGCTACCAACTCAGCCAAATGGATATTATCAACTAGCAGTAGCTTTGGCAGGTTGAAAAGGAACTTAAGTGTCAATAACTGTAAATAGTTGGGATTATAGTATAAGAATCATTAGTATTGATCATGTAGTGAATAAATGAATTAAGTAGAATGAACTAAAGAAATAAAAACTGCCATGTGACACACACACACAGTCCTAGTAAAGAGGCACCGAGCTAGGAGGAGTACACTGGAATATGACCCATGGCCAGGGAAGATAAGGATAGCTGGATCTGGAGGATGGATGGTAGGCCATCTGCACTTACAAGGGCATGTGACCTACGGGCAGCAGAGATAGGAACCTGGGATAATTGGACCAGGAGAATGGATGGGATACAAACTAGCAATTAAAACCGAGAAAAAGCTTAAAGTGAGCAGGTCCCATGGACAGAGTTAGAAAGAAGGACTGAACGTTCAGGGACATAGAGTCAAGTGGTTTGGTCAGGCTAGATAAGATGGAATACGTGGAGTTTTTTTTTTGCAGAAGATATACTAGCTGGTACAAGGAGAAACAACTTGAAGATATGGAAAGAATGCCAGGGAAAAGTGCAGAGAGTGGGAAAGAAGTCATGGGAAAAAAAGTTAGAACACAGATGGCTGGTGAATAAGGGTATAAAAATCGGTAGCCAAAACTAGAGGTTTTTTTTGGAGCCTCTGAGGAGAGGAAGGGGATAAACCTCTATGTAGAGGAAGAAGAATGCCTTTGAGGGAAAGAGGACAAGTCCAGCTGTCGCCGGAGTGGACCACCAGAGATGTTTACAGCCAGAAGCAAGCCAGAGACGTTTGCAGCCAGCAGCTCACCAGAGACAGTGTTTAACTTTTGTGCCAGCCTTAGAACTTCATCATGATTTCCTGCCTGCTTGGTAGTATCGTTCTTAGTTAATAAAATACTCACCCAACATACATACAAAACAAAGAGATTATTTAGGCACATTTCATATGTCACATAATTTTTTATATATATGTTTAGAATTTTAGTTGAGTGATTCTTGTTAAGATAGTGCTTTAGTAGTCATTTAAGTAATGATAATGCGTCAGGTGTAACGTGATGCTTATGCTTGTGTGATTTTATAATTGCTAATAAAACGTTTTAATAATATCCCTGGTGTGGTTTCTGACAAATGCTTAAACCCAATTTCACATAAGGATCATATGTGCATTACTTTGTGTATGGTATCATCTAATAATTGAACTGCTTTTGTATTTTACGTATAGATACAGGACAAAACTCAAATGTAAGTATAATTATTATTAAAATAATAGAATAAATGAAAAAGAAAAGTCATAGAAGCAGGGAATTCCAGGAACCAGAGTTGCAGGACGTTTGGGTATCAACTCAGTTCAGGGGGAAACTCATGTCACAGCCTAGGCTAACACTTCAGTGCAATTGGGGGAACACTGCAATAAAGAACATACTGTGCTCTGTAGGAAACAATTGCCTGATCAGATTCAAATCCATGACTCTTCAGAAAAAGATGGCACCATGGCCAACAACCCATCAGATAAATTGGTCATTCATCTCATAGCTGTTTGTAGGACAAAGTAAGGCTGCCTGACACGTTGGCCTACACAATCAGACTCGACAGTAATTACTGTAAAGCGCTGAGGTATTTCAAGGGGATAAAATGCTATAAAAATGCAAGTTCATTCTTGCTAAACTAAAATAGCTTCTTCCATGTATGGCATGACACTGGAATGTCAATGTCATGCTCACTAATGTGCATCTATATAAACCAGGTAACCCTTCAACACTCACATATCAATCAGCTTGCTAAGTGGTTTAATTATAAACATTCTGAGCCCTTTAGCACTGCTGTGGGCCATAGGAGCTCACATTGGAGAGTTCCAAAACAGACAGAAACTTATACTCTTACAAGTGAGGGGCGCAACCCATTTCAGCAGTACTTCCATCACTGGAGTCGATGCATTTCATTGAAACAAAAATAAAATAATCTTGACATCAGAATACATTTCTTCACAAATAGGGTTGGGAAACATGTGAAATGCAGTGCCTCAGAAAGGTGTAGAGCAGGATCATTTTGGATTCTCGAAAGGTGAAAAAGCATTTACGGCACACAGGAAGTGATGTTAGCAGTGACTTAATGACCTGGAAGTTTTTTTTAAAAAAATGACTTACGCACAGGATGGACCTGCTGCACCCGTGCAGTGAAATCAACTTTGTTATAAGTTGGTTTTGTCACAGTTTCATTAAAAAGATGGTTGAAATTTTATGGGTCCCAATTACAACCTTATAACAAGATTCCACTATGGTTAGATACTTGGGAAATAAGGGTATTAACTGATATGGGGAAAAGGCTTAAACTGTCTGCTGTGATCTGGCATGAGATGCTGAAAAATCTTTTCCTATTCCTATGTTGCAGACTGATGAACATGTAACCATATTCTGGTTTATCTACTTCATGCAAATATGTAGAGCCCCATGACATTTTTTGTAATTTTTATAAATGTTCATTTTATTTTTCAGGAATTTTATGTTATTTCACTTTATCCATTAAAAATATTGTTTTATTTCTATTTATTACATTTACATGTAGAGGGCTATCAAAATGATTGAAGGAATGAAGGGACTGGACTTTATGGAGTCCTGTAGCTCAGTGGTTAGAGTACTCGCTTTGCAAGAGAGAGACCTGAGTTCAATTCCAGGCAGAGGGCGAAACCTTGGGCAAGTTTCCTTACTCCACACGCCTAATAATAATCCCTCCAAAACCAAAAACAATAATAAATTGGTCATTTTCAATCTACGACTGTTTGTGGGACATTGCTGTGCGCAATTGGCTGCCGCGTTCGCCCACAAATATACAGTCAATTCACTTTACAGTGTGTTCTGTGAAGCGCTTTGGGACGTCCTCCCGACGTGAAAAGCGCTATATCAAATGCAAGGATTATTATTATTATTATGAGGAGCGACTGTTCATGATGGGTCTGTAAGCTCTACAATTAAATTAAAATAAATTTTCGATTGCCACATCTCCTCTGGTTTTAAAATCTTCCATTTCTTCCTCAAACCTCAGCATTAGCTCTTTGTTACTTACACTTCAAGAAAAGGAAAATGAAAAAAAAAGCAGCCAGTGGCGATATCTGATCATTAATGAAATATTTAAAGTACAATGGGCTTCAATGCAAATCGGGTGATATTAATAGCACTCAATAAAAATGCTTGTATTTTTAGACACTCTTGAAGTTCAAATCATTTGAGCTGATTTTGTGAACAAAATTCAGACTTTTAAACTGCTGCACCACACACACACCGAGCAATGCTGCCAAAAAGCTGGATCTGTTGCTGTTCTTTAGTAATCTGACACTTCAGAAGCTTTGGCCAGCAATGCTTTGCCTACCTGACTCTTTCCCGTCCCAGCATTTCCCACCACGAAGACTGAATGCCGAACAGCCAGCAACTCCTCCAGCTGGACCACCTGGATGAAGCACAGCATTGTTGTAAAGAAGTATTCATTGGTTTTTTTACACATCAAAATAAATGTTTTTTCAAAATATCCAGAGCAGCTTCACGGAGGACAGTCTTTCAATGTACAAAACTTAAAGAACAAAACAGTGTTTCTTTGAGCCTCTCTGGAACTCCATCGCAGAGTCCTTCCCTCCTCCCTTCATTCAGGGCACATCTCAAAATGTACCTCTTTGACCACACTTTCTTTCACCTCCCCACCCCCCTCAGCTCCCACTTTTAGCTTGGGTACCCATCCAGAATTGTTAAGTTCGTTGAGACGTCATCCTGTTGTGAAAGGCACTATATAAATGTAAAGTGTATTATAATGCATTCGGAGTCATTGAATTTTGATTTTCTCTTCCCAAACCAGAGCTGAGGCCATTCATTTCATGGCTGTTTGTTGGATATTGCGTTGTGCAAACTGGCTTCCACATTTACCTATAAAATACACACTCCATATTACGATAAAAATCCTTTGAAGCCTTTGAGACATCCTCCACCAATGAAAGGTGCTATACCAAATGTGAGGATTATTATTTTATTATATTAATTGTCGTGGCCCAAATGTCATCCCCTTACTTGGCAGAGATTGTGATCTCTCCGCACCTCCCTGGTCTTCATAGATCAGTGCTGCTTTGTATGTTTGCCCATTGAGCCATCAGAAATGCTAAATTAATATTATATGACTTGTCCACAACAAAGCAAAGAACCTAGACCAAAGTTGTATTGCATAGATGGAAAACATGCTTATTTTAAGGCAGTCGATTTCATACCTTAAGGATAAAGCTTTCTTCATGCTGTAAACTGAGCTCCAGGGTAGACTGTCTAACCAAATCTTCAAATTGCATGTCTCGTTTTCTGGGAACATCCAGGGCAGGAAACAAATCCCCAATAAGCCCCATAAAAATGGGGAAATCGTCTGTCACAATCTTGGGCAGGTTGAAGTCCCTTAAAGCTCGCATTAAGACCTTGGCAAAAAGTTTTTTTTAATTATCTTTTCTGTTTAAAAGGCAGTGTCTACAAGCACAATTTTCTTTGAGAATCTTAAATAAAAAGTCTTAAAAGATTTGAAATTTTTTTNGGAGGGAGGGGTTGGTCTGAAACATGCAGAAACCGAACACCATGCTTTAAGCGTTGCCAAACAGGACAGAGTTCCACACATGTATGCTACCTACACAGGAATGCAATGTGCACTCTCTCCCTGGAGGAATGCATCCTGTTCACTTAATTCTCGAGAGTATTAGGTACAGATTGGCAAGAGCCTAGGATTGGGCACCCCAGAATTATTAAAAACATGATGAGGGTTAAGAATATACTGTAACAATGAACAGTTCAGTTGGAATGGTACCTGATTCTCCGGCCTATTCTTGTCTCCTCTCTTAAGGGAGCCGGCAACAACTAAAACAGATTTCACTGCACGAAGGCCCCAGTCATAATGTTCCTTAACAAGAAATAAAGTGATTCTTATGAGCAACATGCAACAGTGTTAATACTGTTTTCTGGCTAACAAATGGGAATGGGATGATCAGGCCTTTCCTTTTATTTAAGAAGGAAACATTCAACACAACGATTTTTTAGCAATCATCGTAAAACAGATCCAAATGAGTAATAATAATAATAATAATCCTTGCATTTGATATAGCGCTTTTCACGTCGGGAGGACGTCCCAAAGCGCTTCACAGAACACACTGTAAAGTGAATTGACCGTATATTTGTGGGCGAACGCGGCAGCCAATTGCGCACAGCAATGTCCCACAAACAGTCGGGATTGAAGATGACCAATTTATTATTGTTTTTTGGTTTTGGAGGGATTATTATTAGCCGTGTGGAGTAAGAAAACTTGCCCAAGGTTTCGCCCTCTGCCTGGAATTGAACTCAAGCGAGTGCTCTAACCACTGAGCTACAGGACTCCACAAATATAGCCTTTCCTCTTATGGTGACAACAATTTGCACTTATTTTAGCGGCCTTCACCTAGGGAGCATATTTAATAATAATAATCCTTGCATTTGATATAGGGCCTCATCACATCTTCAAGGTATCTCAAAGCATTTCACTGAATATACTGTAAACTGAATTGACTGTATATTTTGTAGGTGGAAAATATACACTTCAAAGCACTTTAGAGACTGAGTGGGAACCTGAGCTGGGAGGTAGGTAGAAGGGATAGAGGCAGGTGGCTTAAGGCATAAAGAGATTGATCTTTAGAGGAGTTTGAAAGCAGAGAGGGAATGGGGTGAGATGGAGAGATTAGGGAAGAGAGTTGCAGAGGGCTCGAGCAAAGTGACTGAAAGCTCACCTGCCAACAGTGGGGCAAAAGTGGGTGGAGGACATGAAACAAGCTGGAGGTGGCAGAGTGGAGAGAGCTGAGGAGGGCAATGTTACAGAGATGGAGGAAAGCAGACTTGGTCATAGCCAGATGATAGGCTTAAAGGAGAGTTGAGGGTTAAACAAAACAACATGGCTTCACAGAGGTTCCTGAGTTGCAATGAGGAATTGAGGAGGTTCATATGGTTAGTGAGGTGAGGAGGGGCTGATGGGAGATAAGCAGAATAACCTCAGTTTTGTCAGTGTTGGGACGCAGAAAATTCATAATATCAATTTACACCATAGAATATCAAAACATGGAAGGGAATCTTAATATCAATAGTCTAAGTACAGTACGGTGCAATCCTTTCTTTGTTTGAATTCATGTCTTAAATAGGCTGACCTTTAATTATGTATAATTACTTCTAGGATGAATGGTAAGTAATATTAAACATGGGAATTTTAATCTTTATTTAACTCCCTGTTTAAAACACAGTGTTGTGGCTATTCATCAGCTTTAGTGATGTTCACTCACTACTTTTGATTTTTCTTGCCAATGTTTCAAAGGAAACATTTTTTGGACTATTTCAGATCAAGCAATAATTTGGACCTATCAAAATTAGATTGTGTCACTTGACCTTTAACTGATCTTGCTTCACTTCATATTACCTGGTAATGGGATATTTAGCCATCATCACATACAGGCTTAACCGTAGCAACCATAGTAAGGTAACACCCACAATTGAAGTGTCAGCCTGGCTCAATTGGTAGCAGTCTCGCCTTCAAGTCAAAAAGTTATGGGTTCAAGCCCCATGTCGGGATTTGGAATCACATAGTCTAAGCTGACACCCCCAATGCAATGCTGAGGCTGTGCTGCTTTGTTGAAGGTGCCATCGTTTGATGAGACATTAAACTGAGGCCTGTCTGGCTGTTCAGGCAGAAGATAAAGATCCCATGGCACAATTCGAAAAGAGAAGGGAGTTTCTCCTGGTGTCTTGGACAACAATCACGCAAATAAATTAGTCTTTCACTTTTTATGGCTGTTTGTGGGACATTGCTGGGTGCAAAATTGGCTGCTCTGTTCGCCAGGAAACACATAGACACTGCACTATAAGTACATCCTGTGAAGCGCTTTGAGACGTCCTCCTGACGTGAAAGGTGGTACATCAAAGGTAAGGATTATTATTATTATTTATTTCAGAGGTTTCTGTGAAACAATAAACATCAATCTTGAAAGCAGTACATCAACAAAATAAGTGGATTAAGAAGATACCTGTTTTGAAAGCAGTTCTTTGCAAAGAGTGTACAGTGTAATGAATTTCTGGCCAGCAGCTTGGCATCTAAGAACCCTTCAGCAACCAGCATAATCTCACAGATCAGCTCGATGTCAGGGACAACCATTGCACAAGGCCTAATAAAGCAAGCAAGATATGGTTGACAATCGCATTGTAAATTAGGATCCTGAAATTAGATAAATTAATTTTAAGGTTAAGAAAAGTGATATCGATGAACACATATTGCACAAGCTCTCAGTACAGGAGTCGGTGAACTTGTGCAGACAACGTTTCTTTTCTGACATTAAAATTGGCCACTGACGCAGTCCCCCTTCAGCCAGTAAAAACAATGAGAAAGACTTTTTTTGTTGCCTCCAGAGGAACACAGAAGTGCATCTCATGGTGTCTTATAACCCTTGCACTTGTATTCACATGTCTTTATATATAATATATGTATGTGTGTGTGTGTTTCCATATATCCAGAAGTTGCTTAAAATCCCATAGCACAACTCAAAATGAGAAGGAGTTTCTTCCAATGTTCTAGACAACAATTCCCCAACTGAAATTGATCATTCATTTCATGACTGTTTGTAGGACATTGCTGTGAGCAAACTGGTTCCTTCTAAGACATCTCTTGTGACATCTTCCTGACGAGAAAGGCACTATGTCAAATGCAATCATTTTTATTTTATATGGAATGAGGGGCAAATGTATGGATTTTGTATTCTGCTTATATTACAGTGTACATTGCATATCTTTGTGAGATGCGCAAAACCCTTCCACAAAGTATACAGTCGATTCACTTTACAGTATATCCTGTGAAGCACTTTGAGATGTCTAGAAGACGTGATAAAGCGCCATATCAAATGCAAGGATTATTATTATTAACATGTTAGGTGTACTGTTGCAAACAAGGTTTCTTTTTCTCCTCGCCAATTTACAGAGAGTCAGATGGGCTAGTCTGGCTGTCACTGATGATCAAGGGAGAAATCACCCACTGGAACACTACAATCAGTCACAGTGCTGGTATAGAAATAACCCATTCCACTTACCTGAAAAGAGCCTTAAGATTTTCTGGCAGCTCTGTTCGACCAGCATATCCCGGGTTCATGGTTATAAATATTCCAACAGCAGGTTTGAGAGAAATCTGTTCTCCAAGAAACAGAAATCTGGACACAAAAGTAAAACACATTGAAATTTCTGAATGGGTAACTATTTGTAAATCACAATGTTCACCATCGGCAGTTAGGTTTTCAGCCTCTCTGCCCCACACTTTGGAACTCCATCCCACAGTCCCTTCACCTCACCCCATTCCTTGCCTCTTTCAAGGCACGTCTCAAGACCCTCCTCTTCGTCCACGCCTTTGGCCACCCTTCTATCCCTACCCTCCTGATCCCTATCCCCTGCTTGAGTCCAAATCCCTGACTACCAGTGCCTTGGGACATCTCCCGACATAGTGGAGTCCTGTAGCTCAGTGGTTAGAGCACTCGCTTTGCACGTGAGAGACCTGAGTTCAATTCCAGGCAGAGGGTGAAACCTTGGGCAAGTTTCCTTACTCCACACAGAGCCTAATAATAATCCCTCCAAAAAACAAAACAATAATAAATTGGTCATTTTCAATCTACGACTGTTTGTGGGACACTGCTGTGCGCAATTGGCTGCCGCGTTCGCCCACAAATATACAGTCAATTCACTTTACAGTGTGTTCTGTGAAGCGCTTTGGGACGTCCTCCCGAAGTGAAAAGCGCTATATCAAATGCAAGGATTATTATTATTATTATGACAGGCGCTTCACAAAAGTAAATTGTTGTTGTTCTTATGCGCTCACCTCTTTTTCTTATTTTTAATGGCGTCCTGTATGGTTTTGACCTGTACTGCTACAACAGACAGAACTTCCACAGAAATCCGATTGAACTCATCAAAGCAGCCCCAAGCTCCAGTCTGTGCCAGGCCTTTGTAGATGTTTCCTATTGACTGTACAGCACATAAATTTAATTCACAATCTATTTTTCCTGTGAAGCAGAAGTACTGCAATACTGGCTGGCAAACCTACCTTGTAATCCATTTGTTCAGAACAGTTGAAGACGTAGACCATCACACCAAGAGCACGGCCAAGATCCTTGGTGGTCTCTGTTTTGCCTGTGCCAGCGGGCCCCGCAGGAGCTCCACTCATTGTCAAGTGAAGAGACTGTGTGAGGGTGATGTAGCATCTACAAACAACAAGCAATCAGGAATGCTCAATCAAACAATTATTTTCTACAAGTATAGTCCTGGAGTTCTGTAGCATAGTAGTTAGTCCCATGACACTTGCCTTACAAGCGAGAGGAACTGGGTTCAATTCCTGGGCAGGACAAACTTTAGGCAAGTTTCCTTCTGTTTACCGAGCATTAAGTAGGAACCTGGTTGTTAATCGATTGGCGGATCGCTTTTCTGGGGGGAATAATCCTTTACATTTTTTTTAAAAAAACAGTAATTTAGTCATGTTTGTGGGACACTGCTGTGTGGAAATTAGCTGTTTTGTTCGCCTACAAATACAATGTTACTGTACTTTATAGTAAACTTATGTCAGCTTGGCTCAATGGTAGCATTCTCGCCTCTGAGTCAGAAGGTTGTGGGTTCAAACCTCACGTCAGGACTTCGAATCACAAAGTTGAAACAGACACTCCAATGCAGTGCTGGGGGTGTGTTGCATTACCGGAGGTGAGATTTCTTCAGATGAGATGTTAAACCAAAGTCCCGTCTGCCCATTCAGGTGGACGTTAAAGATCCCATGGCACTATTCAAAAAGAGACAGGGGCTTCTCCCAGCAGTGTCCTGGCCAACAATCCCCCAAATAAAATCGGTCATTCTCTTCACAACTGCTTGTGGGACACTGATGTGTGCAAAATTGGATGCCATGTTTCGCCCCCACAAAATACAGTCAATCCACTTTACAATATCTCCTGTGGAGCGCTTTGAGACATCTCAATCACATGATAAGGCAATACATCAAATGCAAGGATTATTATTAAACTTTGTGAAGCACTCTGACATGTTTCAACAGGATATCCAATGCAAGAATCGTAACTTATTATAATATTATAATACATATATGTTTATTGTATATGTTGATTATGAATCCCTCAGACATGTTATATATTTGTTTTAAAAACAAATTATATTACAGGGCTCCTGCAGGGAGCAGATTCATTCATCAAACATGTATTTCATAACAATCTCCAATACTCCTGTGAGTGTGTCCATTGCCTCTCACTAAATACATGCTGCTTTCGGACTTGTTGTGAGCCATGGGCTTCGATCCCCAGCCTCCCCAAAGCAGTCTTGCTACTAGTGATTACTTTCAAGGTGAGTTATTACTAAAGAAACTATCAAGGCATTTCTCAAGGTAGTTACATACCATTCAAACCACTACCCTATGAGTCCCTGTTTATTTGAATAAGGTAAGATACAAACTTTAGTCATTGTAAACTTCAGAAAAACAGTTGTGAAGGTGGGAAAGGATACCTCAGCTTTGGATATACAATACGCAATATAATACAAATTTACACTATTTTAGTGCCTTTCACATCAGGAGTACCCAGTCAATACTTGCTATAGTAAACTTTGTGAAGCACTCTAAGATGTTTTGACATGAAAACAGCATCAACAAAATTACATTTGTGGAGTGGCTTTCACGCCTGGAGGACTGAACAGTCAGGGATCAGGATCTGAGCGTGAGGGGCAGGGTTGGGATAAGCGAGGGCAGAGAGGTTGGAGGGCAGTTGAAAATGCTATATCTATATTCTATATGGATTTAGCAAATATAGCCAATGCAAGTTCAGAACACTGTTCAAATTGTTTCAAGAGGTATGAAATGGGGCTGGTTGAACCCCACACACTGCCATCTAGTGTTACTGCTATACGGAATAAGCAATCAAATTAGAGATCTTCTGCACTAGAAATTCTCAATAAGTGAAGAAGAAATTTCAATTTTTTAACACTGCCCTCAATATTTGTTCTGCTCATGGATCTAATATAGGTGGGCAGGGGGCTCAAGAGAGTGAGATTTGGCCTCAGTTCCCCTGGGTAAAGGCAAACCTTCAGCCAGGGTTCCCTTTCTGGTTCACTATCTGTACGTGATACTGTAACTTCTACTCGAAAATATATGTGTGTGGACATCAGCCGGCTGAAATTCCAGGCACCCTTGCTTTTTTTAGTCAGCCAGGGTTTGTCACATGCAAAATCCCAACATCATGCTTAAGAGGCAGACAGAACTGTGCGGACAGAAATTTCCCTGTATCTGGAAAAATGTACTCTCTCCCTGGAGGGATGCACCATGCTTACCTAATTCCAGAAAGTATTAGGTGGAGGTTGGCGAGAGCCAAGTCTTGGGGATCCCAGTGTCCATTGTGATACTGCTGGAGTCTAACCAGCTAAAACTGCATAAGTTGCCATTGAGAATACTGTCATCAAGCAAGCTTCCTGCTGCTTGTCCAGCTAGTTATTTGTAGCAATATTGATAGAGTGATTACACTGGAAAGTCGCATTTATTCCTATAGGTAACATAACACAATTGACTATCCAACGTGAAAGGTGCTATATAAATGCAATTTGTTGTTGTTACCTATTGTATGATGAACTGGAGCTGCACAAGCTAGGAACATGTGCCACAAGCTGATATGTGAATTGGTAACCAGACCAGAATGTGAATTTCCAAATACCAATTTCTAGATTTCTTCTTGCAGCTTTAACCTATTTCCTGGTGTGAGGGGAAATCACATAATGGCAGCTCTTCATCAAGGGCAAAATGAAAAGTTTAAATATATAAATATATAGATGACCTTTCAGTCATTTTGTTTCATATCCATATACTACAATACTTAGGAGTTTGTAACCTGTGGGGAGGAAGGCCCATCATTTTTAATTCAATTAATGCAATTTTTAATTGCATTTATATGATGCCTTCGTGTGGGATAGTGTCTCAAAGCACTGATATACATAAACATAAGGGGGAATACTTACTTGTGCGCTTCTTTAATTCTCCATGTACAACAACCAGAAACATATACACTTACTCAGCAGTTTTCATGTAGGTTGAATAGCATGACATGCTTTACAGATATAATGGAGAACAGCGAGCAGAGTAAGGGGAGATAGAAAGAGGCTGCCCAAAACAAACTGAATAAAATATGTCAGTCTCGAGTCTTCTTGATATTAAGGAAGTTTGCAAAAGTTTTCATCTCTACAAAGGTGTGGTAGACTTTCCCAGGCATCTGCAATAATCAATCATGATGAATAAACTATTGCACAAAATGTGAAGGAAAGCTGTTCTAGGGCTGCGTACCTGTCAGTCAGTGGAGTGATCACCAGTCGAGCAGTGTTTCCCAGGTATTCGTAAGAATACTGGAACTGAGCATCACAGATGTTGGCAAAGCAATGATTCTGGGCATTGTCCCAGCGATGCCGCAACTGGGAAAGCCAGGCAAAGGCTTGGGAGTTTGTAACCTGTGAGGAGGAAGGCCCATCATTTTTAATTCACACCTTAGTAAAAAGACAAACAAAAATAAGTACAAAAAAAGATTAGAGAAGCCAGTGCTATCAATGGCCTGCTTATGCGGTTTTAGTTGGTTAGAGTCCAGTAGTACCTTAACAAACACTCTGAGGTCCCCAAGCCTTAGCTCTTGCCAACCTGCTCCCAATACTCGCCAGAATTAGGGAAGCAGGGTGTGTCGCTTCAGGGAGAGAGTATATTCCATTCCACACACATAAATTTCCATATGTAGGTGGCATATCTTTATGGAACTCTCGTCTGGTTACGATACTCATGGCGATGGGTTTTTGCATGTGTCAGACATCCGGCTGACCCAAAAAGGGAAGCGATTTACACAACTCAAACCAAAAAGGGAACAAATAATTCACTCTCTACATGCCTTCTGAGCAATGAGCTTTGTAACAACATCTCGTGCATGGACATCTATAGTACACACAGTCATAATCTTCTGCCGATCTCCTGGTCTCAGCTCTCCCAGCAGCATGTTGATAAAAGCATTCAGCTGGGCAATCTAGATACAATCATTTAAAAAGTTAGCAATTTTTGGTTGGAGGATTGAAGTACATGTGAAAAACTACAAACACACACAGCCAGACAAACATACACACATACAGAACCCCACACAGCCAGACAAACATACACAGACATACGCGCGCACACACACACAGTTTACAACCTTAGTGGCTGAGGCAAACAGTCTCTAACAACAATCAAGTGAAAAAAAATACTTTTAACTTTTTTGCTTAACATTGCTTTCTGTTTCTAGTGTATTATGGTGAAGAATTGAAAGAAGGCAGGCTAATGCTTCCATAGAGCTCATTTGTAGGATCTACCTGGAGTCCAGCGCATAAGTCATTGTGTTGGATTCAATGAGAATATCAGTAAAAAGTCATTTGATCGCCAAAGGCAACGTACAAACAATTTCAGTCTCGGATAAAAGCATTGGGGATTTGAATAACCTTCACTCAATGAATATGACAGACTCCACTCCCTCTTATCTCTTTCAACATCGCTGCACACTTACTGTCACTTTTTCCTCTCTAAACCTTTCAGCAAATTCCCATTCATTCTATACCTGACAGTCTCAATCTGCATTGTTAGTTTCTATCTATTGCCATCTTTGAGCACAGACTCTGAACAGTGCAGATTCAATTCATTATCATGTCACAATATACAGATGCTCGTTGACATAGCTCCATCTATCTACATGGTCTAGGTAACTTTTTGCCCACAAACTGAAAGCATTCACTAAAAAAGCAACTTTTTTTAAAAAAAAGCAATTTTGTTCTAAATGCTATCTCGAAACTTAAATCATCATCTCTATCCAGAGCAGAAAGATTCCATTGAAATGAAATCTGACTGCTGACAATTTGAGTGTTAACACGCGATGCTAGTGTTCGGTGATTACAGTGTGATTTCCCACTAAAAGATGATAACACCAGGTTTGCTTGCATTAGCAAACGTGCATTATTTACCCTATCACCACAATTTTCAGCTTAAAATGATAGTATGAGAAGCAAACAATTCAAACCTGCCTCCAAGTTGTTCATTAAATCTATCCCTAAATCGTCCAGTAGAATTACAACACAATAAGACAAAAATTACCGTAGAACATTATAGTATGGAAACAGGCCATTCAGCCCAATTAGTCTGTGTCATTGTTTTTACTCCACATGAGGCTCACCTCCTCCCCCATAACCCAGTATTGCCTTCTCCCTTATTTATATATTATTTTTCCACTTAAATTCATTGATGCTTTCTGATTCAACCACAGCTTCTGCCAGTGAGTTCCACATTCTCACCACCCTCTGTGTAAAGAAGTTAATCCTAAACTCTATTTTAGATAATAATCCTTGCATTTGATATAGCGCCTTATCACGTCTTCGAGATGTCTCAAAGCTCTGCACAGAATATACTGTAAAGTGAATTGACTGTATATTTTGTAGGCGATATGATGCAATATCTCTTATATTTATAGCTTTGTTTTGGACTCACCAGGAAGTGGAGTATCATTCAGAAGCAGATGAAATAATTTTTTTATATACATCTCCCGGCCTCGCCTTTTTTTTCCCCTTTCCCTCAGCTTCTCCACTGATTTTTTCCTCTTCTCTCACTTTATTTGTTCTTTGAAAACACTGGATTTTTTTTAATTACCTGATATTCTACATAAAACTGAATGATTACACTTGTAAAGAAAACCCAACTGTATTTTCCAATGCCTCCACACACAGAATAAAATACATGGCACTAACCACCTGATATTAAAACATGCTTCCCAGCAATCTATATTGTGACTTATTTTTGGTTCAAATTGAAAAGAGCACAACTGGCAACATTGGAAACATTTTCTGTGACAGAGTGGCAGCCTGGCTCAGCTGGTAACTCTCTCACTTCAGAGTCCGAAGTTTGTGGGTTCAAGCCCCACTTTGGGACTTTGAGCTCCACAGTCTGGGCTGAGACTCCATTGCAGTGCTGGAGAAGTGTTGCATTGTCAAAGCTGTTGGCCTTTGGATGAGATGTTAACTAAGATCCTGTCTGCCTGTTTAGCTGGACATTAATGATCTCATGGTACTATTTGAAAAGAGAAGGAAGTTTCTCCCAGTGCTCTGGCCAACAATACCCCAGAGAAAATTGTTCACCAACTTTTTGGGCTTTTCGTGGGGCAATGCCTCATTTGCTAAAAATGCACAGTCACTACACTTCACAATAATATCCTGTGAGTGCTTTGAGACAAACTCATGATGTGATAATGCACTCTATCGAACGCAAGGTTCATTATTTATTTCAATGTTGCACAACACTGCTCGAAGTAAATACAATATCCGACCCATAGTAAAAATGCACTGAATGACCAGATGTAAAAAACAAATTTAAACCAGAATCCTTCAAAGCATTCTCACTTTAGCTTACGCTCAATTGGTCATTCATCTTATCACTGTCTGTTATTCGTTAAACTCAATCTAGAATTCTCAGTCCTTTTTTAAGAAGGTCTGAATCGCTCAGTATGTGGCAATTTTGCCTCAGGGTCACATGATTGTGGAAACAAGCCCCACATCATGGCTTGAGCTCCATAGCCTAGGATAGCAATACAGTATAATATTGGATGAGCGCTGTATTGACTTTCAGAGAAGACATTAACCATTAGGATCCATATGCCTATCCTGGCAGATTTGAAAGATCCCTGTACTATTTGCAAAGACAGAGGAGTGTTTCCCAGTGCCTAACTACTTTCAACTATATTCAAAAGTCACCATATTTGAAGGTAGTTACTGTGAACAGCTTCTCAACATGATAAAATGCTGTTATAAAGCAAGTCTTCTTTTTAAGTATGGTTGATATGTTAAAATAAAGAAATACTTCAAAATTTAAACAAAATGTGAAACTCGTATTCAGCAGCTGAGAGTTAATATCACAAAATACTGCTAGTTTGCCATTTGGTTGCTTGCTCCACCATGAAAAAATGAACTCTGAACTTTGGCCAAAATCATCAGGAGGAATAATTTATAAAGTAATAAAAATAATAACTCTTTATTTGATGTAGCACTTTTCACTACAGGAGGATATCTCAAAGCATTTCACAGAATTTATTGCAATGCACAGTAATTGTATTTCGTAGGCGAACACAGCAGACAATTTGCACGTAGCAATGTCTTGCAAACAGCCATGAAGTCAATTTACCTCTTATGGAGATTTATGAAGTGAATGCTTAGTAAGTGGAAATCTGAGTAGGTCAAAAACAGACAAAATTGCTGTGCTAAGAATGAACTAAATGAGCATGGGTGTATGCCAAGATCAGGATTAATTCCAAACCAGTTTAGATCACCTCAAGCAATCAGTACTGCTGGCTTGTGGTAGCACTTCTGTGGCAGTTTTACTGCAAGTAAGTTAAATTTGCTCCGCCTTTCACTTCAGGCAAACTATATCAGAACCACCATTAAGCTGTTCCACAATTAAATCCGCAAAAAGCCAGAGGTGTGGTTAGTCTGCAGCTTATGTAGCTGGGGAGTTTGGAGAGTAGGGCATTGGCATAGTCAAGATCATTGCCTCAAGCAATCCAGACTGCAGGATTCATTATTCACAAATCTATCTGCAAACCTTACACAGAAACATAGAAACAGGAGTAGGCTATTCAGCCCCTAGAATCTGTTCCGTCATTTTTTAAACATCTTGGCTGATCTGTACCTAAAGTCGAGTTACCTGCCCTTGCCCCATATCCCTTAATACTCTGACCTAACAAATATCTATCTACCTCTGTCTTGAAAATGTGAATGGATCCTGCAAATCAGTATCCGTATCAATGGTTTCTCTGTATTTCATTCGAAAGGAGGAGAAATTGTGTGTCTTCCCAGTTTGTGGCTGAGAGAATAATACTGATTTAAGGTTAATACCTGTGATAGATTTTTTTCTCTCCACTCCAATTTGTTTGCCTTGATCTCTAGTTCTCGAGTGTTTCTCCTTGTTGATCTTTGATTGTTTTCAGACTTGTGCTGTGACCATAGACACCCCTCATTTCTCTTTTCTGTGCCCACATCCGTGCCATGACCCGCTCTGCCTTTCCCCACCTCCGCAACATCGCCTAGCTCCGCCACTGTCTCTCAACGCAGGCCGCCGAAACACGCATTCATAATATCCAGGCTCGACTATGCAAACTCCCTGCTTGTCGGCCTCCCCAGCTCCTCCCTCCATAGGCTGCAGATCATCCAGAACTCTGCAGCCTGGGTCCTCTCCTGCACCAGGTTCCGCGACCTGATCACCCCTAACCTTGCCCGACTCCACTGGCTTCCCATCACACAGAGGATACAGTTCAAGATCCTGGTCCTCAGCTTCAAAGCCCTCCAGGGCCTTGGTCCCCACTACCTCTGCGACCTCCTAAACCTCTACCAGCCTACCCTCTGGAACTCCATCCTGCAGTCCCTCCACCTCGCCCCCTCCCTTGCCTCCTTCAAGACCCATCTTAAGACCCATCTCAAGACCCTCCCCTTTAACCATCTTTTCAATCACTGTTCTTCACCCCCCCGCCCTCCACCCTCTCCGACCCCCAGCTCGGGTCCGAAACACTGACCTGAAAGGCGCTATACAAATGTAATTTTGTGGTGGTTGTTTTCCTCCCCATTCATTCTTTCCCATTTCATTATGGTTAAAAAAGCAGTCATCATCGACACAATGATGTCTGTGCTGTAGATTTCTATGGGAAAATGGCTGAGTAAATGGAGTCCTGATGCTGGAAAAAATCATCAGATGTAAATTGTGCTTCTTTCAAGAAACCCTAACTAAGTATGTCATGCCATCCATGAGAACTTAGCTGTGAAATGATCTTGAGTCAGACCCGAGGTCTTGCAAGTCAGCACTGTGTACATAGGTTTGCCTAAAGGAGACGTATTTTACATCTTAGACATTTGTTACGGGATTGAGCTGCCATGTATATTGCCATTTCCCCCGACAACCGCTTTTTCTGAACACCTCTGTTGTGGCGCACTATTTGTGCCATTACTCAAACTGAACACCTCTGGTTTATATTTGGCTCGATGATCACAGGTAAGTGTAGCCCCAAAGAAATCTCTGCTTATATGCACAATTCACAGTGTGCTATGCAGACCCCATGTTTTGGCACCCTTTATAAGCAGGTGGGCTGGTTTTTAAATCCCATGAAAACACTCTTACCCAAAACAAATGAGGACTGTATTGATGTTGACACTGTACACACACTGAGGACATTTCTTTAGATTTAATAGAGGTATTCAAAATTATGAGGGATATTGATAGAGTAAATAGGGAGAAACTGTTTTCATTGGCAGGTGGGTCGGTAACCAGAAGACACAGAATTAAGATAATTGGCAAAAGAACCAGAGGGGGACTAGGAGAATTATTTTACTCAGAGTTGTTATGATCTGGAATGCACTACCTGAAAGGGTGGTGGAAGCAGATTTGATAGTAGCTTTCAAAAAGGGAATTGGATAAGTATCTAACAATTAAAAAATTGCAAAGCTATGGGATAAGAAGAGGAGAATGGACTTGTTAGATAGCTCTTTTAAATAGCCGGCACAGGCAAATGGCCTTCTTCTGTGCTGTAAGATTCTATGATTCCTTCTTTTTTCGACTTCCCAAAGAAGAAAAGTAGCACCTATTTGGATAATTGGCCTATAAATACACTTCATTCTCATTAGACTTCACAGCAAAAGTCCTGTGAAGCATTTTTGAGACATTACGACGATGTGATCAGGTGCTATATCAAATTCAAGAGTTATTATTATTACTGTTGAAGAGTGGAATTCTGCAGCTCTGCTCCAGAGGGACCCATTGTACTGTACAAACAGGTTACACCTTTCAAAAGGCCCATCTAAATGCAATGCAATCATTTGCAACTTAGCAGTTGCTTTACTCTACACAGAGTAAAGAGCTTTAGGGACCACAAATCCTTGAACTGGGTGTAATATTAATCAACCAACCATTGATAGCACAATTCAAAGCTTTACACTCAACAACTCTGGGACAATGACAGGAGTATTAATCATCTGATTAAAAGGCCATGACAATGTATGCGGCAATTTGCTAAGGATATTTTGGTACCATGCCAAGGCACCCACCTGCTGCTAAAATACTGTAAAGCTGGACATTTTATTAGTCTTGATACTTTGACATGTACATTTAACTGCAAGGGAGGGAACATCCGTAAAACTTATGTAGGTAAATTCAGTAGTTATAAACGGCAACTGATATATCTAAACTTTAATATGGTCCTTAAAATGGCAAAAAAATGTGCAAAACAACGACTTGAGAGCATTTCACACGTATGGGGAGGTTTGCGAAAGAAGTGAAATTGATGGATTGGTGCAATGTCAGACACTGATAGATTGCTGAAGTAAACACATGGATCAGGACGTCAGAACTCAACAACAACTAATTTCCTCCCACTTGTTACGGGAGGTGGGGGAGAATCTTAGACTCTTTTTGTCAATGTGTTCACATAATAAAGTTGCTCAGAAAGATGAAACCATTAAAAGTGTGTCAGGATTAGTTCACTCTCTGTTTGTGAAATATTATTATTAATTCTTTTGGAGATAATGGTATATTTTGCAAAGATTTAAACAAACAGATGGAGTTGAAACATGAAGGTCCGATAACGACAATTCCTTGTGTCAGAAACCTGCTATACTTCAATGTGTTGAATACAGTCAGACCCACATTATAACAAAATGGTTGGGGTTCATATCCCACGTTACAACTCATTAAGGCCGCTAGTCAGCATTGCCTGGTCGGCAGGTCACTCCTGATATCATCAAACTGCACTGCTCGCTGGTAGTAGACAACCACTCTCAAGAGTTTCCAGCAGCTGCTGGGACGTTGAAGGCATCCAAGGCCTGCACACTATGTACTGGAGTGTGCCCTACTTTTATACCACATTCCTGTGATGCAACTGTATTATGAATGGATGGACCCACTGTATACCAAAGTCCAGCATAATGGATTCCACTATTTCCACCATTTTCAGGCAATTCACAACAGGATTTGCATTAATATCGCACCCTTCACATGGGGCAGCGACCGAAGCGCTGTACAATGACATAGTTTGACACCAGACCATGGAGAAAGAGATCACCATAAGCACAGCCAAAGAGTAAAATCTTCAGGAGTGATCTGAAGTCAGGGAAGAGGAGGCAAGGCAGAGGGATTGAATAATAATAATAATCCTTGCATTTGATATACTGCTTTTCACATCTTCCAGACGTCTCAAAGCGCTTCACAGAATAGACTGTAAAGTGAACTGCCTGTATATTTGTGGGCGAAATGCGGCAGCCAATTGCGCACAGCAGTGTCCCACAAACAGTCGTGGATTGAAATGAATAATTTATTGTTGTTTTTTTTTCTTGAGGGATTATTATCAGGCATGTGGAGTAAGGAAACTTGCCCAAGGTTTCACCCTGCCGGGAATCGAACCCAGGTCTCTCGCTTGCAAAGTGAGTGCTCAAACCACCGATCTACAGGACTCCCTGAAGCAGGGAGTTAGGGTCGTAGCGCTCCTGCCTCTGAGTCAGAAAGTTGTGGATTCAAGCCCCATGTTGGGACTTTGATTTCATATTGTCTAGTGTGACACTCTATACAATTCTGGGGTGGGGGAGGGGGTTGTTGTGTGTCGGAGGTGCTGCCCTTCATATGAGTCATTAAACTGTTTTGTCTAGTGTCCTGACCAACAATTCCCCGCCAAAAAAATTAGCTATGCACATCGTGGTTCTTTGTGGGTCATTGTTGCCACATTTGTCTACAAAATACAGTCACTGTACTTTACAGTATTTACTGTGAAGTGATTTGAGGCGCCCTCCTGACTTGAAAGGTGCTATATCAAATACAAGGTTCATTTTTTTTAAAATTAAGAACCAACAGGGCCAGCTGATAGCACATGCAGATGAATATCAAATCTCAACACTGGTAATGACGTAACCAATGTCACCGAAAACATTTGAAACCTGAGAAATGTTCTCCACATCAGCCCCAGAGCGAATTCTCAGTCCCAGGCTGGAAACTGACAATCCAGTGCAGATGGTCCTCAAGCAGGGACTGTGTACTAAAACTGAGACCAAGCAACGGCACTTCATAAACCACTATCCACATGATGATTTTTTCCTTTTCACATGGATGTAACAGAACGTGTCAGCAGATAAGTTCTAATAAGCCTTTTCTTTTCACAACTGAAACAGTGCAGGCTAAATTATAAAATGGTAATAAATGTGCTGCGTAGTCTTTTATTTTTGTGACATTTTCCGATGACCAACTTTGCAGACTGTATTGTTTGTGGAACTGCTGGTCTTCAGTTGACTACATTTGTACTGTTACAATACCTTAATATTCCAAGTTTATGTATTTATCTTAGGACTGTTATATATACTCTCTTGTTAATTGGTTGTTTTCTCCCTACAAAAAAGTCATTATATTTCACAGTAATTACTGTGAGACATTTCAATGTTAAAACTGCAATAAGAATCCCAACACTTTCTTTCTTCAATCTGCAGGCATAAGATAGAAATTCCAAGTGTAGCACACTGTATTATTACCCTGTCCATTCACCTCTAATGTGTCACAGGGAAGTGGGGGAAAAAGGAGGCCTCAATGTTAAGTAATGAGAGACAGAAGACTCACAGACATTCCACTTCAACTACTAGTCTATAGTCTAGTCATTCAAGTCGGTATAATAATAAAATAATCTTTGCACTTGATATAGTACTTTTCACGTCTTCTAGATGTCTCAAAGCGCTCAACACAATATACTGTAAAGTGTAATAATACTGTAAAGTGAATTGACTGTATATTTGTTGGCGAAACACAGCAGCCAATTGCGCAGAGCAGTGTCCCACAAACAGTCGTGGATTGAAGTGACCAATTTTTTATTATTGTGTTTTTTTTTCCTTGAGGTATTATTGTCAGGCGTCATTAGGACAGTGGATGATGATGTCAGGCGTCACTAGGACAGCGGTTGAGCGGGCGGGGGGGGCACAGTAGGATCAGTTTTCTGGAGGGATGAGATCAGGTGGGCTGAAGGAACCTTCTTATTCCAGCCTAATCTTGTGACTTTGTAATATTCTCCAGAATTAGGTAAGCAGGATGCATCCCTCAAGGAAGAGAGTGCATATTCCATTTCAGACATAGGGACATTTCAATGTGTAGGTGGCACACATATGTGGAACTTTGTCTGGTTTGGATACTCTTAAGTATGGTAATGGACTTCTGCATGTGTCAAATACCCAGTTGGTCAAAAATGATGTTGTAGTATATAAGGTCCTCAAAATCTTTCTGCAGCATTGCATCCCTTTAACATAGTGGGTTGCTGTTGTACATATAGTAATAATAATAATCCTTGCATTTGATATAGCGCTTTTCACGTCGGGAGGATGTCCCAAAGCGCTTCACAGAATACACTGTAAAGTGAATTGACTGTATATTTGTGGGCGAACGCGGCAGCCAATTGCGCACAGCAATGTCCCACACAAACCGTCGTAGATTGAAAATGACCAATTTATTATTGTTTTTGGTTTTGGAGGGATTATCATTAGTATTAACAGATTCACACACCACCCCTGTTTACATACCTGTTTTTTGTTGTAATCTTTCAAGGCTGTTTCATAGCCTTCCTCGAGCCTCTCAAATGCAATTCCCACATCTGTCGTCCAATATATCTGGGAGCTGGTAAGTGCCACCTGAGCCGGATAGTCAAAAATCCACTGATCTCTTGGTTTTTCCTCATAAGCTGCTACAGCCTCTGTAATCTGGTGACGAACCGTTCCACGCATGGTCTCCTCAATTCGATTTAACCATGCTTCCACCTACATAGGACAGAGCAAGACAAGTTATATATCACCCGTAAGTTTTAGGCTGTACAGCCTGAAAACCATTACACTGGTCTACAAGTCACACCCCCAGTTCACAAGACAGGAAAAACAGAATCTCACATTTTATAGACAGTAGAAATAATTTTGATAAAAAAAATTTTTTCAATCTTCCTTTGCTAAATATAAAACACCCAATGATTGAGGTTTGCCCAGTAGGTAAGTCACTAGAGAGGCTCAGATCAAGAAGGCCCTTTGGCCCATTTGATCAACCTGTTTCCTATATAATTTTAGAGTCCTGATTTTTACTCTCCAAGTAATGCATTTCAGCGCTTTGCGACATCCTCCCGCCGTGAAAGGCCCTCTACAAATTTAATTTTGTTGTTGTTGTTCAAGCTGATATTATACAAGGCAATGTCCCACAAACAGCCATGAAGTGAATGACCAGTTTCATTTGGGGAATTATTGGCCAGGAAGCCATGAGAAACCCCCTTCACTAAACACGGACTTAGCCTGGGAGGAATTAACTCAAGATTGTTGAGTGTCAACAACACTGAAGTTCCACAGTTGGGGAGGTCAACAACTGAGTAGAGGATGAAAAAAAATACCTTCCTGTGAAACATAATTGCTGTGAGTGTTTATATAAAGAACATATAATGGGAAGCATGGAATTTAACCTGCTGGCCTGAAAATAACCTTTCCTTTTCAGTGTGATACAGCTTACATGAGATGTACCTGTCCAATGCATTTGCACTTTCTGTGGAATGGGACAAATTCTCTCTCTTTACTGAACATCCCTATGGCAGCCTTATTTATTTGCTTCTCAACACCTTCTTCAAACTTTAAATCGGCCATGTTGTCAAAGAGCTTGGCAAGATGATGAGTCACCTGAAACACAACATTTCCACATGGTTTTCATCAAGAAGTAAAAGGACAATCGTAATGCATTTCACTGTGTCAACATGGTTAGGGAGAAGTCCTGAAAGGAGCAAATGCTATCAAGCTGTAATTTGTTCCTAATTGACTCAGAAATAGTACAGACTTAATGCAAATATAGCAAATTGTATTAATAAGTGTTTTATTCACCCTAACCTACTGCATGAATAGCCTCATAGTAAAACTGCTATAAAGAAAACTCAGCTTGATCAACCTAACAAACAAAAGCAACAACGAAGTTAACATTTTAAAAAGCAGTTAACTTTTGAAATAAAGACTTAAAACAGCAAGAAATCCACTTTCACATATTCCTGCAGTTTTATATCCAGAGTGAATGTTTTTTTGCTGAAAAAGGAACCTGGCTATGTTAAATCTATCCAGTTACTAACAGAACATTACAATGTATGAAATCAGTGGTTGAATTCTATGATTAGCGTGGCAGTTAGCTCCTGAGACGAATGGCCAAAAGGGATAATAACACCTTCCGAGAATCTCTCATCACCACCAGGTTTGATGTAATTTAATCTAATCCAGAAAAAAATTAACTAGCACTTTAATAACGTCAATATTCTTGGATAACACCTTCAACAATAGTTTACTGGCAGCAATCCTGATCCTACGCAATGAGCCCTCACTTTAACAGTAATTGTATGATTTACTTCAACCTTTTTTGTGTGTGTGTGTGTGTGTGTGTGTGATAGGGGGGGGAGGAAGGAAGTGAAGTGCCAAGGTTTTGTCTATGAAGAAGTTATATGCTAAACTCTACTTAAGCTCCAATTTTAGGTTTTTGTTAACATTCAATAATTAACATTTCACCGTTCTTAAGCCCTGACCTGTTCAGGCTGTGTTCCTTTGGAAAGAATATCCAATAGATCTGCAGAAGACACAAAATAAAACCTTGGGAAGGCTAAACGCTTTGTTTCCAGATATTCAGCCAAAGCTTTTTCGCATAGAGCCAGCCTACAACAAGAGGATACGTAAATTCTTAAAATGAACATCCAACATCAAATATTTGCTGGTCTGACATTAATATCTAACCAAACATTTAACGGTGTGAGAACCTATCCTACATGAAGGGCAATATATAAATACAGGCTGTTGCTTTAAAGTGAAAAAATAATATGATTTCATTAATACATTCAGCAAACCACCCAGCAAACCACCCCCAGCAAACCACCACCACCCCCAGCAAACCACCACCACCCCCAGCAAACCACCACCACCCCCAGCAAACCCACCACCACCCCCAGCAAACCACCACCACCCCCAGCAAACCACCACCACCCCCAGCAAACCACCACCACCACCCCCAGCAAACCACCACCACCCCCAGCAAACCACCACCACCCCCAGCAAACCACCACCACCCCCAGCAAACCACCACCACCCCCAGCAAACCACCACCCCCAGCAAACCACCACCACCTCCAGCAAACCACCCAGCAAACCACCACCACCCCAGCACAACCCAGCAAACCACCACCACCCCCAGCAAACCACCACCACCCCCAGCAAACCACCACCACCCCCAGCAAACCACCACCACCACCAGCAAACCACCACCACCACCCCAGCAAACCACCACCACCCCCAGCAAACCACCACCACCCCCAGCAAACCACCACCACCTCCAGCAAACCACCCAGCAAACCACCACCACCCCAGCACAACCCAGCAAACCACCACCACCCCCAGCAAACCACCACCAGCACCCAGCAAACCACCACCACCCCCAGCACAGCCCAGCAAACCACCACCACCCCCAGCAAACCACTACCACCCCCAGCAAACCACCACCAACCCCAGCACAACCACCACCACCCCCAGCAAACCACCACCCCCCCAGCAAACCACTACCACCCCCAGCACCACCCAGCAAAGCACCACCACCCCCAGCAAACCACCACCACCCCCAGCACCACCCAGCAAACCACCACCACCCCCAGCAAACCACCACCAGCACCCAGCAAACCACTACCACCCCCAGCAAAGCACCACCACCCCCAGCACCACCCAGCAAAGCACCACCACCACCAGCAAATGACCACCACCCCCAGCACCACCCAGCAAACCACCACCACCACCAGCACCACCCAGAAAACCACCACCACCACCCCCATCACCACCCACAAACCACCACCACCCCAGTACCACCCAGAAAACCACCACCAGCACCACCCAGCAAACCAGCACCACCCGCCCAGCAAACCACCAGCCCCACCAAGGAAACCAGCGGCCCCGCCCAGAAAACCTCCAGTCCCGCCCAGCAAACCATCAGCCCGGCCCAGCAAACCACCAGCCCGGCCCGGCAAACCACCTCCGCCAGCCCCGCCCGGCAAGCCACCACCGCCAGCCCCGCCCGGCAAGCCACCACCGCCAGCCCCGCCCGGCAAGCCACCACCGCCAGCCCCGCCCGGCAAACCACCACCGCCAACCCCGCCCGGCAAACCACTACCACCACCAGCCCCCGGCAAACCACCACCGCCAGCCCCGCCCGGCAAACCACCACCGCCAACCCCGCCCGGCAAACCACCACCACCAGCCCCCGGCAAACCACCACCACCAGCCCCCGGCAAACCACCACCACCAGCCCCCGGCAAACCACCACCGCCAGCCCCCGGCAAACCACCACCACCAGCCCCCGGCAAAACCACCACCGCCAGCCCCGCCCGGCAAACCACCACCGCCAACCCCGCCTGGCAAACCACCACCGCCAGCCCCCGGCAAACCACCACCACCAGCCCCCGGCAAACCACCACCACCAGCCCCGGCAAACCACCACCACCAGCCCCCGGCAAACCACCACCACCAGCCCCCGGCAAACCACCACCACCAGCCCCCGGCAAACCACCACCACCAGCCCCCGGCAAACCACCACCACCAGCCCCCGGCAAACCACCACCACCAGCCCCGGCAAACCACCACCACCAGCCCCCAGCAAACCACCACCAGCCCCCGGCAAACCACCACCAGCCCCCAACAAACCACCACCAGCCCCCAACAAACCACCACCAGCACCCAGCAAACCACCACCAGCACCCAGCAAACCACCACCAGCAAACCACCACCGCCATCAGCACCCAGAAATCCACCACCACCACCCTGCAAACCACCCCCACCACCAGCACCCGGCACACCACCACCAGCACCACCCAGCAAACCACCACCAGCACCACCCAGCCAACCACCCCCACCGGCACCACCCAGCCAACCACCCCACCGGCACCACCCAGCCAACACCCCCACCACCACCCAGCCAACCACCCCCACCACCACCCAGCCAACACCCCACCACCACCCAGCCAACCACCCCCACCACCACCCAGCCAACCACCACCACCACCCAGCCAACTGCCACCACCACCCAGCCAACCGCCACCACCAGCACCGCCCAGCAAACCACCACCACCATCCAACCACCACCCCCACCACCACCCAGCCAACCACCACCACCAGCACCACCCAGAAAACCACCACCACCACCCAGCAAACCACCACCACCACCCAGCAAACCACCACCCAGCAAACCACCACCACCAGCACCACCCAGCAAACCACCACCATCAGCACCACCCAACCAACCACCACCACCAGCACCACCCAGCAAACCACCACCACCAGCACCACCCAACCAACCACCACCACCACCCAGAAAACCGCCAGCACCACCCACCCAGCCAACCACCACCACCAGCACCACCCAGCCAACCACCACCACCAGCCGCCGGCAAACCACCACCACCAGCCCCCAGCAAACCACCACCACCAGCCCCCAGCAAACCACCACCACCAGCCCCCAGCAAACCACCACCACCAGCCCCCAGCAAACCACCACCACCAGCTCCCAGCAAACCACCACCAGCCCCCAACAAACCACCACCACCAGCCCCCAACAAACCACCACCACCAGCACCCCCAGCCAACCACCACCACCAGCACCCCCCAGCCAACCACCACCACCAGCACCCCCAGCCAACCACCACCACCAGCACCCCCCAGCAAACCACCACCACCAGCACCCCCCAGCAAACCACCACCACCGCCCAGCCAACCACCACCAGCACCACCCAGCCAACCACCCCACCACCACCCAGCCAACCACCCCCACCCAGCCAACCACCACCACCCAGCCAACCGCCACCACCAGCACCGCCCAGCAAACCACCACCACCATCCAACCACCACCCCCACCACCACCCAGCCAACCACCACCACCAGCACCACCCAGCCAACCACCACCACCAGCACCACCCAGAAAACCACCACCACCACCCAGCAAACCACCACCACCACCCAGCAAACCACCACCCAGCAAACCACCACCACCAGCACCACCCAGCAAACCACCACCATCAGCACCACCCAACCAACCACCACCACCAGCACCACCCAGCAAACCACCACCACCAGCACCACCCAACCAACCACCACCACCACCCAGAAAACCGCCAGCACCACCCACCCAGCCAACCACCACCACCAGCACCACCCAGCCAACCACCACCACCAGCCGCCGGCAAACCACCACCACCAGCCGCCGGCAAACCACCACCACCAGCCCCCGGCAAACCACCACCACCAGCCCCCGGCAAACCACCACCACCAGCCCCCAGCAAACCACCACCACCAGCCGCCGGCAAACCACCACCACCAGCCCCCGGCAAACCACCACCACCAGCCCCCGGCAAACCACCACCACCAGCCCCCAGCAAACCCCACCACCACCACCAGCCCCCAGCAAACCACCACCACCAGCCCCCAGCAAACCACCACCACCAGCCCCCAGCAAACCACCACCAGCCCCCAACAAACCACCACCACCAGCCCCCAACAAACCACCACCAGCACCACACAGCCAACCACCACCACCAGCACCACACAGCCAACCACCACCACCAGCACCCCCCAGCCAACCACCACCACCAGCACCCCCAGCAAACCACCACCACCAGCACCCCCCAGCAAACCACCACCACCAGCACCCCCCAGCAAACCACCACCACCGCCCAGCCAACCACCACCAGCACCACCCAGCCAACCACCACCACCAGCACCACCCAGCCAACCACCACCACCACCCAGCCAACTACCACCACCACCCAGCCAACCACCACCTAGCAAACCACCAGCACCAGCACCACCCAGCCAACCACCACCACCAGCACCACCCAGCCAACCACCACCACACAGCCAACCACCACCACCACACAGCCAACCACCACCACCACCAGCACCAGCCAGAAAACCACAACCACCAGCACCACCCAACCAACCACCACCACCACCACCAGCACCACCCAGCAAACCACCACCCAGCCAACCACCACCACCAGTACCACCCAGCAAACCACCACCACCAGCACCATCCAGCAAACCACCACCACCAGCACCCAGCAAAGCACCACCACCAGCACCCAGCAAAGCACCACCAGCACCCAGCAAAGCACCACCAGCACCCAGCAAACCACCACCACCACCAGCACCAACTTGTATTGATATAGCTCCAAGTGGGTAACATCTCAGAGCAATTAACAGTGGCGGAGTTTGATTTGCGCTTTTGGACATCCTCCCGACGTGAAAGGCGCTCTATAAATGTAATTTCGTTGTTGTTGTTGTTGTCAATGTCAAACTGGGGAGATGAGGGAGGTAACCAGGATGAAGAGGAACATCTACAGGCATGATCTGAAGACAGGAGGAGGTGGAAAGGCAGAGGGACTCAGATAAAGCCTTAATATCTCATTTAAAATGCCAGAGAAAATATTTTGGGGTAGCCAGTATGAGTGGATAGATGCTGAATTTGTAGAAAAGTTGGTTCAAGTCTAATCTGTTACCAACCCCTTGTTGTGAAGCTGGAGAGGATTCCATCTCCTGATAAATCACCAGATATTAACTTCTATTAAATAGATTAAAGTAGATTAAGAAAGTATATACTTTTTATCAGGTCACTGGTAAGGCCAATGATTATTGTTCGCAGGTTTGGGTTCCTTTCCCTTCAAACTGGCATCAAAAGGTTGGAACTGGTTTAACAAAGTGCAGCAAGGATGATTCAAGGTTTGAGAGTTCTAACTTATAAGGAGAGGCTCGCAGAGCTCAATCCCTCCTTAATAGTAGATTGAGGAAGAAATGGACCCAAGTCATTAAAATGAGAGGTATATTAAAGGTTACACATTGAACGGCAGCATTCTCTAACTGGAGTGCACATAGTCCTGTAGCTCAGTGGTTAGAGCACTCGCTTTGCAAGCGAGAGACCTGAGTTCAATTCCAGGCAGGGCGAAACCTTGGCCAAGTTTCCTTACTCCACACGCCTAATAATAATCCCTCCAAAACCAAAAACAATAATAAATTGGTCATTTTCAATCCATATGACTGTTTGTGGGACATTGCTGTGCGCAATTGGCTGCTGCGTTCGCCCACAAATATACAGTCAATTCACTTTACAGTGTGTTCTATAAAGCGCTTTGGGACGTCCTCCCAACGTGAAAAGCACTATATCAAATGCAAGGATTATTATTATAGTGAAAGTTAAAAAGTTTCAACCAGGAAAAGAGATCACAATACATTTCTTGATCCCCAAAAATAGTGGATATGTGGAACAGACAACCAACAAAAATACTTGATGCCTTGACACTACTTCAGTTAGCTTCTTTTTAAAATGAGAAAATGTGTATCTGCTTGAGGACAATATTGGAGAATCATAGGGAAAGGTGCAGACTGAGATAGGCAAATAGTCCCTCAGATACAATTTCTGTTGGCTGGAATGGGAAAGAAGAAAAGTTGCCCTTAAAATAAAGGATGCGAGGTTTGTATTGTGGAGAGAGAAAAATGTATACCTTTTGCTTGTTTGCATTTGGGGTTGTGGGAGTCTGTTTGAGGTGCTTTCTGTGGGCAGCACAGTTGGTAGGAAGCTCACAAGAAGGTAGGTTCTGTATAGGTTGTATAAGGACTGGACCTGATAGGCCAAAGGCATTTTCTCATTCTATACACATACAGATAAGTTTTGTCCTCAAATGTTGTTGCACGGGAATAAAAGGTTCAGTTCAAAGCATCTAATTCCAACTGATTAATAGCTAAATAGCAGCAAAAATCAGTTCAACATGATCACGTAAAGCCTCTCAATTACAACAACATCATTGATAAATTCCTTTCATTTTACCTGGGATTGCACTTAGTCAGAACAACAACAACAACTTGGATTTATAGAGCGCCATCCACGCCGAAAGAAAGGTCTTCAGCCGAGACCTGAAAGTGGGAAGAGAGGGGACGAGGCGAAGGGAGTGAGGAAGGGAGTTCCAGAGCCTTGGGGCGTGGTGGCTGAAGGCACATCCGCCGATGGTGAAGCATAGGACTTAGGCGACAAGGAGGAGGCCAAAGGTTTATATAGGAGGCCTAGACGCTACTTCAGTATATCTGTAAGAAATACACACCTGATAATGTTTCAGAGTACGATACACAAAATATAATGGCTCAGTACCTTTGCTGGAGAGCTTCCAGTCTTTCATATAACTTGGGTTTATTTGTGGCTTCAATAACATTTTTTGTTTGGGCTGTTTCAAACATTAATTCCTTTTTTAAAACAAAGACAGAAATAATTATAACAATCAAATCATACATCTGCATACAGCAACTATAGGTCATTTCTTTTTTAATAGCTATTCTGATCATTAAACTCAGAATGTATTTGCTAGCTATTTAACGTGGCACTGTTATATTCCCTTTTGAATAAAAACTTGTAATTGTGATATTGTCTTTTCTTATGCGAACCTTTCCTCCAAGTATAATCCTTCTCTTGTTCCCTTAGAGAAAAGTCATACTCACTCAACACAGTTCTCAATGCACAGAAACTGGCTTGAGAAATTTTAAACAAAAACAACAGATTTGAGCTGAGGTCTTTTTACCAAATAAAAATAATTATCATTCTGAATCCCTTTATATGAAAAGAATCCAGTATTTTATTGTAGGTTCACAAGGCTATTCAGACATCAAGATGCAAGTAGTTAGATGATAGCGGTGCACTTGATGGAGCAGAAGCACGTGTTAATCTTGCTCACAATCCTTCTAATCAGAGATTCTGCTCTGCGCTACATCCCTATACAGTATGGAAGCGAAAATACGATGGGCCTGGAGGGAGGAAAAAACTCCAGGTTGTCCTCGCAGATATCCTAGTGGTTGAAGGTTGGTGGAGGTTAGAGAGAAGCATTGTCCTTCAATCCAATGTTGGTGTGTGGTTCAGGGAACTCCAACTGAGAGAGAAAGGAAGAAAATAACCTTTTTTTTATTAAAAAAAATTATCTTCTTCATCAATAAAAAAAACTCCAACCTTAAAGTCCGCATCTATTCCATCAAATCGCTTGGCGTCTTCAGAAAGTTGGTTTCGAATGTCCTCAGACCCAATAAAAATGCTCTCCAGGTGGGACCACGTACGTTGCACCTCCATCCAGATAAAGATGACAGAGTCGGCCACAGTCAGCTTCTTTTGCCAGGAAGACACCTGTTCGATAAAGTACTCCACATATTTGCTCAGCAAAATAGCTTGCAACTGCACCTAGAAAACAAAAAGAAACAGCTCTATAGCTTAGAGATGAAAGAAGGATTATTCCTTTCATTCATAATGAATAGGGGTCATGGGGAGAGGAGAGGTAAGGGTATACTATAATAAAAGAGCAGCAAGTAGTTAAAGGTGGAAAGAATGTTAGGGAGGAGTATTATTTGTTCAAAGTATGTCCCCTAGCAATCGTCAAAAATGTATTCAGCAAGATACATCTCTTGTGCAAAATCCTTGCAGTTAGAAGCAGATCCTGGAACCAGCTTCCTTAGGGAAAGGATCTGTGTAATTCCCAGAATGGCTCAGTTTTGTTTAATGAGAGTGAGTGCCTGGGAACTAATCTTGAAACCTTGATACGAGGAACATTTTGTTGCATGTTCTCTGGAGCTCTGCATTCCCAGATTCAGACAACTCTGGACTCACTTCTCACCCTTTGATCCATAACCAAGAATACACAACATGGAGAATACATTAACAAAGCCACCCTGGAACATACCAGGCTCCTATCAAACAGTCTAGCAATGGAAGACGGGCTATGCTTAGAGCAAGGATTCTTGTTGCAGATGTAGCATAGATTTCCAAATATACTTTTTTTTCCCCCGATGTAAGTTGGAGTACCATGAGCAAATATTCCCTTAGATTTTTCACGTGCTCAAACTAAAAAAATCTACTTCTGCTGGTATCTCTCAGACACAACCCAACCTTTTAAGAAAAACAAACAGTAAAATGTAGCTTCTGGGATATAACGGTCTTACAAGATACTGAGCAAGGATTCAGCTAGTCAGAATTATTCTCAATAATGTGTATAAACCTGAGCCAACAATATCAAGCATGTCCTTCTCTTCCATTGTCAAAGCTAATATTTACACAGAATGCTACAGGATGGAAACAGGCCATTCAGCCCAATTGGTCCGCCCAGTTTTTATACTTCACACGTCCCATCCCTCTTAATCCTCTCTCACCTCAATTCTCTTCTCCCTCATGTATGCATCAAGTTTCCTCTTAAATACGTTAATGCTTTTTGCTTCAACCACACCTTCCAACAGTGAGATCCACATTCTCACCACCTTCTGCGTAAAAAAGTTTCTCCTGAACTCCTTTTTAGATCTGCTACTGCCTATATGTTACATTGATGCCCCTTGTTTTAGATTAATCACAAATGGAAATAGCCTATTAATGTCCACTTGATCCATTTTTTTCAAAATGTTACATACCTCTATGAGATCTGGTCTGCTCTAAATCATCCCATCTCCAGAAAGAAAAGCTCCAACCTGTCCAATCTTTCTTTTAATAATAATACTTACATTTGACATAGCAGCTTATCATGTCATCAAGAAATCTCAAAGCGTTTCACAAGATATAATGTAAAGTTGTGAGACTAGTGATAATTGTATCCACTCATAACATCCTAGTGAATCTGCACTGCATTCTCTGCAATACTACAACATTCTTCCCAGAATTATTTCACACAGTACTCTTAAGTGAGGTCTAATCAAGGTGTTTTAATAATTGTAATAGTATTTTCCTACTTTTATGTTTAATACCACAACAAAAAGTTGGAGATTTTCTGAGATAAAGGATCATACTTGGTTATCATCCAGAGTTTCAATAAGTTCCTCATCTGACTTTAGGAGCGGGGTGGCCGTTCTATGGTGCTTCTCGTAAGAAAATTCCATGGTGGTCCACGTCTGACTGATCTCTGTGAGGACCTGTAAGGTAGGAAACACGCGACAGTGGTTGAAAGTTTTGTCCAGTTTTCCAGCATTACTTTTCAATATCACAATTCGGGTGCTGGAGACACTAATACTATAATAATTCCTGTAGTTTAATATGAAAGGAATTTCCTTCAACCACATACACATAACAGGATACTTAGTTTATTTCCTCCCATCGTTAAATACGAATCTTTGTGTTTAATATAGCTCCTTTCATGTAAGGAGAACATCTTAAAGTGTTTCGCAGGATTTATAATCCTTGCATTTGATATAGCACCTTATCATATCTTCGAGGCATCTCAAAACATTTACTGTGAAGTCAAATGGCTGTAGATTTTGTAGGTGAATGCTGCAGCAATTTTGTGCGCAGCAATGTCCCACAAACTGCCGTGAAGTGAATGAGCCATTTTATCTGGGGTTGTTGGCCAGGACACGGAGGGAAACTCCCTTCCCTTTGCAAACAGTGCCATGGGATCTTTATCGTCCATCTGAACAGGTAGCTATGATGTCGATTTAATGTCTCATCCGAAGGACGGTACTTTCATCAATGGAGCGCCAGTCCAGTACTTGTATTGGAGGATCACATGGTATAAGGGCACTGGGATTTCTTAAAGGTTAATTGTCCCCATGACATTCCCAAAGGTCCAGATCTAACTGGGCCTAACCTTAGTGTGTGGAAGATGCAAGGAGGAAGAAGAATGGTGTCAAGCATTCTCCCTCCTTATCGGTACAGTTGAAATCGAGTCCACCCGTCAAATTATTAATCAAAAAGATAACAGGTGTTTAAGATAACAATAACATGAAAGTTTACTATTTTCCACAGAAATATGTAGTATATGTCATTTTATGTTATTATGTTGCTGGGTGATTCTTTAATACTCAGACTCTGTGGTGTGAATGAGAACTTTAAAATTGCACATGTTAATGCCTCAAAAATTCACTCCAAATCTTAAAAAGCTGTCACCAGACTTTGTCACTTAGGAACAGAAATTCAGCAACACAAACACAAGCTAGTGGAGGTGAAAATTTGCTGATCAGTATTGGTACCGATCATCTCGCTGTGCACTTATCATGGGATTTCTGCCTTGTTCGCATGAAAGGTGAGCATGTTACTGATCTGCAAAATTTCACCCCCAAAGTCACCAAACATAGCTTTAAAACTCTTATGAAAAACAGGGAAGGCTTATATTTCTGATGAGACTAAGCTCTCTGAATATCGCAAAGACTAAAAAAAAGTACAACATAAAAATAGCAGAGAAATTGCCCCCTGGCCTTATCCATGTCGTGGAGTGCTATTCACCCACAGAATTGCGTACTAAACTGTGAGTAGCTACACAACAATGGACCATAATAATGATTCTATTGCTTGCCTTATCCCTTGAAAGAAAATAATTACAGTTGCAAGTACCTTATCTATCCTGCTCATAAAGGGTTTACAAGAATGTTTAGTTAAAAATATAGTTTTGTTCATCCTGAAGCAGAAATAACCTTGCAACAATCAGTGAGGACACCAGTCCTGAACAAGCTGTTGTGGTTACATAGGTTGTCATATGAGAGGTGTCAGAACCCAGACAGCTTTGTGCTTTCCGTGCTCCAGACATAGCTGGTTTGTCTTACTTAAGGGGTGGACTGACTTTGTTAAAGCCAACAAAAATAACCCACTGTTGCACACTAAACAAAATGAAGCCTATCACAAGGTAGCGTCTAGGATCGACAAGCCAGAAAATTATGCTGAATCATTCACATTCATCAAACTTTCTGCTCTCCAATGAGAACAGAGAAAAAGAGAAGTCAAGGACCTTCTCTATTCCCAACTCCTTCACAGCCTTGTCGACGATATTCCTGACTTCGTCTTCCACTTTGTGTAACTGCAGGGCCAACAGGTCGGCTAGGATGGTATTATTGCTCATAATAAACTTCACCTGAAACACACAATTACAAAAGCAAATCAACAATGTTGATGGACCACCAACGGCACTTCAAAATCAAACATTATATCAGATCAGGCACACCACATACAATGCCTAACAAGGCATCAGATTATATAAACACCACCAAGTCACCCGATTTTGAACAGTTTTAAGCAGAAAAGGGGTTGAAAGGATCACCACAAAAAGATTTTTTTTCTATAAAAAAGTTTATGAGTTAAAAAAGCTATCGAACATAAGTTACAGTATACTACTGGCATAATGATTTAAATTAAGCAAGGTGGAAAATAGAAGGAAAAGATTGAGCAACCCAAGAAGACGTAGTTAGGTGTCAGCAAATTGACAGATTTTTAAAATAAGCACCAATTTATATATCATGCCTTTTTCAACTTCATAAATTGGTTTAATATTTTGTGGTGGTCCGTTCAACCCCTTTCTGAATACCTCAATGTGTAAAACTGCAAAATCACAGTGCCTAGACAAAGTTCCTGCAATTGGACAAGTGTCCTAAGAAATGATGGTGCTTGGAACTAATGATGTTAACTTAAATGTGCTAATGGGGTAGATATACATTATTGTGTCAAGAATCATATTCAGGCCAATTGGGCAAGCAGGCAAATTGCATACAGGTTCTCATAACCAACTAGTCTGCCCATATCAATCCCCCCATCCCCTCTCCATCCCCATTGCTTTTGTGTTCTTCAGCCTAAATTGAAGCAACTTTGCATTACTCTCTCATCAGTGCCTGTGCGTTTAGCTAACACTGAAGATGTGGGGAAGAAAGTGAGAACTTTACACTTAATTGAGATTAAGAACTCACTGAAAATGAAGTGCATGATTGATTTGCCATTGTACTTTTGCATAGCACAGTATCGCGAATGTCCAAAGCAAGAGTACTTTTCAAATGGTTTGCAAACCAGATCAATAAGCATAAACGTTCCTGGACCTATTTTGCTTGGAATTCTCTTTCAAAACTCACATGAATCATAGGTAGCACAAGTTGACCTGTCTTTCCAACTGGTTATATTTACTATTGTGGTTATTTCTCCTCATTTCAATAAGTCAGCAAGTCTTTGAGAACATTTGAACCATAAACCTAAGTTCAAATGTATATAAAACCTTGATCAACATAAATTGCTACATGTTAGGACTTTTATTACCATTTACCAGGTAATTAAATGCTAAGGATCCACTTAGACTAAAGTATAAGCCCACGTTCTATTGAACCTACCGTCTGACAACAGTGGCAGTATGAAGCAAAGTGTTTATTTCCAAGACATTTTTAAACAGTAACTCTCTTTCGTAAAGGCAAGTTTCAAGATCAAAAAATATATATTTTTTAAAGAGAAGTAACTCTCAAATTTATCTTCCTGATGACTCTGGCACACAACAGATTGTGGTCAGGGCAGCAGGCATGTGGACTGCTAGATGTGCCAATTCTCCTGCACCACCACACATCACTCACTACTGACTTTAACAACTGTTATCAAACATTCTTGACTCTCAATGCAGAAAACTTTGCAAATGTACTTGACTGTGTTAACTAGTTGTCGGCTCTTTGTAAGTATCATAGGGACTATGTACTCTAAAGCTACCATAACTTAGCTAACTCTTTGACAGCTGTATTTATTTAAATAAAAAGTTGTTTGATTAAGAAGATACATATCTCTTGGACATTTTGTTGAAATTGCATTAAAAATGCAATGAATGAGCTTCACAGCACTATTCCACATAGTGTTAAGATGTAGATTTGTGTTGCTCTAAAATGAAGGAGGGTTAGAGTAGCTATGAGAAACGATCTGCCCAATGCTTGCATTCATCTGGACAATCCATCACTGACACAAATTTGACAAGAACTACGTCTTAATAAATGTTAAACCAGAATCACAGAGACCAGCTAAACACACACCCTTCCTGTATTTTTACAACATTAATAAATAATGGGGTAAATAATGTGGGTGTCACAACCTGGATATGGGTCACAACTACCAGCAGAAACTCCACTCCAATGCAATCGCCTGTCAAAGTGGAATTCTCTGCGAGTGTGATTTGGTTATCCCCAGGAGGCACTATTTGTGAATCGAGGCATGGTAAGCTATGCGGTTTTAGCTGGTTAGACTTTAGCAGTACACCAATGCACACTCTGGGTTCCCCAAGCCTTGGCTCTTGCCAAACTGTGCCTAATACTTTCCGGGATTAGGTAAACAGAATGTGCCCCTCCAGGAAGAAAGTGCACATTCAATTCCAACAATCTATCTCTGGGATTTCCAATGTATAGACGGGATGCATGGAAACCTCTGCTTGGTTTGGCTACTCTTAAGCATGGTGATGGGATTCCGCATGTGTCAGACACCCGGCTGACCAAAAAAAACGTTAATCGAGGTTGTAATTGTAACCGTAATACTAAAGAATTATGTTTCAAATAGGATTTTGGTTCAGAAATACTGCTGAAACCCTATTAGTGTTCACCAGTCTGATGCCCAGAGTTTCCTTAGAATACAATTTGTTTGAAACGTTCATGCTCCATTGCTTCTGACTGACCCCTGTGGAATTCATCAGCTGATGCCAGTGCCTGTCCCTGATGGCTGGGTTCTGCAGCTCTGTCACTGCCCGCAATGATGTCAGCAGGTTCTTCACAGTAGAGTCCAAACCTATGTAGGCATCCCAGGCTCGCACTTCTTTGTCCAACATTCGGATTTCCTGCAAAAGATACAAATAAAGTGCCAGCTTTTAACAAACAGCGTAAGCGATGTGTGTAGTTTACATGCTACACAGAAATCTACAGCACAGATAAAGTAAACACATTTTTCTAACACTAAAGTCACAATTATGTTATTGATGACATTACACATTACAGGTCAGGATGAGAAAATCATTTGTACTGAAGGAACGTTTGCTGCTGATGTGTTTTTTTATGTTTTCTGTCACTTGCTGTCACATAGAAATAACACTGTTACTCTGGCATGTTGTGTTTTGCAGTATGATTTTCTGATGAGATGTTTCTATTTCCTCACGTAAAAGATTCATTACTTTTGGAAAAATTAAAATACCAAGTTGAGGAAACATTGTGTTGAATGGAGGCGATATTGGTGGGGAATTGAATAGTTTACTTTCCTGTGGCACTGAGACAGCATCAAGCATTCCCAGGCCAACCGAAACAGGAGATAGATAATAATAATCATGGCTGTTTATGGGACAGGGTTGTGCACAAAATGGTTGCTGCATCCCCCTACAAAATACAGACACTACATTTTACAGCAAATCATATGAAGTACTCTGAGAGTTTTGAGGACAAGATAAGGTGCTAGATAATAATAATCCTCACATTTGATATGTTTCCCACTTAGCCATGCTGGTGCCCTCTCAGAGCAAGTTAGCCAACTTATTCGACAATAAATGCCAAATTGTAGACAGTTTTACACTGTTGACACAGCCTCTGAAAATGGGTTTCATTCGCCAACTTCTTTCAGTTACAGCTAGCCAAGTGATTTTCCTTCCATCAATTTGTTCTGCGTTTCAACAGTGGATCACGTGCATAGTGATCTTTTCAATACTGGTTTAACAATGGGAAATCTCAGAAAGAAAAGTGTTCAAGCCAGTGCAAATTACAGTTCCCCAGCAAATTATTATTATTTTCTAAATTGCCAAAGGTAAAGTATTTGTCAATTATTGCGGTACAAATAAGATAAAAGCTAAATCTTATTAGTTGGGGATACCTGTAATTTTGAATAGATGAATGAACCGTTGAATCTCAACTAAATTCTGGTCAAATACATCATTCATTATCCCTTGCTCCAACTTAACAAAACAAAGTCTTAACGGGTGAATTCCCTCTTACTGCTAATTAGATAGTTACATGGAGTGATACAGCAAGGAAACAAAACATTCAGCCCTACTGGTCTATGCTGGCCCCTGCACCTCCCATACCCTCTATTCCCTTCTCCCTCCTTTATATGAGTCAAGTTAAATCAAGTACATATGAAGACTGAAGACATTTGTAGCATGCTAGGTATTTTATTTTCCTCTTTATGTCTCCCCAGGACCCAGCTGTTCGAAAAGTGTAGCAGGGAAGCATACAAAAACATAATACATTGGAGCTGACTTGCCTTCGCAAATCTCCTGAGTTCTACTTCCATCTGTTCCACATTGATTTGTCTCCACTGTGTCTTGGTCCAGTCATTAATGCTACTCTGTTAAATAATAACAATGTGCATTTATATAGTGCCCTTCATGTAAGATAACATCTTCATGTAGGATAACTTCTTGCAGCATTTCAAGGAGACAGTGTTGGACAGAAAGAGGACAGCAAGACAGAAGGAGGAGCAGACGGGTGACTTAAGGTGCAGTCAAAGTAGGTTTTTAGGCAGGATTTAAAGATAAGGAAAGGGTGAGACAAATAGATAGAGGGAGGTCAACGATTGTAGGGTGGAAGGGATGTGGGATGCATAGCAGGCTCAATTTTGCTTTGCAGAGGAGTGGGAAAGGATAAGATCACAGAGATAGAGTGGTGCTAGGACATGAAAGTTCAAGATCTTGAAATTGATCCATTGGGAGACAGAGAGATAGTGGAGCCTGGCGAGGACTGAGATATGGGCATGTGGAGTTTGGTATGAGAGGTGATACGAGTGGAGGAGTTATGAATCTCCTGGAGCTTGTGGATGCTGGAACCAACAGCGAGGAATGTGTTTGAGTTGGGATGTAACAAAGGCATGAACGAGGGACCTAAATGGGGCAGGCCTCACTCGGGCAGTCTATCCTCCTGAAGACAAGAAGCATAATAATGTGGTAGGTCACACTAGAAGTCAAAAAACAGTAACAAAATAGCTGCCATAATATAACTTTGTGGAGTCCTGTAGCTCAGTGGTTAGAGCATTCGCTTTGCAAGTGAGAGACCTGAGGTCAATTCCAGGCAGAGGGCGAATCCTTGGGCAAGTTTCCTTACTCCACACGACTAATAATAATCCCTCCAAAACCAAAAACAATAATAAATTGGCATTTTCAATCTACGGCTGTTTGTGGGACATTGCTGTGCGCAATTGGCTGCCGCGTTCGCCAACAAATATACAGTCAATTCACTTTACAGTGTGTTCTGTGAAGCGCTTTGGGACGTCCTCCCGACGTGAAAAGCGCTATATCAAATGCAAGGATTATTATTATTATAACAAAAAGATACAACTTACCCTCACAAATATAATAATGTCCCAGAGTGCTTTGAGCAAACCAATATCACGCCGACACTGTTTTAACTGCTTGTAGTCTGGAACAGTCACCTCAAATAGGTTGGCCGATTCCTGCATTTGGACAGTCACTTTCTCCAAAGCACTGAGCTCTTGGTTAGACTGAAAGACAGAATAAACAGGAGTTACACTTACTGATACAAATGATAGTTGCACTGACCATTGGCCTGACACTTTACATTTGTGTGAAGTGTGAATGAGGATAATTCACACTTTAATGAAGAATTGGGGGAGATAATTCGTACTTCAATAGAGAATCTACTTCAGTGAAGAACCAGTATCCACTTTCCAGTAAAGGGATTCCTATTAATGTTTCACGTCAGCCCGTTCTATAGCAGTGCCGGCTTTTTAATCTGGCTTTGATGTCTCAGTTCAAATCTTTCAGTGTTTGCATTGAAAATTCCTGGATTCGTCTCTTACCTTATCTAGTAGCTTGTACGGGTTCACAGAATTAAAAGAGAAAGGTGCTTCCAGTCGAAATATTTCCCTGAATTCTATTTGTTTGGCCTATTAAAAGGTAGAACAAAAAGATTCACATTATCTGTACATGATTAGAGGGTTTCATATTTGCTAATACTTCAGAAAGTTCAATAAACCACATTTGGCTGAAATATTTTCAGAAAACAAAGCCAGGACTTACATCAAACGCCACACATTGTTTTCTGATTAGCGACACCTCAGCCGTCTGAAGCGGGGCAACTTCGTGCTTGACAGAAACAGCAATCTTCTTTGTGTTATTCCATTTCTCTGGCAATTCCTATTAATCATCGAAGAATGTTTTAACTAATAAAGGAGGTACTTGAACTGAGGATTGAGTTCAATATTCTGGTCCTCAACTTTAAAGCCCTCCATGTTCTTGCTCCTCCCTACCTCTGTGATCTACTACACCTTTACCAACCTGTATGCTTCCTTCAATCGGCGGGCACCGCTTGTTCCACGTCCTCCACTCTGCTTGTTCAACCATCAGCAGTCAGGCCTTCAGCGTTTCTGTCCCCAGCCTTTGGAACTCCACCCGAAGCCCATCCGCCTGTCCCCCTCCCTAGCCTCTTCAAGGCCTATCTCAATATATTCCTCTTTGCCCATGCCTCAAGTCAGTTTCCCTCCTCCACCCGCCTTACCCTCCTCTCCTCTCAATTCCAACCTCCAGCTCGGGTGCTAAACTCTTCACTATCCAGCACCTTGGGACGTACTCCTGACACGAATGGCGCTATGTAAATGCAATATGTTGTTGTATTTGCACTTACCTTGCATCAAGAAACATATTACTGTACCTGTGACTATAACCATTGTAGACAGCCAGACTACAGTTTTTGATTGGTGTCACCAATATGAAGGATGTGTGAATAAAGGATAATCAAAGACCCTGGTTACATGTAGTCAAATAGTCTGGAATGTGCTGATAAACAATCTCAAAGCTTCAAATTGTGAGTTACAAAACAATGTAATAATAATCCTTGCATTTGATACAATACTTATAACGTCAAAATGCCTCAAAGTGCTTTACAGTAATTACTCTTAAGTGTACTGATTGTATATTTGTAGGCAAGTGTAGTAGTCAATTGTGCACAGCAAATTCCACAAATAGCCAGAAGGTGAATGATTGATTCATTTTGAAGAATTGTTGGCTAGGACATCGGGAGAAACTCTTTTGAATAGTATCAAGGGGTTCTTTAGTGTCCATCTGAACAGGGAGATCGGATCCTGTTTCAAATGGCAGCACTGTACTAAAGTGTCAGCCTAGACTGTGATCTGAAAATTTCACACAAGGCTTGAACCCACAATCCTCTGACCCAGGAGTGAGAGTATAAATGGGCACTCCTTTCAGGTACTTTCACGCTGACACATTAAGAGACATAATTCTGCTTATCTTAAAAGAACCAGGCAGAGGAAAGCTCACATAAAACAACAACAAAATTACACTTGTATAGAAATATATTATATGATGAGGATCACTTTGTTAGATCCTGTTGAAGGCCTCACTGCACAGAAAGATTTCGTCTCTCAAAAGGAGAGAGTTCAAACTCAAAAGAGACTCAATCTGCTTCTCGACAGCCTTTGCAACAAACCTTAACCCTTTGAGATGCTATTCTTGCACTGAAAAGAAAAATGTCTCCTATAATTGCACCGACCTTTTCTCCCCTGGCTGCACTAAGAATATATTCTAGCTTATTTAAAGAGAGACTGCAGAGCTCCCACAATGGTAAACTACTGCTTGGTGCAAATCAAGTGATACATTTTCAGTCTGTGCCGAGTTAGGTGATCTCAGACAGAGTGGGGCAATACCCCTGGGCTACGGAGATAAAAATAAAATTAACCAGACTTCTGCTTCTGATCAACATCCACTCTATAGACGCACACAAGGAGTGTTGGCCACTGAGACATTGCGGCACAATATCAACACAAAATTGGTATGACCCTCAGAATCTGAGGCATCTGGTTCTAATACAAAACAAATTGTAGCAAATGCTAAACAACAAGCTTAACAATAACAACAAATTAGTTGTGTAGCTCAGTGGTTAGAGCACTTGCTTCTCAAGCGAGAGACCTGGGTTTGATTCCCAGCAGGGCGAAACCTTGGGCAAGTTTCCTTACGCCACATGCCTAATAATAATCCCTCAAGAAAAAAAAAATAAAAAATTAGTCACTTCAATCCACGATTGTTTGTGGGACACTGCTGTGCGCAATTGGCTGCCGTGTTTCGCCCACAAATATACAGTCAATTCACTTTGCAGTATATTCTGTGAAGCACTTTGAGACATCTAGAAAACGTGAAAAGTGCTATATCAAATGAAGGATTATTATTATTATAATTACACTGTATAACGTCCTACACATTGGAAAGACATCCCAGGGCACTGCAGAATTATGGGTTTTGGCCCTGAGCTGGGAGTTGGGGTCAGGAGGGAAGGAGGGCAGAGGGGTGGGGATGGGAGGGTAGCCAAAGGTATGGTCAAAGAGGAAGGTCTTTAGACAGGACTTGAAGGAGGCAAGAGGTGGAGGGATTGTGGGATAGAGTTCCAGAGTGTGGGGCGGAAGGTGCGGGGGTCCTGAACCAGGCTGAGCAGAGGGAGTGGACAGCCTGATATGGGGTTAGGAGGTAGCAGAGGTAGGGGAGAGCAAGACTGTGGAGGGTTTAAGCTACCAAAATAAACAGCCTCATTATTACATCTATATATTTATTGAACCGTGTTCTTTTGCTTATTAAACTTCATGAAATGTGCAAAACTAGTTACCTCCAATTGCATGTAAATCTGGTCAGGCATAGTCTGACCATAGCTCTCCAGAAGGGTAATTGTCTCCTTTAAAGGTTCAAAGAGCTCATCCGTGGCAGTCTGTCTGTCTCTCACAGCCATGAGATGCTCCATTATATCAACAAGGCCATTATAGTCTCCTTCCTTCAGCTTTTTCTTTAGTCCCTTGTCTGTAATCTTTATGAATTCTTCAAGTTCATTCAGGCTGTGTGAACACATTAAAAACAATAAATGAATACTGCATTCAACATTGTACAAAACGTGTTGAAATGCAATATATTAAGAAAAAAAATGCACCCCAGCCGGTAGAGATTTTAGATTTGTTTTAATTTGTCATTCAAGTCGATTTCAGGGCTCACTGCTCATGGGTCGCTGGTTTGAGGGATACTGGCTTTATTCTGACGTGTTTAGCTGGCGAGCAATCAACTAACAAGCAGTCTAAGGCAGTGAGTTGGCATAAGGTTGCAAAATTCAATCAGCTGTCAATTAGAGCCATCATTAATTGATTAATTAACACATCATAACACCCCAATTTTCAACCGATAATATTGCATCTTATAAAAGAAGATGGGATTCATTTTAAAAATCTAAAATGGTCTATTACTTACCTGTCAGTAACATATCGCATGAGATGCTCTTTAAACATCCAGCTCCATTTTTTAATCATATTTAACAGTGCCACTTTAAATGGTTTAATGTCAACTTTAAACCAGCTTTCAAACACTTTCACACTTTCACATTTGCTGATCTGATTGCATAAATTTTCATAGATATCAATCTGTAAAAAAAACAAATATATTAGCAACACCATATTTGTACAGCAGGAGTTTTCATTTCTCTCGTCTCAGCAATAAAAAATATAATATTAAAGTAACAAGCATTATATCAATATCAAGCTTTCAGCACAGCAGTGTCCAGTTCTCTACATTATTTAGAAGCAATGTAATGTGGGAATAAACAACAACAACAAAATTACATTTTTATAGCACCTTTCACGTCGGGAGGACGTCCCAAGGCGCTGGATAATCAATGTTTCGGATCCAAGCTGGCGGTCGGGATTGGGGAGGGTGGAGGGCAAGGAGGGAAGGAGAGGGACCGAAGGCACAGTCGAAGAGGTATAAAGCATGAAGACAGCATGCCAGCCCAGCACTTTGAAGTTGCAACACCCTGTGCTGTTGAGTGATAAATCATGGGTATTCACACACAGTCTCTGCTGTCCCATTGTGATAAGGCACTTAGCAGAGGACATTACTTCTGCACACAGAGGAAGGAAAACAAGAGGACATTTTCTGAGAACACTCAATCCATTCCTTGCTGTGGTCGCAGACCAAGAGCCAGGAGCAGGACCCCTGTCCCTCTCCTCCACAACATCAGGATTGGGTCATCTGGTCGTCCAAATAAAGGAGACAAAACTTTTTATTTAAAAAGGACACCTCATCTCAAAAGTATTAATATTTTAACATTTCCAAAAAAGAATAGTCGATTATTATCCTGACCTAAGTAAAATTACAACAATATTCCCAATTTGTATACACAAATGTCCTCACGTTTTTTTCAATGTTATATTTAAATGTTGCATCTTATCCTACCCTATTCCTTGGTCAACCTGTCCACTTAGCTAACTTGGGCTTGGTGCACTGTCTCCGACCATCTCTATGCCACCATCAGTTACCAAGTCTTCAAATCGTCCGTCCTTAACCTCCAGAATGCCCCCTAACCTTGTCTCAAGGCAGTCTCAAAATCTATCTCTTCGAATGCGCCTATGGCTAACACCCCCATTGTTTTATTGGCATCCAACCCCAACGTGGATAAAGTATATCTATAACTTAAGATATTGAAGGCTCCACATTGGAACTTAGAATGCATATTGGCTGATACTCTAGTGCAGTGATGGAGGTGTGGTCTATTGTTGGAGATGCCATCCTTTGGATGAGACATTAAACCAAGGCTCCCACTCCCTGTTCAGGTAGGCGCTAAAGATCCCCTAGCACTGTTTGAAAAGAGTAGGGAATTTCTCCCGGTGTCCTGGTCAACAATTCCTCAAATAAACTTGATGATTATTGGAGAATTCATAAGGTAAGTCACTGCGACTAAAGTTTATTTGTGTTCTAGGAAACCTTTTTTAAAGAAAAACTAAAACCTTTTTCCTTTCCCTTCAGGTCACTGACTCAGGCAGGGGTACAAGATTCTGGCTCAACCACTGCTCCCACAGGGCATTCCATATTCTAACTACAAAAACACTCTCCTAATTCTCCATTTGCTCATTTACTTCCTATCCTAATTTGATGCTCTCTATTCACTGTCTCACAGATCATAAAGAAGCTGGTATCTCTTCCTAACCTAGGGCACTCCTATCACCACTCGAACAACCGTTAACGCAGCACAGATTCAAGCATCAAGCCTGGCACACTTCCCTGGACTGTTTGGCTCAATTTCACACCAGGATAGTGGATTTACCGAGCTGTAAATGAAACACAGTTTTGACACCGTATATTTTGAAAATCTGAAGTTAATTTCATCTACGCTTTAAAACATTATGACAACCTTTTTTTTTATTTTCAATGATAAAGAATGTTAATAATCATATTCTTTTCGACGAAAGTAGCACTTTCTTTTCTTTTGAAAGTTTTATTGTTTTACCTGTTCTCTAAATTGTTCTATAGTTGGAGGGCACTCGGGTACACCCTCCTCAGCATGCAATTCTATCTCCTCTGCAGTCAGCACGTGGCTGTACAGCAAGAACTGTTTCATGAACTCTGAACGGTCATCAACCCACAAATAAGCATAGGTGTCAAATGAATTCCGGTATTCTGTAGCTTTGTTGATCACATCCGTTACTCTATCCATGATCTCCTGACGTATCTCCGACAGGTCCAGTATATCTTCCATATCGTTCTGTCAGGAGAAAAAGCCTCATTTATCGCCTCCGACTACTATGTATTACTCATCTGGTAGAGCTGTACAATTGTAGTTTAATAGGTTTCAATGTAGTTTTTTAGGTCAGCTGGGTGTCTGACACATGCGGAAACCCATCACCACCATGCATAAGAGTATCCAGACTTAGAGCTCCACGTATGTGTACCACTTACACATGGAATGTGTTCCTGAATGGAATATGCACTATTTCCAGGGACACACCCTGCTTACCTAATCCCAGGTTATAAGAATTTGCTAGGCAAAAGAAGACTAAGGTCCATCTAGTTCACCTTCCACCATCCTGGCAGTCGCTTTAAGGCACAGATTGGCAAGAGGTAAAGTTTGGGAGTGTTAGAATATGATATATGTAATGAAACACTTTAAGGCAGAGCTGCATAAAATTGTAAACATTAAGTTTTTTATATTAATCAAAATGGTGAATAACACCATTTTATACTCAAAGCATCGTTCAACACCTGTTAATAACATAAGTTGTTTTTTGTCTGGTTAAGAAGAAATGATCAACATGAAATGTTGAAGTAAGACAACCATTGGCCTTGGGAGGATACAAGTTGTTTTGTAGTCAAAACGCCCAGTTCTTGGGATAAACAGAAGTAACAGCGCGCTTGACTCTTTGAGCAGTTGTGAAAGGCCTACGTGCCTGATAATTGTTTGGATGAACAAAAAAGTTTAAACTTGAAAGGTTGTTGACATAAAGCAGCAGAATCGGCAGGGAACCAGGGACACAGGGGTGGAGGGCCAAAGCACGCTGACTGCTCCAGAACTGGGCAGTATATGTTTTACGTATTCCTGCTGTGCTTATATTTGAATAAACTGCGTTAGCCACAAAACTTTATTGTCTGGTCTTTTTGACTTGAACACTGGGAGTTGAGATCCCAACAGAGCCCAGAGTGTGAGTTCGGGTACTGCTAGTGTCTAACCAGCTAAAACCACATATGTTGCTTTTGAGAGCATTGCCCGGCCAGCTTCCTGCTGCTTATCCAGTACCTGTAGTGGTGCTGGATCTGGAATTGACATTTGACCTTCGGTCTCATATTATTGCAGGAACTCAAATTTATCAGATCTATTTGAATTTTAAGCACTTCATGATGCTACCCTCCATTACAAAGGATACAAACAGCATGGAAATAGGTCACTCAGCCCAACCATTCCATGCCGGTCTAATAATAATAATAATCCTTGCATTTGATACAGCACTTTTTACGTCTTCTAGACATCTCAAAGCGCTTCACAGATTATACTGTAAAGTGAATTGGCTGTACATTTGTGGGCGAAATGCGGCAGCAGCGTTCCACAAACAGTCATAGATTGAAAATGACCAATTTATTATTGTTTTTGTTTTTTGGAGGGATTACTATTAGGCGTGTAGAGTAAGGAAACTTGCCCAAGGTTTCGCCCTGCCTGGAATTGAACCCAGGTGTCTATGATTCCACTCAAGTCTATTTCGCCCACAAAATATATAGTCAATTCATCTTACAGAATATTCCATGAAGCGTTCTGAGACATCTTGAAGACATGATAAGACCCTATATCAAATGCAAGAATTTTTATTATGAAGGACTCTATATAAATGCAAGTTGTTGTTATTGAATGACAAATATAGCCAGTTAAAATATGTGCTGAAGCTTCAAGGATGCCAATGAGAGGTTTAAAGCAATACTGCAGGTAAAGCAAATAGCTGCAGTGTTATGCCCACAAAATATATAGTCAATTCACTTTACAGTATATTCTGTGAAGCACTTTGAGATGGCTAGAAGACATGATGAGGCGCTATATCAAATGCAAGGATTATTATTATTAATTACGACAACAACAAGAACAACAATATGCATTTATATTGCTTCCTTCATGCAGGATAGTGTCTCGGAGCACTGATGAATCACCAAAGACTGGAAAATTTGGACTTCTACATACAAAAACAGAAATTCCCCTAGTACCTAAGTTTACATAAGTACCTTAGTGGTGTGAAGTTATTATGGTCAAAATTAGATTTTGTTTTTTCCAAACGTCCTTACTTATGGCAAGCTAGTCTTGCCTTAACCTTAACCCTGCAAGCCAACCCTTAATGGTATTGTAGTCATAGCTGGACAAGCATTGGGAAGCTTGCCAGAAGTCTTCAATGGCAAGGTTTTAGATGGTTAAACTCCAATGCATATTCTGAAATCCCCAAGTCTTGGCTTTTGCCAACCTGTGTCTTATATTCTCCAGAATAAAGTAAGCAAGGTGTGTTCCCTGCATTCCGTTCCAGATAGAGGGTCATTCCCATTTGAAGGTAGCAAACATACAGCATGGTTTCCACATGTCAGACACCCGACTGATCCCAAAAAATTCCTGGAGTACAATTAACTACACTGAAGGCTTGAGATCAAGGAGTAACTGGAAGCTTCTGATTTAAATACCTTCAAAAAAAACCTTTAAATAAAGCTCCAAGCCTGTAATTCAGTATCTGAATCCCTTGACAAACTCAAGTTCAGTTGCCAAGTGATTGTAGCTTTTTGTGAATTAACTTTTTTTTAAAAAAGAGACGCTTTTCAAGCCTGATAGCCATTACATATGGCAGAATAGGCTGAAGGGCTGAATGGCCTACTCCTGTTCCTATGTTCCTAGATGTGGCAAAGTATGAAATAATAGTCACTGCACTTTACAGAAAAGTCCTATGATCCCTTTGGAGACGTTTCAACACCAGAATAAGGTGCAACAGAAAATCCAAGGATGATTAAAAGAAAATAATAATTTGGTCATTCAATCCCCGACTGTTTGTGGGACACTGCTGTGCGCAATTGGCTGCCGTGTTTCACCCACAAAATAATTATATACCGTCAATTCACTTTTCAGTATATTCTGTGAAACGCTTTGAGACATCTTGAAGATGTGATAAAGCACTATATCAAATGCAAGGATTATTATTATTATAACCAAACCAATTTTCTAATCTTATGATATTGGTGTCACTTAGCAAATAAATCAGGACCACCCACCCTCTCTCCCACCCTCAAGTGAGTTTGGCAATTCTAAACCACACAAAATATCGTTTGAGAAACATAATTTAAAATTACTTACAAATAGACTATTCTCCAATCCCATTCTCTCCTCTCCCCCCCCCCGAAAGAAAATCAAAGGAAATGTGTTGTTTGGGCTATGTGAAGTAATGTTGAAATGCAATTGATCCTAAAGTATTAAAAAGCAGAGTTTATAGTCCATTACCTGATAATTATCCATCTCAAGGTGACCAGCTAGTCTCTTTATCTGTGCAGCCATTTTGTAAATGTCACTTAATAACCCTTCAACCAGGTCATAGAACCCATCGGCGGAGTCTTTATCCAGCGATGGTTTGAATACAATCTCTGGGGCACTGAGGATCATTTGTGCCACAAACAAAGGAGAAGGTTTGAGAACAGCCTCCGTGTTGTCAAGGAAGAACTCCAGAGAGCATGCGATAGCATTAAAGAAACCATCCAAAATCATGTCATCAATGTACTCCAAATAAGCCTTCCATGACTCAGTGCTGGTGTCTGCTTTTAAAAGATGGAGGTTCTCCTGTTAATAAAAACAAAGAAAAGTTGATTGAAATGATGACTTTGTAAGTAGGTTCGACAGTGGAAGAAGGAAGGAGGCACTAAACATCTGTTTAGTTAAAGCAATGTATGCTGCTTTTTGCTTGAAGCAAAATACAGGCTTACCTAGCTGTATCATGCCCCAGTGTAGAGTAGGACTGCTTTTGCATCATGAATTCACTGTATACCAAAACTGTGGTATACGTTGCTGGTTTTGACTAGAAGGCTTCCTGCGCACTATACAGTAAGTGATATCAACAGAAGGACTGACTATGGCCATTTATTAGAGGCCCTCACTGTAACACAGGGTCTAGAAGTTATGGACCTAATATTAGGGTCGCCCTGGATTACAAATCACATAAGCTCAGGGTTGTCACCAGAAGACTTAAAGGAAACTATTACACATCATCAGAACATGCTCATCAAAATATGCAATGCATTGTCAGAAGCGGTTATAAAGGCTGAGATCGTAAGATTCAAAAGAAAATTGTATAAATACTTGAAAAGAAAGAATATAAAAGGGCATGGAGAAGCAGGAATTGTAATGAGAGTAGTTAGCTCCACTGAAAGAGTCAGCACTGGTTTAGGTTCAATGGCCTCGTCTAATACAGTAACGTCTATGATGCTACAATGTTTACTGAGGGTGAGTGAATGAAGTGAAGCAGCATTCAAAGAATACTGCTTCACTCACACCAACATGTTAGCACTTGACCTAATCCAAATGCATTAATTCCAACACAATCAATCATTTCTTACAGAACAGAAACCCACTCAAGTCAGTAGCTGGATCTGGGGCCAAACTGATTTCACATTAATCAGCTAAGTAGAATATGCAGCCTCGATCTAAGATGTGTGTTTTTTTATTTCTGTTGATGACCATAAAAATACTTTAGTACAATCCTCCATTAAACCTGCTTCTACTGTCCCAAACTACACAATAGAAATGCTAAAAGGAACCTGTAGATATTCTCTTTAAATGCATCTATTTCTAGCACATGTTTGTCATTGTGTGACAACTATACTATTCCTTCCACCCACTCGTCCCATTCATTGAATGTAATCAGACATAAAAATACACAAAATCCTCTCTATAATGTCATTTGCGTCATTAACTGTTAATCCAAATCACAGTAGCATTTAAAGGAACACTATTGCTCACTATATCAACCTGCTCAATCTAGCTCATGGAGCCAGTGCAAATTATCGAGAATTTGTTTGATCCTCACCTCTCCTTGAAGCCTTTTAATCTGCCACCAAACCAAGTTCACTTTGCTCCATCTCTGCAATATTGCCTGCCTCTACCTCTACCTTGCCACAACACAGTGAAACCCCTCATCCATACCTTTGCCATCTACAAACTTGACTTCTCCAACACACTGCTCACTGGCCTTCTCAGTTCCACCCTCCACAGACCATCCCAAACTTCTCAGTTTGCATTTCCTCCCACACAGCACTAAGTGCAATCTCCTACATTCCTACTCCCCTGTCCACCTCATCCACTCCTTCCATCCAGTCAACTCTGGCCTGCTTCATGTTCCCCATGATGTCCAACTCACCATCAGTGCACCAGCTTTTCACTGCTTTGCCCCGCTCTGGAACCTGCTCGCTAAATCAGTCCACCTCACTCCCACTCTGTCATCGTTCAAAACCTATTTAAATGCCAGGTTCTTTGACTGAGCCTTCAAACACTTATCCTCCTATTTCCCCCCTTTTGGACTTGCACTAACTCTGTAAATGTTATGGGGATATTTACCCGTGTGAGAGTTGTGATACTAATGCAAGTTGTTGTTGAACCGGGAGCCCTTCCCTGATCATTAATAACATTACCCCCTTTTATGGGTGAGCGCATCAATTCTCCTTTGGATACTACATTAATCCTATGTGAGAGGCCCTATATAAATGCAAATTGCTGATGTACTGCAGCCCATATCCTCTCCCACACCAGGCTCCACGAGCCTATTACTGCCATGCTCGCTCAGCTGTACTGACTCCCTATGTTGAATGGATTGAATTCAAGATCCTCATGCTCAGTGTTCACATCCCTCCTTGGCCTTACTCCATCTATGACCTTCTGCAACTCCACTGCCCTCCTTTAAGACCTATCTTTTTGACTAAAGTTTCTATCAAATCCCCCCCACAGCTCAGGCTCCTAGTTAGCTGTGTGAGGCATCCTCCTGCTGTGAAAGGCCTTCTTACTAACCAAACAATTGGAATTCCTCACCTTATCTTTCAGAGGCAGTGATTTATTTTTTAGAACAGTTAGTTACCATAGCACCATTCTGATAGGATATGCCTAGCAACTTGGGATTCCTGATGTTAAATTGGCAATCATAGGAACAACAACTTGGATTTATATAGCACCCTCCACGCCGGACAGCGTCTCAGAGCACTTTACAGTAATGGAAGAGCTCAGGTAAACAAAAATTTAACTTGCTGAATAAAACAGTAACTTTCTAATACACAATTTAATTAAGACACAGCTCGGATATAGATCAGCAATATTTTCAAACATTAAAAGGACAGAAAGATCCTTTGACTATAAATGATCCATAATTGATGATTCACCAATCTTATTTCAGATTTAAGGCATTTTTAGTTGTTATTGCTCCAGTCGTACCTCAACCAATCTGTGTATCTTCTCACCATCCTCCCGCAACAGCTTGTATCTCTTGGCTACTCTGTCATCTCGGTCCTCCAAGCTCATCAGGTAATCCTTTCTGTTATCTTTCCTTGTGAACAGAGCACACTCACTCCAGGTTTTCATGAGGGTCTGGACAGTTTCAATGTTATCCTTTGCCTTTTGAACCCTGCTCTCAAGATCATGCACTGCATCCTTGGATCGCACAATATAGCTCCAACAGTTTTCATCCTTCCAGGTAATGGCCTCTTCTGCAGCCGTCAGCTGTCCATCGATGCTTTCCAACTCGCTTTGAATCAATGGAAACTCAACTTCCAGGACCGTCAGTTTCAGCTTGTTGTACCACTGTACCATTAACTCCAGGCTGCCTACATACTAAATCATTTACAGTCAATAAATAAAGACAGATATTTACTAACAATAATTTTCTGCCCATATGGACACATTGCTAAATATTTAGGAATCACTTGTTAGGCCTCAGCTGAAGTTTTGTGTCCAATTCTGGGCACCAAACTTTCAGAAGGATATCAGGGCCTTGGAGAGGGTGCAAGGGAGATTTACCAGAATGGGATCAGGGGTGAGGGGCTTTAGTTATGTGGAGAGACTAGAGAAGCTGGGATTGTTCTCCTTAGAGCAGAGAAAGTGGAGGAGAGATCTAATAACCGTGTTCAAAATTATGAAGGGTTTTGATAGAGTAAATAAGGTGAAATTGTTTGCTCTAGAAGGTGGATTGGTAATCAGAGGACACAGATTTAAGATAAATGACAAAAGAACCAGAGAGATGGAGATTTTTTTTTACCCAGAGAGTTGTTACAATCTGGAATGCACTATCTGAAACAGATTTGACAGTAGCTTTCAAAAGAGAATTGGATAGGTATTTGAAAATGAACATTTTCAGGGCTTTGGGGTAAGAGCAGGGGAGTGGGACCAGTTGGATAGCTTTTTCAAAGAGCCAGCACAGGCACGATGGGCCGAATAGCCTCCTTCTGTGCTGTAAGATTCTCTGATTCTACGAATTATGTTTTAAAACAAGCACCAGAACTGTGCCAACTGTTACCAACTGTGATGGTAATCAGTTACACACAAACCTTAGTCAAAGTCTCTCTTTTTTTGAAGATGGCTAAAGCTGCTTCGGGTATGTTTGCTTGATTCAACACTTGAAGGTACTTCACCTCACGCAGAACAGCAACAAGCTGGAACAAAATAATCAATCATCAGTACAATACATCACAAGGAGACTCCATGAAACACTCAGCCAAAGGTTTCAGATTTCACAGTGGAATTACATTTATTTTTACTTCAAGCGAGTATGGAAAATAGTTATAGAAAAGCCAATAGGGTCAGAGGATCACAGATCACTGGAGCGGGAGCACAAATCTTCATTTTCAAAACTGTTTCAATTCATTATATTCCTTCCTTTACATCCCACTGCTCACATTCAGCAGAAATGGCACATACACAGTAAAATAGTCCCTCTACATGGAGCACATGTATGAAGAATGATTACTTAGCAAAATTACCAGAGGAAAACTAGCAACTATAGAACTGCACACCAGCATCAAAGACCAATCTAGCTACAGACAAACTAGGTAGCGGCCGAGGGCAGCAGACTGCATTCTCAGATGGGTAGAGATGTTTGGTGGGGAGGTCAGGGGAGGTGGTGAAATCCCCCCGAGTTTGACTCGGGACTGGGACAGGTTGCCATCAATCAGACTTCAGGAGGTACCTGGATTAAAGGCGGGCCAATTCTGACAGATTACAACATAGTTTTGTGGACTTCATTTTTCTTCCACAATTGAAATAGTTTTAATTGTACCTGAGGGTCAAAATTCACACTCAAAATTCCATTTTTAGCGTTGCGCTTGACAAGTGGCTGGTCCAAGTTGAACTGGCAAATCTTGTGCACTCCACTGGTCCATGATGAGTATATGCGTTCCTCATACTCATCAAGTAAAGTCAGCATCTCCATGTACTTCTGATACACAAGCGCTGCTTCTGGGCCTTCCAGACTTCTGAAAAAGTAATTATATAAAACTCAGTCCATTTATGCACCCTGGAGAATGTTATGGTGAAACATTAGAAAGTTGGTCATTTATAGTACAATAATTAAACACTTTCCATGCCGCAGAGGCAATCACCTGTATGGACACAGTTGCTGACAAATTTACTCATCAATGTTGGTTTGACTGTTCGAGCTTTTTACTTGTCTATAGTTAGCATGGTCATTATGTACAATGGTGACTGTATTGGCAGGTTGATCATACTGCCGCATTAACAATCAGGATTGTTTTGGAGGGTGGGGGAGAGAGAGAAGTATGAAGTCTTGATTGGGCCTGAAACCTCCTGTATTCTTGGAGACAATGTTGTATCAGGAATAACATGATAATGAGGATTTTGATAAGCTATTGCCACCTTATTGGCGAGTCAAAAATTAGAGGGTATAAGTATAAGATAGCTAGGGGTAGATTCAACAGAGAGTTTAGGAGAAACGTTTTCATACAGAAAATGTGGAACTCACATACCGAAGCTATGGCTGAAGGAAATAGCATCAATAATAATAATAATCGTTGCGTTTGATATAATGCTGAAACGTCATCGAGACCTCTCAAAGCACTTTACAGAATATACTGTAAAGTGAATTAACTGTATATTTTGGATATTAACTATGGGCAAAATGTGGCAATCAGCAATGTCCCACAAACAGCTATGGGATGAGTGACCAATTTTATTGGGGATTTGTTGGCCAGGAGACCAGGAGAAACTCCTTTCACTTTTCAAATTGTGCCACGGGATCTTTAACCTGAACAGACAGGCGGGACCTCAGATTAATGTCACATCCGAAGGACAGCACCTCCGTCAATGCAACACACTCCCAGCACTGCATTTAAGTGTCATCTTAGACTACGTGATTCTAAAGCCAGATGTGGGGCTTGAACCTACAGCATGTGACTCAAGGATGAGAGTGCTATCACTGAGCCAGGCTGACACACCCAATGTAAATACGAAAATTTGATAAATCCATAGGGGAGAAGAGAATAGAGAGATAAAGGAAAGGGAAATAGAAAGGGTGGGGCTCGTGTTGAGTAAAAACACCATCATGGAGTAGTTCGGCTGAAGCACTTTTTCCATGCTGTATCATTCAATGTAACTCTATTTAACCCTAACGTTTCCCTGAGGTGTGTAATAATCCTTCTTCAATCCAAGAAACTGTACTGAGATCAAAGTCTCAGGTTATTTGCAACCCAATGGCAGCAAAAGAAAACACAGCCATTCCAGGTTCAAAAAGTTGGGTCATGCTACAGCAACCTTGCCACATTCTACCCTAGACACCAGCTAAGAGAGCTCCTTTCCTCAAGAATGACTGTTGCCTTCTGAGTTTGATGTTTTATCAAAGCTGAAAAGGGATTTGAGGAGGCTTCATTTCCATCAGGCATGGTATTTTATGTGCAAACATAATGTCTCTATGTATTTTTTATCCTATTGTAGTCAAATTACTTTCAGAGGATATTAAAGACTGGCATCTGCCCGCTTGCACATGATGCTGCTTTATATGAACTGATCCAAAGTTTAACTTATGCTGGATGATCACATAAAGTATCTTATAAAATTTGCAAAGTTACCACTGTTTTATGATGTAATTCAAAAAAGCATTGTACTTACAGTTGATGGATAAACTTGAAATTTGACCAGGGAGTCTGAATCCTTTCCTTTAGTTCTTTGGCCCATTTTAAATGTCCTGATGTTTCAGGCATATTCTTGTTTAACATTCCAGCACTCTTCTCCTTCTGTACAGTATGTACACAGAACAGAAGCACAAACTGATAGTACCATACCACACTGAATTTCCCACAGTGCTTTTGAGGGAACTCAATCACATTCATTTAAAGCTCATGATGTATCTTTTAGTCACTAAAATTTAGTGTATACTGAGTTAGGAAAGGCTTAGCAGGGTTAGCTGCTAAGTTAGGAAAGGCTGCTTTTGCAGTACAGCCCTATTATAATGCCTTCATTCTCACATGAGATCACTTATATCGAGAGTGCCCTGTTCATCCACTACAGGCTTCCCACAAGCTAATAAATGGTGGTCATTCATTTCATCAGGTCATTGCTGGAGCCACTTCCAGCATACTGCATAATGGGCAGGAATTATTGTCAACAGTGGAGGTCTAGTGACCTGGAAGTCAGTCTTTTAGCTGGAAAGCTAGCCATCCCTCTCTAGCTATCCCTCTCTCGCCGTCCCTCTCTAGCTGTCCCTCTCTAGCTATCACTTTCCATCTGTCCCTCTTTAGCTGTCCCTCTTTAGCTGTCCCTTTCTAGCTGTCCCTTTCTAGCTGTCACTCCCTAGCTGTCACTCCCTAGCTGTCCCTCTTTAGCTGTCCCTTTCTAGCTGTCACTTTCTAGCTGTCACTCTTTAGCTGTCCCTTTCTAGCTGTTACTCCCTAGCTGTCACTCCCTAGCTGTCCCTCTTTAGCTGTCCCTTTCTAGCTGTCCCTTTCTAGCTGTCCCTTTCTAGCTGTCACTCTCTAGCTGTCACTCTCTAGCTGTCACTCTCTAGCTGTCCCTCTCTAGCTGTCCCTCTCTAGCTGTCCCTCTCTAGCTGTCACTCTCTAGCTGTCACTCTCTAGCTGTCACTCTCTAGCTGTCCCTCTCTAGCTGTCCCTCTCTAGCTGTCACTCTCTAGCTGTCACTCTCTAGCTGTCACTCCCTAGCTGTCCCTCCCTAGCTGTCCCTCTCTAGCTGTCCCTCTCTAGCTGTCACTCTCTAGCTGTCACTCCATAGCGGTCCCTCTCTAGCTGTCCCTCTTTAGCTGTCACTCTCTAGCTGTCACTCTCTAGCTGTCACTCACTAGCTGTCACTCTCTAGCCATCCCTCTCCATATAGGTGCAGCAACATCGCCAGTCACGTGATTGGTCTTACAACGTTGAGGCACTGAGCCCGTGGTGAGGCTAGCTGGGATTTTACTTCTCTTCCCCCGACCCTCAACTACCGTGTTCCACAGGCTCTACTTCATCATTGTTTTGTGGTGCTGGTATTGCCTGTGAGATCTAATACAGGGTGAAGGCAAAGAGTAACTGTAGGGTGTGGGATACAGCTAGAGAATACATGCAACCAGGATTTGAGGAGCTAGTACCAGTCTCCTGTGTGGCAGTTTCTACGACTTGTATTTATCAGTGTGAAGGATTTTGGCAGATCACAGCAAAACTACGTGTAAGGTTTCCCACTGGACGGGCAATTCAGCCACACTCTGTTTCACGTGGGCATCTATTTTTAGTAGAGAACCAATGAAGCAAAACTATTGAGTAGAGAACTCTCAGCAGAGGTTATCAAGTCTGATCATTTGCTTTTAAAAGAAATAAAAAGGCAACTTTTTAAAGGGAGGTAAAAAGGCTTTCTTACACAAACCTGTTCCACGTGCCTGTCGTATAAAAATTTGCATCTGTCCAGTTCTTGCCCAAACATCTTTAGAATTGTAAAGTAATTGGGACTAAAAATGTCCACGATGGCAGGTCTCTCCAGAAACACGCCAGAAACTGCAAGGAGCTTGAACAGAAAGCAAATCAAACCAAATCAGTTTTTAACAAAGCAATAAAAACAAGTTACAAGTTGGGATGATATCTCAAAGTGCTTTGCAGGATTTACTGTAAAATACCGAGCATCCTATTTACCATTTCAACATTTAATTTGTGTCAAATATAAAAGAATTCCATACCTTAAAAGCAGTCTCCAAACCAGAGCAGTCTTTGAATGCTGCCGACAGTATTGTCCCAACACGCCTCTCAAAATCCATGATCTTCTGCTTAAAATCACTATAATCCTTTTCAAAATCCTTTAAGACAGAATGTGTAACAATACAGCAAAATCTACTTAGAAGAATAGTCTACAAAAATACGCCAAAGTGTGCTGATACAACAACAACAAGATTACACTTGTATAGCGCCTTTCATGTCAGGAGGTTGTCCCAAGGCGCTGATAAGGAGAGAAACGCAAATATTCTGAGTCAAAACTCTGAGTATCCACCGGTGGCAAAGGTTTAGCACTCGTGCCTATTATTTAACATGGTCCTGCTCGTAATATTACTTTGATGTACTAATGTATAATTTTTAAGCAGAAACCAAACAATATACAATTAGCAGAGCTATTTAGTGGTAGGATACATTTTCCATATGTTATACTCATATTCAGACAAGCTGACAGAACATCAGTGGACTGGGGTCTCATTTTGAGGCTGAGCTTTTATGAATGCTACTTGAGTTTAGTCTATCTAGTATTCCATTAATATTATAATTGCTGTGAAATTGATGCTAAACATGCAATAAAAATTCTTAAAGGTATTGCTTCTGCTTTACGCTCCATCCCCAAAACCACTTCCAGGCTATCCTGCAGCAGATTCCAGTGAGCATTAAACCTCTTTTTAGAAAGAGTCTAAACGTTCCCGGCAGCCTAATGGGCACCATTATCATTTTCTCAGTTATTTAACAGCTGTTTTTAGGTCTTAAGTAACATTTTATTTGAAAAACATGCACCAGAGTTCAACTACTAGCATTGACAAAGCTGTCACCAGCATAAGTGATTCAGAAGTGGTGAAGTTGTAACAGGAACAGGAGAAGGTTGAGCCAGTTGATTAAATCGTGGCAGATCTTTTAATCCTATTTCCCCACCTTTTGCTCATACTCTAAATACCTTTACTTCCCAAACATCTAGCTTCCTGTTAAATATCCCAATTCAGTCTGTGTTTACGGTCTTCTAAGGCAATGCATTGCACAGGTTTCCTGCTTTGAATCATTGCAATTTTGTTGTATTGTTTGCAGCACAATAAAACAGATACAAACGTCCCTAACAGAGACAATGACCATTAAAATCAAATAAAATGTGCTTATCAGTTAGGCTAAGCTTTTTCAATCTCATACAGTTACCATTGTAAACAGTGGGAAGAAGTCTAAGTAATACACTTATGTACTCAATTTTTCAGCACATACTTAAAATAACAGTTCCACAAGACTATGGTATATTCATAGGGTCAACAAATGCATGGATAGCTTAAGAAGTGACATTATAAATCAAACCAAGCTAATGAATCCATTAATTGTACAAAAGAAGCTGTAATTTACTAGGTGAAGAAAACAGAGGCAGGCCAAAACACATAAATATTACAAGGAATCCTTATTATACCTTCAACCATAGAGGAATGGTATGCTAATGGCAACGTGACCTGGGTCAATTACTCCTGTTAGACAACAGCAATTTGTTTAGATGTGTGACGTGTTGCGATGATCACACAATAAGAACATAAGAATTGCTAGACAAAAGAAAACAATCTAGTTGGATTTTAAACGTCCAATTCTGAATTATGTTTGCCCGAATGGATCCAATTTATAAAAATGCCTGCAATGAATTCAACAAAACCTCAAACTAAGGGATTAGAGCTGCAATGCTCGTGAACCCTTGTGATGCAGAACGGCTGATCTGAAATACCTGTATCAGTCATGCACTGCTTGAGGTGACTTTCAAAATTCATACAATGTGACAGTTTTTACTACTTTAAAGGTAACAACGGTTCACGTCAATGGCATTGTACAAGATGTCAAAACTAACCCCAAAGAAAAATAAAATAATTTGACGCATTATTACTGTACGGATGACAAGATCAAGAGGTAGAAACTCTCACTGTGGTACAGAAAGAGGCATGCTGTAATGCACAGAATACTTCATTTAGTGAGACTTTTCTGTAATATTTAAGTATATGTCAACATGATTGCAACTTCAAGAGGGAATATGATAGCTACTTGACAAAGAAATCAAGGAGAGTCAGAGTAAAAGTAGAGATTTATTTTACTGGCTGAAATCCTTATGAAATTCTTCAGGTCTTTTTCCAGCTTTAAAAATTTCAGCAGTCACAATAATAACATTAACTGAACCCCATTAAAGGGTAAGCTTGGGATCACGTGGTTATTTTATACTTTCTGTCATTTTACACTGTTTTAAGTGTACTAATGTACGGCTAAGTGTTTGAGGAAGCATGCTATAGGCTGCTGTAGAATAGCTCAAAGGGAAACATTCCTTTAACTTAAAACAATCGTTTCAGCTCATTCTCTTTTTAGCCAAAATCGATGTGTCTAGGTCAAAAGTCAGTTCTGTGTGCAGATGTTCATCTCTTTATCAGATCTTCCTCTACACAAAATATTGTGTTCAAAGAGTCATTTGCACTGGTGCACCCCTTCATGTAGAGTAACTGCTCCCTCCCTCCCCTCAATCAAAGTCCATCTCATGCATCACTTTGACCACACTTTTGGTTATCTTTCCCCCTTCTGCTCCTATCTTCAGCTCGAGTGGCCAGCCAGCAGTGTCAAGTATTTTGAGACATCCTCTCGATGTGAAAGGAGATGTATAAATGTAAATTGTATTGTACTGTAACATTTCAGAGAATTTTATTGAGACAGTGCTGGACAAATAACACCATCAAAGAGGCAGTTTTTTAGGCAACTTAACAATAAATAATAACAATCCTGGTATTTGATATACTGCCTCATCATGTCGTTGAGATGTCTCAAAGCATTTCACTTATGAAGACAGAGAGTATGTGAGTCAAAGGGGTGAGGGAAGGAGTTCTGAGTGTGGGAACACCGTGGCTGGAGGCTTGGCCACTAGAGGCAGGTAGGGCATAGCCTGAGTTGAAGGGAAAAGCAGCTGTGGCTTCTACCATTCATCAGCACCTGTTAGAAAAAAAGAAACCTCAACTACAAAGAATTGCTACAGTTAACTGTTGTTTTTGACTGTTATTCACACAGGTTGTGGTAAGCCTACCGTTAGTTCCTTCGTTAAAATGTTTGTGGTCACTTCTTGTGGCATGTTTAAATCGATATCTAATTACGTAACAATAGAATCAATCATAGAATTATACAGCACAGAAGGAGGCCATTCGGCCCATTGTGTCCTTGCCGGTAATAATCTTTGCATTTGATAAAGTGCCTTGTCATGTCTTCGAGACGTCTCAAAGCGCTTCACAGAATATACTGTAAAGTAAATTGACTGCATATAACAGGCCCCAGCTGAATAAGCAGCAGGAAAGCTTGCCAAACAATGCTTTTGATGACAAGCTTTGCTTTTTTAGCTGATTAAACTCCAGCAGTACTCCAACACACACTCTGGGGTTCCCAGGCCTCTTGGTCTTGCCATCTGTGCCTAATCCTCTCTGGAAAAAGGTAAGCAGGATACGTTTCTCCAGGGAAAAAGCACACATTCCATTTAGTTACTGGAAATTCCATATGTAGGTGGGATGCATAGAAATCGGTTTGGATACTCTTAAGCTGGATTGGTTTCCCCATGTATGAGATATCCGGCTGACCAAAAAAACAGGACATAACACGAGGGGTGAGCGTGAATTCAGAAAGGAACAGTGCAAGCTGATAAAATGCTGGTACCTGGGCAGGATTGATAATTCTGAGCTCTAACCATGGGAAGCTCACCCTCTTGCACAGTTGTTAGGTACCGTGGTCTTGTTCATCTATCTAACGACCTGTCAGGGTTACCACTCACATGCCAGAGTATAATTGAAAATGCTGTTTTACACTTGCTGGATGATGCTAGAGAAGTTGTGCACCTCTCTCAGGATATCCAAGTCCAACTGAACCAGTCCAAACAAAAGTGCATTAACTCTCAACGAGTTTCGACCTACCAGTCTAGTGAATAAGGGTGAGATGGTAGATGTCATTTGCCCTTGATTCACAAACCATTTGACACCATTTCACAAAATAAACTAAGATCGAGGGTCATGGAAACAATGGCAGTGTGGTAAATAGGATTAGCGAATAGCTAGTTGGCAGAAAGCAATGAGTAGTGATGTATGGGGAGGGATTTGGCTCGGGGCAAACTATGTGTGGTGGGTCAGAAGCTCAGTATTCAAATCGTTACTTTTCATCATTTTTATAAATGATTCATAGGCTGGGATCATGCTGGAGGTGGGCAATTTTGCAGACATCAATAACATCAATTGCAGTCAATTGGGACGTCCTCCTGACGTGAAAGGCGCTTTATAAATGGAATCTTGTTGTTGTTGTTGTAAGCAGTAAATGGTGAAATTCAATGTGTATAAATTCACAAAGATCTGGAGAAAGTGGGCATAAAGGTGTCAAAATTCAAGAAGCAACCTTGATGGAGCTGAAAGGCTTTTCAGACTTCCATATTTAATCCGTCTTTATTTTTCAAAAAGAGAGACGGATCATCACTATACAGGGTTTTATATCTCTACATGCAGCCCTCTGACTACAATCATAAATATGGAGCTTCCCGCACATAATAGTCAACACCTACTGCCTTAAAAACTTCTATCTAAGGCTTCCTTACCTCGTCTCCTCAATTATAATTTCATCTTCTTGTGCACATTAAGATGTATTCAGCTTCCCTTAAAGTCAATATTGTTTTACATTTAAATGTGCC